AGATATACTATCTACTCGTCTTTATTCTCTAATATAAACTTATTCTTAACGGTCTTAATACGATTAACTAGCTCGTCTAAGATCGCCTCTAAGGCGTTTTAATAGATAGATATATTAATAATAAGACGGGCGATATAATAATAATACTTCTCGATTCTATCCGCTCGCTCTCGTATCGCTATAAAGAAGATATTAGAATTAATCTATATAACTAGTTAGCGAGTCGTATACGATAAGTAGAAGAGAAGCCTTATCGTAAGAGCCTCTATACTAGTCTAAATTTCCCTAGTCTAGCGAATTAAGAACTTTATTATATTTATAGTTTATTCTAGCGTCGTTAGATCTATAGAAACTTAACTAGAAGTATCGATATTAGAGAATAAGATAATAGAGGAAGCGGTCGAGAAAGATATACTAGTCGTAAGCGATATAGTCTTAAAGATCTCTTATTAAATAGACGTATTTAGTTAAGCGACTAAAGAACTAGAAAGAATACTACTACGAGTCGTAGGCGTTTTAAGAGTAATTCGACGAATCTATCGATTAGTAGCTAAAAGATAATAGTAGAATTCGTCTACCGCTTTTATTAACTTCTACTCTATAGTAGTAGAATTACTATCTAATAAACGACTATTAAGACTTAAAATAGCTCTAGCGTCGTCTAGATATAAGTCCGGAACCTTATCGAGATTAGTATAATACTCGTAAGAGAATAGTATACAACTTATATAAAGGTATTAAGCGATAGTATAATTAGCGAAGATATATCGTCTATAGCGACTATAACTAGATAGATAGATATAGTCTAGTTACTATAAGCTATCTCGAAGAGACCGAATATATTAAATATACGGTAACTTATTATAGTCTTTTAGCGAGGTAAATCGAACTCGCTTACGAAAAGAAGAAGATAAAGAAGACGATCTTTTCTTAGACGTAATCGAAGCTTACTTTACTAAAGATATAGTAGAAAGTTAACGAGTTAGATAAGAGAAGATTACGAATTAATTAATAAGTTATATAAAAGAAGAGTACGAGTTAGAAGAGGCGAGAAATATAAAGAACTCTAGAAATCTAACTCTTATTTATTTATAAGTCGTTATAGCTACGAGGCGTAGACGAATATATCGCTAAAAACTTATATAAGTCGTATCCTAAGTATATAATACTCTTATAAGGCTACGTAAGGCTATATTAGAAAGAGAGAAAGTACCGAATACGTAATAAAGTATATAACTCGTATATAATATTATCGCTTTCTTAAGAATAAGAAATCTAGAAGAAAGAGATAATATTACGAATACTAAGACTAACTACTATTACTAACTATTAATAACTTATATTCCTCGACTACTTAGATAGAGCTAAGAGATATAAACTATACGCGATCTATATAAGAGAGCTTTTCTTCTCTTATACTTCAAGTCGTATATAATTATAGGATTAAGGAGTACTTAATACCAATTAAAGACTATATCGCTGTACTCTGCCTATTCCCATTAGGCGTTCCTAACACCGGCCTCTTCGATACCTTCATAGTTAATAGTTCGAAAGGGTCGGAGGAGTATCGAAGTTAATTTCCTAGTCCTATTACGTACCGTTATACGTAAGTAACTAAAATCCTAGAAAGCGCTATATTTCTTTAGCTAGTTAAGTCTAAGAATAACGTTATACGTATCCTAATCTAAGATATAGAGTATCGTTCGAGCTCGAAAGTTATCGATAATTAAGCTCGTTATAATAGCTTAATTAGAGAGAGTTATCTCGCTATTAGTAAAACGTACTTAAAGAGATAGTCTCTAGATAATTTTATAGTTCTTATCTAGTCGCTTAGCGACTCTTCTTAAAACGTAGAAGATATCGAAGTCTATATTAAGAAGAACTATAACGAGATAAGAATTACTATACTATTCTAGCGATTCGCTAGTAATATTATATCTCTAGATATAATTTAAGTTATAATCAAAGATTTCGATCGTATTAATAGTAATATTTATTAGATTATCGAAAGAGAAGTTAGAATCTAATAAACTTATATCGATAGTCTTTAAAGAGTCTATAACTTTTTTATTATCGCTAAATACTCTACTATCTAGCGACTCTTCTCTTTTTCTTAATAGTCTCGTTTTATAGACTTCTTCGGATTAGAATAATCTTTCTTTTAATAGTCGGCTTCTCTATAATCGAAGTAGAGACTATCGTCTTAATATTTCTAACGAAAATTACTTAAGAATCTATATCTATTTCTATAACTACGCGAGATTTTAGTCTTAGTAGACGAGAAGAATCCTAGTCGAAAACCGTTAAGAGCTATCTCGATATTACTATTAGCGTTCTTACGATCTAGTTAGGTAGTCCGAGAAGATTAAGAAGATTTTCTCGAGAAAAATCTTCTCGAGCGATTTCGAAAAGAGACTATTCTATATACGTTAGTTTATATCTCTTTTTCGCTTTTATCTATAAAAAGAGCGTAATTTCTATAATTTTAGAAAAGTATAATATCTAGAAGAAGTTCTATTTAATTTCGAATAGTCGTTCTAAGTTCTCGTTTAAAAACGAGTAGATATTTAACGTCGCTACTACGCTAGAGCGAGAATCGAAATATAGCTAAAGAGTTTCGATCTTCTATCGAAACTCTTATATTATTTTTATTTACTTAAGAAAGTCGAACTCGTTTCGATATTACTTCTATATCCTAACGTTACCGAACGCTATCTAGAATACTTTCTTCTATATCTTTTAGTTAGTTAGAAGTAGATCGATTTCGAGACTATATTTTATATCTTAGTATATAAGATTCTATTATATTAAGATATTATTTTCGAGATAGAAAGTTACTAAAGCGATATATTTACGGCCTATTAAAGAACGTTTATTAACGACTTTCTTCGCGTCTAACTACCTTTCGATATAAATTAGCTAGACTTATATCGCGTCGTTATTTCGATAATTCTTATATTTTAGAAGCTTTTTAAGCTTTATTCCGCTAATATCTTAGAATAGATCTAACGATAAATACTACTATTTAAATAAAAGTCTAGATACGTTCGTCTAGTCTATAGATAAAAGAGTAATTCTTAATAGACCGTTCGTAGACGTCGAAGCGAAGATTTTAAGAGTTCTATAGTATCGTAGATAGTCGGCGAGAGCCGTTATAGTTCTTTCTAGATTTCTAAGACGATTCTCTTCTAGAAGTCTATATATTCTCTATAAATTAGCTTCTTCTATCGAGATATTGATTTCTAATACTACTATTACTAGGGTTAAGGGGATATTTATACGATATTTAGTATAAAAGAGCTTTTAGACGTAGTTTATAAAATACGAGTAAGAAACGAGCGGAAGATAATATACGATAGAAGAAAGATAAATAATCTTAAGAAGGATATATTCTTTATAGGAGCTTCTACCTTGTCTAGCGAGGGCGCTTTATAACCAGCTCTCGATATTCGAGGCCGTCTGTCACGGACAGGTCCACGGCCGTAGGAGTAGAGGTGTACTCCAAAAAGACTCGAATTGACTGCCCCCCGACAGTACGTACATATATCTTCGATAGGGTAGGGTTAAGCTTATACTCTTTAGCCAGTATATATAAAAGGAAACTCGCCTACGCTCTACTATCGAGTAGAGCCTTTACCTTATACTTCCTACTAGAGATATTAATCTTCACCTCTAGGGTAAGTAAGCTTTTCCCTAGCTATATTTTATCTTTAGATTATACTACTTAATTTTTATTTAGTTCTAGCGCTACTACGATACTTAATAGACTAGATACTAATTTTTTAAATTCCCCTTTATAACGTTCTTTTACTTTAATTACAACTCGTCTACGGGGGACTTATTCTTCTTTAGATAGTCGGCCTACCTATAACCTATAGCCCCGTAGGTAAAGTATCTTCCCGTAAAGGGCTCCGTAGAGGTTCCACTTATAGATCTTTGCTTTTTGGAATTCAAGTCTTTTTGGGAATTCGAGTCTTTTTGGAGTACACCTCTACTCCTACGGCCGTGGACCTGTCCGTGACACCGTCCCTAGCCAAATGGCACCCTATCCCCCGAGAGGCCTTACCATACGCCTTTCTTTAATCGACCTATTATTTCCTACTGTCTACGATAGTGCGGATAGGCCTAGATAGATCTAGATAACTATCTAGTTCCTACTAGTATAGTTTAGATAGAGTTCTAATAAAGAGTTCGTTCTAATAGTAATATCTCTTTCTCTATCGACGCGTCGAGCCCTTTAACGATATCGTCGTTCGTAATATCTAGGCCGATAGAATATAATTAAGAATATCGAAGTAGCTATTACTACTATATCTTAGTTATCTTACGAGCTATTATTTATAGCTAAGGGTATCTAAAAGTAGCGAGACTAAAATTTTTAGAAAGAGAAATTACTACTTACTACTATAATTTATTTTTCTTAATAAGAAATTTTTATTACTACTCGTCGTTCTAAGAGTATAATTCTCGTAAATCTTCGCTACGAAACTAGAAGAGATTCGTCGAACGTAGAAGATAAGCTTCGAGCTAGAAAATTTCCTTATCGATTAGTTTCGCTATATATTGAGGCGGTTTCGTTTATCTTTAATCGGCTTCGTATAGAAGAGTATCGATCTTCTCGACGATCGACTACGCTTCTCTTCTTCTTAAGAGAGCGTAGAAGTTCTTATAGACTCTAGTTTAAGGTAGAGAACTATCTCGTCGCCGCTACTAAATATAATTTTACGGAGAACTTGTTCTATTTTAACGGGGCCTAGGGCCTCGTTAGACTATATACTTTCTAGGGGTTATACGATAGTATACGACGCTAGTCGAGATCGAAAGACGGTTCTCGATGTCTTTACAATGCTTGGCACGTAGGGTGCCTATTTTGTCACAAGTCGTCCTTGATTGTGTCACGTGGCTTGGCATTTCTGGGATGTCATTGGACTACGCGTGACAGTACAAGGCAACGCTCCAAAACATCACAAATTCGAATGTGCTGTTCTGACCCATACAATCAATTATCAGAGACTGGTCCTCTGCTTCTGTCAAAATATAAATCCATCATTCAAAAAGAAGAACCACAGCCAGTGTGGTTACTCAGTATGCCACGCCAACCGCCCACGTTCGTGACAATGCTATAGCGTATCAAACAGGTGTCAAGAATTCTGAGCTTCAATGCGAGTGCAAGAGCAACAGCTCCAGGGCCATCATGTCGCTGCGGATATCTTGAATCCCCCAGGCTCAGGTCTCTGGTGAGGCAATGAACTGTCAAAAGTAAGAACGATTATCAAACAGGGACCTTACCAGCCTGGTGGAAATGCCTGTGGAACTTTGTATCTGCTAGGAATGAACAGGACATTTCCCGTTGACCGGCTTCGAAGTAACGTGCTGAACGGTGCACAGGGGAGTTCCAATGGCAGAACAGTTGTGGCGGATACTTCTTGTACAGCCGCACTGAGTGTAAGTTGTAGTCACCACGCGACACATTGAAGTTGATATCAGGGATGCCAGTCAAATGGATTTGCCGCCAAAAGTTGCAGTACAATAAAAACCATGGACGAAAAGAAACGACGTGACGATGGGATGCACACCAAACCACAATAGCAATCGGTAAGTCTCTCTGAGAAAGGAATCCATTTTATATGCGCGGCTGTAGCAGCTTCACCCTGCGCTCTTGCGCACGAGTCCGTTGAAAAAGTAAGGCCAAAGGGTCGATTCCCTCCCCTTCTTCGTCGATGACGCTTGACTAAATAGGTTGCTTCGTATCGAGTATTGAGGTGATAACTCAGGAGGCTGATTCAAAACCTGCAGTCAACCTTGAATAACCACAGCTTGGACAAGGGAGTTAGCACGGTCAAATGGTCGTTCAGCAAACCTGATATCCATAATCTGCTTCTGCGTCTCCACCAGGAGCGCGGAAACGCTACTGCGAACGATCAAATCCGCAAGCTAGAGACACTCTTGAGCATCAGAACACCTGTGCAGCCACGAAACATCATAGCATGGAAGGCACCACCCATCATAGCATCCGCCGGTTCCGGGGAATATCGTGCATAACGCAACGCTCACGGGATTTCAATTCAGTGCGCGGGCCAAGGGTAGCTGCAATGACTCAGGGTTGCCGTACGAGGCCCCTTATAGACATGCCTTAGGTAGCATTGAATGCCACCAGGTTTCTCAGCAACCTAAGCATGACCTGAAAATGGCTATTGACGAAGCGCAGAACCTTGGACGCTAGGTGCGGCACGACCTCCCCCCTGCTGGCTTGGCCCGTGTCAAAGTTGAGGCTCTTACACCCATCCATAGAATGATCGACCACGGGTAGCGGTAAGCGCGAAATGAGAGACTGAACGGGGTGAGCGGGGAGTTGATGTGGAACACATTAACCGTGCGAAGTGCGGGTGCTTTTGAGGAACGATGTGATATTGGCCATTATGCCGCATTAGCACAGTACACAACAACAACTCCCTGCTTCTTTTAGTGTACCACATTCGCGTGAACAACTGTTTTGCAAATGTTCCGTGCATACGAGCACCGGGTGCTGGACGAAGATTGAGAGCAGCGCTTGTAGCAGGCTCTCTGTCGCTCTCGCAGCCGTGTAGGACGTAGTAAGTCGGGCAAGTATGCACGGTAAGCCAGGAGGTAATCCTGTACTAGCCAGTTGGAAGAAATCAGTATAAGTATGTGTATGGGAGAATATCTCTGGGTAAGGCGTGAGTGTCGTTCGCCCCGTGTGCAAAACGATTCCGGCGCAGATATATAAGATTAAGATGGAGATGGAGATGGAGGACGCGATGAATAGGAACAGAAAGATCACGTGAAGTCACATGACGCCAAGCACCGCCTCTGACAAGAGAACTGCGTCGCTTGCAGGGCTTTGCTGCGCATTTTGACCCTTCTTCGTGTACATATTGTATGCATAGGACCATGGCTAACATCCCACGCGTGAGTGTCTTGATGTCGAGTTCGTCGAAGGTCAGTCGCGCATCGCTAATTGTACCCGATAGGTCCATTATCATGGTTGAGCTGCTATCTGTATAATTTGGCTCGACCTGCCTCGGAGGGACACGCCCACTGTCGGACCGATGGAAACCAGCAGCGCGTCCGTACCAAGAGCAACCATTCATGTCTCTGACGCTGCGAGACACCTATGGGGCCAGTCGCTCGACGACCTGTCCGACTCCTTCCGTTCCGTCCCATATGCTGTGTAACCTTGCCTGGAGAAAAATTCGTGTTGGCACCGGCTGGGACACCTTCACCATAAGCTGATGGTGCGTATCGCGAGTGGGAGACAAGAATCCAGGCTGTTCTGTGGCCAACAACACGGGCGGAAACCTGCTATGCTGGCCTTTTCCCTACCATCTTGATTGGCGCAGTTTATAACAGTCAGTGACACAAATCGTCAGCATGTCCAGTCATAACGATTCCTCCACTATCTTCTTACTGAGCCCAGAAAACCTTCACTCTCCTCTCCACAGGTCATATTGGACCCCGTATTGAGGAGGGCGAACATTACCCCACCCTGGGAACTGTGTGCGCTGAGCTTAGGGGCCGTCAGCATTCTGGACAGGTCCAGATGTGTCGACTCCGTATTGCTCTGTGTGGGTGCCCTGATTGTCATGCCACGCCTGCCGAGGTTATCCGCGGTCCACGCCGGCTTTACTGTCCTCATCCACTCCACCACTGACGGCACCGTATCTCCAGCCCTCCACGATATCCTAAAGCCGTAGTCCTCCACTAAAATCTCCGGGACCACCTCCACGAATGCCCTTTTTTCGACGTACCACCGGTTTAATCCGCGATCAACAGGGATGCAATTCGCCGGCGACGGTTCCGAAGTTCGAAATAGGCCACAACGCGATTGCAGCTTCCTCGTATCTTGCTGATCTGAAAGGATCTGCCTAATAGTTCGTACCAGCTGTCGAGATCTCAAGGGAGATAACGAGTTGCTATAAGACGGCCCACGTCTCCCTTGGGCTGATATTCTCTCTCGTTTCTTGTCTCCGAGTCTGACACAGCGTTGAATCAGCCTTCCCATCCTTCTGATTCTCAGCCACCTCTTCTGTCACCAGATCTGAACAAAAAGCCTCGAAGCGACGAACAATAATTGTCCGAAACGGGACTATACTTCCGACCCGTGACCTCCGCACAGCCGAGGCCAACACCAACAATCACATCACCGGGTCCTTGCGTCACTTTTGGGACAAAGCACAAAATCTACATAAAGGACTGTCCAAGCGTCCTTTGTTCAAAGAGACTCCTGTACCCAACTTCAACGATCTGATACCATCTACCCTTTCTCTTCCATCATTCAAATATCAGACCTTGACATCACCGTCGCCAATCGACTCTCTCAAGTTCAGCCGATCGCCAGTACAAGTACCATTCTCACCGGACACCGTTCAACGATACTCATTACCACTCTTTTCCACATCCCACCAAAATCAAAATGGCCGGCTCAGTCAAAGTCAACACCAACAACTTCCTCACCCTCATTCCCACCGCCCACCGTGTGGCAACTATTTCGGACTTGCAGACCTCCGATACCAACGCCGTAGTTGGTGAAGAATCAGCAATCATTCCCAGCATTCAGAAAACCCGCCGCTCCAGCTCGACAGCCACGGCCGACTCCAACACCGCTGCCGAAGAACCTTCCCTTACTCAAGTCAACTCAAGCAGCCCGGTCGTCGAAGCACCCGTCACGGACGTCAGTGTCCGCAAGTTTCTAAAACTAGGCAACTGAAGCAACGCACCACACCGCATCGCATCAACGGCCGACTTACGTTTTCTCTTATTGTCAAGAACTAGATCCTTCTGGATCGTTCTGTGTTACCATTACCGCCTTTTTATTACCGCGACTAGTCACGAATTTTGCGTTTATGCTGGAGTTGGTCTCTGCCCCGCCACGAAAGGGCTAGGTGATATGTCGCATGGCTATCACGACATGGGTTTTGTCATTGTTGATGGTCGAATCCTATGATGGATGGGAGACCGTATGTATTTTTTGGAAGAGCAGAACACCGGTTCAAGTTCAAGTCCAGGGCAGGCCGCCAGGTCAAGCCTGATGGAATTAGATATAGGGCATCATGAAAGGCTGGTGTCGCCTTCATGGCGATCGCCTCCGCACCCGTCTCGGGTATGCTTAGGCAGGTTACGGTTGCAGAAAATAAAACTTCTATGCCGCTGGTACTGCTTGCTCTACGAACCAGATTCATATGTGTGGTTCTTCTGAAGATCCGATGCCGATCTCAGCAATCATTCTTGGTAGAACGCGAATCACACTATAGATAAAGGTGGCCGTTATCAGAGCAACTGTTCGAGTTGCGACAGTGATCGTTTCAACTACTAGCGAAAAGCCTTTACTAAGCCGCCTTACGACTGTAACAGGATCGAAAAAAACCCGAGGTTTTTAACCTATGCAAGAATACCCCAAACAAAAATGGATGGAGCGTTGCCCACTGCATCGGCAGTACTATTTACCCCAATAGCAATGAAAATGGAGGTGGGGACTATAGCAGTAACAGTGGCACTTTAGTGACTGATAGTATAGTAGTATGACACTGGTATTATTGCCAGTGGCAGATAAAGAAAAAGTCGGCGAATTCAGGGACTCGACTTGACTTGGACAGGCAGAGGCAGGCCGGCCCGACAGCCTGTTTCGGATCAGATGGATTATGCTCTCCCTTTTACTATACATTGTAGAAGTGAAGTAGGTTCCTGCCTACCGATAAGAGTTTTATCTCCAGAATGGAAAGCGAGCCGGTTTTATTACCAGGCAGCGCTGTGTGCACACAGTACTAGTACTTGGGTCAACCAAATCGTGCTCTGTACTAAGGGCTGATGACTGGAGGCGTACTCACCTTTCAGGAATGAATCTGGGGGATGTGTACGGTATATTGAGGTAAGTCTTTCCGAGATGGTCTAGAAGGGTCGATATCTAGTTGTAGTAGGATACCTACAATGCACCGACAGGTACCTTCACAAGTTGTGCGCTGCAGTGGAGTAGGAGCAATAATCACACTTGTGTGCAGCAATGCAGAGCCTCGAGCTATATCAGGGAGTGGCAAATTAAATTATCAACTCCGGTACTATAGTACCCGTATCGAGGTACCGGGGTCGGTTGTAGAATCACCCAGGTTGCCACTCAGTGGAAACTGCATACAATGTACAGCTACCTACTACATACTTGCCTGGCATGGTTCCCGCAGTTGTCACCAAAAAAGGGTGGCCACGCCAATATCCTACTAGTACTGCCAGAGATCTGCTTCGTCCGACTCCGGTTTGGGTCGAAACCTGAAGTGATACGACAAGGATTGGGAAAAGTTCTCTTTCGGAACGGATTGCTTTCGAATGCATGACAGAGTGGCGTCTTCACCTTTATTTTGCATTTCCATTTCTTGATGTCCATTCCTGCTCGCCAGGCTTCTTCTTTCATGCTCGTCGGGATCGATGTCGAACTCGATTTGAGGAAGGGGAAGTGGTTCTCGTCACGAACAACATCAACACACCGCCACCGCTGGTGGCGTAAACTTCGAGGAAGGAAAGAAGTCATCTTCCACTGTCCTGCCACGGCACCCGCTCCAACCCGGTCGGTCATGCAGATGGTGCGTGGCTTTCTGTTCTTCCAGTGCAAGCCGCATTCTGTACATCCCATCTCATCCAGGTTCTCCCAAAGTAAGCCAAGAATCTGGTTTCCTGGTTTGAGGATGGAGCGCTCGCAATGTTGTCGGAATCTGTCTTACATGGGATTGACCAGTGGGCTATCTTGCATAGAACAACCACTTGGAGCTTGTGGTTCGTAGCCCTGTGCGATGTTTCACGAAGGGCTGCATTTGCCTGAGCGGTCTGGTCTTTGATTTGGGACTGCCCCCTTGATGGAACCCCTTCAAGTTTCGGACGGGCCCTGATGAGCAGCGTAAGATTGATCTGGTTATGTCTCTTATGGATATTGTTGTAGGCGTCGACAGTATTCCACTCGTCATCAGAGTTTTCCGAGGCTGTGTTTGCTGACCTCTCTTTTCCACTAGCCTAGAACCGATACGGTTGGAGGTCATCAAATGCAAAATCTTGGTCGAACCATTGTAGAGCCTCGATACCTGTCATTGCTGAGTCATCCATATTCGCTTGTACCAGCGATGGCACCCCCAGCTGTTGGTCAGACTGCAAATACGCGTCTAGTTGCAGCTGTTGTGGCGAGATAATTGGTTCATTATTCGAAGCTCGAAAGTTCGTATTCTCCGCCGGACACGACCGCTGGCTGGCTGAATCCGAGACTTTGGTCGGAGCCGATCCTGATTGAGATCCATCCACGCACCCTGTTTGCAAAATTTGCTGAACATCACGGGTACTGATATCAGCCCTATTAGTCGCGTCCGAAGATTTCGACGCCTGGGCCTTGATCTGTGTCATCACAACGTAAAATGCTCGCACCACATGTGAGTTGTTTTGCTCACATACTCGTGCCAGGGTTTCGATGAGAGCACTCAGATACTCTTCAAACTTCAAGTCCTCGGTATTGATGGTAAATTGTCCTTCAGCAAATGGTTGGCTTTCGCAGACGTTGAGAAGCTTTCGCAAGGCCCAAGCCGCATAACCGGTACGGACAAAGAACATGTTCGGCAAAGCACACAATGTCGTGAGATTCATGGAAAGCAAGGCATCGAAGCAGCCATGAATTGCTGACAGGCAAGCGAAAAGTGATTCGATTCTTGCGGGAAGAACCTGCAGAGCCGTCATGGAAGGGATCAGATTCTCTCTCGTCGGGCCTGCTCCCATAGGGCGCAATGGTGGACGGAACTCGTCTATGTTGTGTTCTGAATGCAGGGCTATTTCATGGACGTACAGAGTGGCACTTGCTTCTATATGGCGCACGTATGCTGTCCAGCTGTCAGTTGAGCCAGAAAGTTAGCCCACGAAAGCCGAACGGGGCTCCTTACGTAGTAAACGGCTGGTTTTACAAGACCGTCGCCAATGCTCGAGTTGCTGGCGAAATACTCCCATCTGATACCGAGTTTTTGGGTCGTTGAGTGTGACAGTGGAGCCCGGATCATCCATGGAAAACATGACCGCGGCATCCTCGACGATGTGCTGAAGGCGAACGAGATCGCATAGCCAAGTATCGCTAGGCAAGGCTTGCGGCTCAGACGCTAGCACGTCTAGGCATTCTTCAATATAAGCAGACCAACGCACGAAAGAAGGGTGGCGGAGAGACGTAGAGGCACTGCAGGCAAGATTAGTCAAAGGTAGGCGAGTTCAAGATGGGCACCTACCTTGTTGCCAAATAGTAACATCCCAGCCAAGCTCGTCTGCCTGCAAGTGATTCCAATTCGTTACGACTGGCCTGCCCGGTCCGCGAAGTCTTGTGGGACCGCCTTCCTAGGCCAATATCCAGCGCCATCGTACTAGCCATGTGGACGATCTGGTTGAAGTTTAATTCCCGGGTAGGCTTTGGTTTGGCATAATACGTAGTATATAAGAGCAGGGCTTGAACTAGTTCAAGCGACCTTTCCCCTCTGTGGACAATCCGCAATGCTAGGTCTTTGGTGAGCATGTTGACAAGATCAGCAGCAGTACTCGAATGCGTCGAAAACAAGGCCAATGTGACGATGGTAAAGAAGAGGAAGGGCTGTTGATTCCTGACATAGTCCGCATTCGAGCTGGGTGGAAACACCACAAATGGAAAGAACTGGCACATCTCATGTTGATAGCGACTGAAAGCTCTGCAAGCGGTATCCCAGTCCAGAAGGCCCTGATTGAGGGCATTGACAATGAGCCCATCCATGGGGTTTAGCGTCTGATCCGGATCAGATTCATGGTTTTGTGACGGTTCTGCGACCTCTGTGGCCCCCGATGCCCCGGATGCCTGTCCACCAGAAGTGGCTGCCTGACTACTGGCCAGCAGCGCTGTAAGGGCGTCGATCTTTTTTTCGAGGTCGGCAACCCTATCCGTGGTTTTCGGCCTTCTTCGACGTGTAACGGTCTGCATGATGCACGGCCGACGAGCTCTGATGCAGAGCTTGCATGCATCACCCAAAGCCTCGTCAATCTCGCAGCGAGTCTTCATTCGGCGGCAGGCTACACAGGCTCTGCTAGATCTGATTCTGCGTGCACCGGAGGCCGCCGCATCCCCATGATGCTGATCGTCACTCTCATCACTTGCATCACTCTGCACGTAAGGATCGTCAGCCAAGCTCATGGTAGGCTGGACAATGTCCTCTCGCATCAGAAGAATGTCGGGATTGTTGAAGTTGGTGAAGGGTCAATGGAGGACGTGGATCGATACATTCGGCTCAACACTTTTTCCGATGTCCGATTTCCCTTTGATTAGTGTTGTACACAGTCGGCTCCGATGCCCCACTGCCAAGGAACACTTACGTCAGCTGCACTTCCTGAACCTCGCTGTCGACCCTGAACAACGCTCGACAACGACGTCGACGACGAGGTTTGCCACACTCTAGAAGACTCCATAGCATTGTGTACACCGTGCAAGACTCGGTGTTCTCTCCGATTTCTATAGTATATATAGGAGTGCTCTGTACACTGTAAAGTGGATAGAGCGAGAGCAAAATACAACAATTTTAGCGCATCTGCCAACAATTAGTCACGATGCAATTGTCCTTCCCATGCGGGTGCCATGTTATGGTTTTCGGTGGGGGAAGAATACCTCATGCGCAGCGAAACATGACAACCACTAGGTGATCCCACGCCCCTAATAACTGCTGCTAGACAAACCAATAATGATAGTATCGAGCAATGAATTATGGACTGCCCAGGGCTGATGCTACTAAAGAGCCAGCAAGGTATGTAGTAGTACCATGTAGTTCTGCGGACCAATCGCACAGCAAATAATCCAGATTGGAAAGGCCCCGATATGTACAACTGTACATGATTGGGCCGTGACTTCCAAAGCCGTGTACCACTTACTCTTGCAACCGATGATACTGACTCAACAGTAAGTAGTACCCAATAAGATCGGGTCAGGACTGTAGAACAATGGAAAACGCGGTATCATATCATTGCAACGTTGTAAAAATGCTCTCAATAGGATGAGGGAAGGGAAGGTCGCGTAGTTATCGTGGTGAGTCGAGAGATGGAATAGGGCGGCGTCACTCTTAATCGGATTCGTGGATGAGTCGAGTGTACCTTACTGATGAACCTCAGCTTGGCATCAAGTCCGCTTCGGAGCGCATCACCAGAGTCCAACCACAAGCCTACCTACATTCCCTCCGACACTGAACAAGCTCACTTGAAGCCTCCGGCCAACGCGCTCTAGCTTTAATATCAGCTGTCTGGACTTGGAGCAGCTCCCTCACCTCGTCCCTCCTCCCACAATGTCGACCATCACACGAACGCTGCGGAATCTGTGGAGGATTGGGTTCAAAGAATATGGCCACCAGTTGCACTATATCGTACATTTCCCCCCGACAAGCATGTCTGATGTTCACTCGCTGATTCGTGACAGGGCGATACCAAAGCCGGTGTGTTGATTGGAACCGACCGCTACGGCAATAAATACTATGAGAACTTGCAGGAAGAACTTCCTTTGCGGACACGATGGGTGAGGACGAACCACTCATTGAACACCCTCTCCCGGATATCGCGGGCTGATAATGGAGGCAGGTTGATTACAAGGACAAGGAGCTGGATGCCAGTCAGATCGAGCCCGGGTGGCATGCCTGGATCAGCTACTTGGTCGACAAGCCACCTACAGAAGACAAAATCATGGAGGTTGGCATACGGCCCTGGGAGCCAAAGGAGCCCAAGATCAACATGACCATGACAAGAGGAGCATATCGACCATATTCTACGTACGTTAGCCCGGCAAACTGAATCGCCGCACCCACTGATTGATTGCTTGATTGACAACCCGATGCAGGACGAAGCCAAAGTATGACGCTTGGTATCCTGTTGCCAAACCTCGAGACGGCTCTACGCCATTCGCACAAAGAGATATCCGAGAAGGAGGAGAGTTTGAGCCAAGAGCATAAACCACCACCGCGAGTGTGATAGCTGCCGCGGGGCGTCACGTTTCTGTACAGATGCATGCATGAGGAGTTTTCTCTAGGGTTCTGATGGGATGAACAGAAATGCAGTGTGCTTTTCCAATTTTGCAAACAATGAAGGTATCTCTGGGATTGCGCCACATAAACCCAACCTGCCGAATTTTATTTACGCCATGTGTTCTGTCTCGTCAATTCATGTCTTTGTCGGCGGTGCCCGTCGGTTTATTCTTGCTGGGCCTAACTCGGCTCTGACCTCATCGAGTTGTTGAAGTCCGAACTTCTCGTTTCCGTTCTTCCCACGTTTGCCTTTTGCGCCTCTCCGTTTACCGCCGCCAGGGTTGGCCTTGTTCCAGTCGCCAAGGAATCCATCCATCATACTGTCGAAATCCTCGCGGACAGCCCCTTCATCGGCGAAACTCGTGGTCGATAGTTGTGACATTTTCGATTGACCCGTCATCCCCGAGGCCAAGGACATTCCACCATCCATATCGTCAAACTCATCGCCCTCGTCTAGGGAATACATCTTTTCCACTTGATCAAACCGTGCATCCAGCAATTGCTGGCCCTGTGTACGAGCAAGAGATGAGGAAGTCATAGAGTACGAGCTGGGATTTGTCAATGCGCCTTTCCGCTTCTTTTGCCGTAGGGGCGTGCCGTTCAATGTGTACAAAGATGGTGCTTTGTCCTGTATAGCCGAAGCGGCGATGATAGATCCGGCGGCTTTCGGTGGAGGTTTTCGGGCATTGTCGCGCTTGAATTTGGCAAAGTCCCGCAGCCAATCGCCGTCCTCTGCAGCAGCAGCTTCTGCGTCAAGGTGTGCTGTATCATCATCCTCGTGTCCGTCCTGAGTGACCGGGGCGGCCGAGGGCAGCTTGACTTCGGAGGGCTGTGTGGGTGCTTTTTCGGTGGCATCTGACTCCCAGCCCTCATCCTCCTCGTCAAAGTAGTTATCTTCGAACTCCTCCAGGTCCAGTTCACCGTTAGGGCCGTCTTGTGCCAGAGCAGCGAATATGTCCTCGTCACCCTGATCGTCTACATAGGCCTCGTCCTCCAATGCCTCCAGCACCTCTCGGAGTCTCGGATCCATATCAGGTTGGAAACCGGCGATCTCATCGGGCACATCCTGTTGGCTCTCGTATTTCCGGTCTTTTGTGCGCGTCGTAAAGTTGGAGATCATATCTGTTCCAGCGACACTCCGGTCGTCGTCGAGCGAGACTTCTCGCAGGGCGTCTTCCAACTTCATGGTCTTTGCTTTGCCCTTCCCTTTGGTCTGCACTTTGACTGGCGTGGCCTCAATGAAGTGCGACTCGCCTCCGCCTTCGCCAATATCTCGTAGATGTTGCATATAGTCATAATTGGTGTCGTCAAAGTAAATTCCATATTGAGCGGCTTCCCCCTCGTTCTCCCGCATACTGTCGAAATCCAGGTCATCTTCCAGGTCTTTCAGGTGGAGGCCTTTCTTCTGAGTAGTTGTATTTTGTGACGACGACGCGGGTCCTGACACTGGGTATAATGCCCGCTCGCCCGCCGATTCATCGTGTAAGGCTGGGTCATTTTGCGGCCGGTAAAGCAGTTGGAATGTCTGCGCATTATTCTTGTCGCTGTCGTGCTTGTCAGTGGCATTGCGGCTGCCCAAAAGAAATATAAACCTACATCCAGCGTCTTCGAGGCATTTTGGTCAGTCAAGCCGATGGAAGGGATTGACAAACTGTATGGCGCAGGAGTGCGGGCGATTTATGAATTTGGGCAGCTGATGGGTGAGTCCTCAATTCCTTGAGTTTGCGGAGTGAACGTACAAAAAGTAAATTTCTAAGAAAATTGTCCGTAGCGCCACAATTTCTCCCGCCTTACAAATGACGTTCATCTGCGCACTGCAGAAACGATATATTCTCCTCAAGCCAACAACCACCCATTGAGGGGATTTTATACCCTCTTCCTTGGTAGAATACAATACTTTTCGGCTGCCACCGCGTTCACGAGATCACAATTCACCATGGTCTTGCCAAAGAGCAAGAACAGCGTCGGGCTGGGGAACAGTCTTATGAACGACCGGTTTGGCAAGGGCAAAGGCGCAGACAGGAAAAAAGTCTCTCATGGAGGCATCATACGGACAGACCATACTACGGGACAGTCATATGTGACCAATGCGGCGAAGGAAGCGTCATGGGTCAAGATGCGCAGTGTGACGGAGCAAGGTGCTCTCGACGAATTTCTCTCGACCGCAGAACTGGCGGGCACGGATTTCACGGCGGAGAAGATGAACAATGTCAAAATCATACACACAGACCAGAAAAATCCATATCTGCTGAGTGCCGCAGAGGAGAGGGGTGCTCGGAGGAAACACGCGCAGAACAGAGGACGGTTGACGGTGCCGAGAAGACCTGCGTGGGACGAGACCACCACCCCGCAACAGTTGGATGAACAAGAAAGGGCAAGTTTGTTGGCCTGGAGGCGTGGGCTTGCCGAACTTCAAGAAAATGATGATCTGCTCATGACCCCATTCGAGCGCAATATCGAAGTTTGGAGACAACTGTGGCGAGTCATTGAACGATCCGATCTTATCGTGCAGATTGTGGATGCTCGGAACCCTCTGTTGTTCCGGAGTGAAGACCTGGAGAAATACGTCAAGGAAGTCGATCCCAAGAAGCGCAATTTGTTGTTGGTCAACAAGGCGGATATGTTGACTGAAGGACAAAGGAGACAGTGGGCGGATTATTTCACCGAGCAAGGTATCAACTACAAGTTCTTCTCTGCGCATCTGGCAAAGGAGATGAACGAAGGACGTGATGCCATGGAAGAGCTGGATGCCAGGCAACTTCAGCAGCAGATGGACAGGACTGTGCCACAAAAGACGTTGGTGAACAACGTCCAAGATCTCAACCTCAAAGAGACCGAAGGCGAAGAGTGGACAGATGAGGAGGATGGAGATGAAGGAGATGAAGAAAGCGATGAAGGGAGCGACGCCGAGGACGAAGACGACAACGAAGATGATGGATCTGAACACGTCGAAAATCCTGCATTCTACCAATCGTCGGAGGAGCGAACCCGGATCTTGACTGTTGACGAGTTGGAGGCTCTGTTTCTGGAAAACATCCCCAAAGACAGTACCAGCGATCGCAAAACGACCATCGGGCTGGTCGGTTATCCCAACGTCGGCAAGTCGTCAACCATCAATGCCCTGATCGGCGCGAAGAAAGTCAGCGTCTCGTCCACGCCCGGCAAGACCAAGCATTTCCAAACCATTCACCTGTCAGACAAGGTGATCCTGTGCGATTGTCCAGGTCTCGTCTTCCCCAACTTTGCCACCACCAAAGCCGAGCTGGTCTGCAGCGGTGTTCTACCCATCGATCAACTGCGTGAGTTCACCGGCCCAGCCGGACTTGTGGCGCAAAGAATACCCAAGGAGTTTCTGGAAAACGTTTACGGAATGAAGATCATCACGCGGCCGCCCGAGGAAGGCGGCACTGGTGTGCCTACAGCGTCCGAACTTCTCCGCGCGTACGCAAAGGCTCGTGGCTTTGCCACCACGGGCCATGGCCAGCCTGACGAATCTCGCGCCGCAAGATACATCCTCAAGGACTATGTGAATGGCAAACTGCTTTATTGCCATCCACCGCCTCATGAGCCTGAGATTGACGGACGCGAATTCAACGAAGCACTCTATGACTTTGCCCATCTCCCGGCCAAGCGGCAAGCATGGCTGATTGCACACGGCGACGAAGCCGGAGTGGCTGACGGCGAGACGGAACCGACCCAATCACAACCATCTGTCTCGAAGCGGCCCCAGGAGACCGGCAACCGGTCGAAAAGACTAGACAAGGGCTTCTTCGGTCCAGGCAGTGGGAATGCGGGTCACTTGACCATGCCGTTCAACCATCAGTACACCGAGCAAGGGCGGCAGCAGAAGCAGAAGCAGCTCAGCGGCCGCAAGGCCAAGACCATGGCCGCCCTGGAGAAGGACGTGGATCCGTCCGAGCTGAAACTGAACACCAAAAAGCATTTCAAGGGGGCTCGCCGGAAGGCCCGTAATGCCAGGGCGGCAGATGAAGATGAGGACTAATGCCATGATGGGCTGTGTTGGTCTTGCTTTTTTTCCTCCTGCCACGAATATACTTATTGTATGTTGTAGCGAATGATATGATCCAGCCTAACCGTCCAACTTGGAAACGCTCTTTTCCTCCCTTCTTCACTCTCTCTTTCAGCCCTTGATGAAAGGTGTTTGAACATCCCATCAATCCGACCCGGAAGCAGTCCAGTCAAGCAGAGTAGAGCATATATCCATCCAGGCGGACAAGGCTACACAGCCCTTCAGGGCTCCATCACCATGCCAGCATGTTCCGAAGTGGAAATCTGTACCGTGAAGTCGCAGTACTACGAATTGGGTGGTAGTGTGGAAGTATGAATTTCGTACGTCGAGGAGTGAATAAAAACGTCTGGAACCGAGATCCTTTGAGGCTTCCGAGTCCTCCGACAGGTGCAAGCAAGCGCTTCGCCGAACGAATAAATTGTACAATTATACTAGGGACGGAACCGGTTCTCCGCCTCCACCTTCAAGTTTAGATCCATAAACTTCTTAGCAATATATGGGTCCTTTTACTATATGCCTTGTGTCCCTGGTTGCAAGTTATTGTCGATAGCGGAATACCTAGGTAGGTACGAAGTATCCTTTCATGCAGCCACGGCACAATAATACTGACGTTGCCTTTCCCCGGCACGTATGGACTCTGTTGGAGGAACAGGTAAATATGATCCCGTGCACTGCATGACAAGTGCAAATGGAATAATTCAAGTAGAAATCGGATATAGTAGGGATGTACACAATGTGCTATAAATCCTAACACCAAGGAACACAACTACTAGAATTTATGTATATATTCAAAACCTACATATTCTTCTCTCGCAATCGACCATAGGATCGAGAGAACAGCGCTTCCCGTTCGCTCAGCGGTACTTAAGCTCGATGCCGGCCAGTTAGTACTAAAGTCGGTGACGATTTGGGAATCCTGGCTGTCGATTGTTTTTGTTTTTTTGTTCCTCTTTTTCAAAAAGAGTTCCTTTTACCTTTTACCTCTTCTCCGCTTCCTGTGGTGCCTCTGCCTCGTCTGATTACGATTGTACCTGGTACATTGTACAACTACATTTTGTTTGGAATCCAGAGAGTATATATAGACAATTAAAGTCAAAGCAGTTACGCCTTGCTGCAGTTGCAGATACCTTGATTGTACTCTTCAACAAGGAGCCTAGCCCACGCCTGAGCAATGCCTGTCAAGACTCCATAGCACACTTCGTTGCGCCTCACGTTCGGAGTTATCATCTTGGTTATGCGCTCTGGGCTCTAAATAGCCTCAAGACGGAGAAGATACAACTCGGAGCAATTTCTCCGTTGATCACCTTGTTCGTGGCACTGTTGGCCACGGGTCCGCCACACCAACCTTGCGATATACTCGCCGCCGCCGGAACGTAATTCGTCCCGATCTTGAGCTTCTTGATTGTCCTCTGCGTGCGCGCTAGATATGCTGCGGTCTTGCTCGTATTCCTGCAACTCAAGGGAAGCGAATGAAGAAAGCTTAACATGTCGAGCAATACTACCCAAAGGGGATTCTTTGGATGGCCGCTTGCAAAAAGAGGGAACGAGGGAGACGAGGATAGCCTGCATACATTGCCTCTCATTGGACTATGTCGGCGACGCTTGAGGAGAGATTGGGCTTTCTTTCGCTTGGTATCCGTTGCCGAGCCGTGCCCAGCATGGCGAGCTGGACAAAACAATCGTTCACCGCGACTGAAACTATGCAGACCAATGACCTTGCTTCGACGTGCACGTTAAACATAAACATTGGTCTTCTCCCTCCATACGAACAATCAGTGACGTGCGTAGGACTCACTGTAGACGGACCCCCGCCCCGAGGGAGCTGTGATGGTTCGTTGCTCGGCGTAGTCTAACACGCGGCGACAGAGCCATCGCAAAATCGAATACTGGGTAAACATCTATAATAATATTTCAGTCGCCATGGTCTTTCCAGGTTTCCGGTAGTTGCCAGGTCAGGCGTTTGGTAGGCGGGGTAGCATCGTTGACGACCACCCTTGGTGTTGTGGTTGCTATTTGACTTGGTGAGGAGCTTAGTAGGGCTGAGTCAACCATGTCATGGCCAATTTTGCCATTGGATTGTGACATTGGAGGGGTCTCTGTTCCCGGCAGAACTGGTGGACTTGTACCAGGTCTTTCAATGAGGCTCGGATCGAATTCCGGATCACCAAGTCTGTTGCCATCATCAAGCCCTTCCTCTTCTTCCGAAGGGCTGTCAAAGCTGACAGGTGTCGGAGGTGAGTACAAGTCGGAAGGGCTGAGGGTATCGGTGACGGAATCTTCAGAAGTTGACCGCCGATGCCCTTTCAGGATTCCATGACGGACACGCTCTGCCCGAGTAGAGTGAGATCTGCTAGGGCCCGGACTGTGGGAGGGCGTCTCGAGGCTGTGCAGATTCAGCCATTTAGAGCTGGGAGATCTGGCTAACACGCTCTGGACCAGAGGCAATTCCAAGTAGCTGTTGAGAGACCCTCGCGAAAAGATGACCAGTCCTAGACAGATGAGGATCAAGATCATTTGCAGAATAGACATTCGCTTTTGAAAGATGACTTCGTCTGCGAGTATACCCAGACGAGCATTGATGGCGAGGTTCTCTTGCTGATACCGTTCCCGCTGCAATTCAAGCTCGATAACAGTAGATTGCCAAAGCTGATCATATTGCTGCCGGAAGTCCCGCAGTTCGTTCAGGACTGTTGTGTTCAAATATTCCAAAAACGACGTGGTCTTAGCCATCTGCCGCTGGTCAACTTTCTGGAATGCGTCCCGAAGAGCACGAGATTGCTCTTCAATATACTGCAGCGAAAGAGAAGAATTGGCCTCTAACATTTGCAGGCGCTTTTGCACAGATTTGAAAAAGGACTCCTGTATTGTTGGAGCGGCCGCTGTGGCTTGTGTCGTAGATGAAGCCGGTTTCATGCTATTATTGACTGCAGTAACTGTTGGGTCTTTACTTATGCTGGAGTTGTTGGCAACATCAGGGATGGACGAGGAGATCTGCGTGTCAGCGAATGTCGTCGTCGAGTTGCTCGCAGGTGCTGTGGATGTCGTATGCTGACTGTTGCCAGCCGTCTCAGTGGTTGTAGGCATAGATGTGGATGTCACTACCACGACGTTTGTGGTCTGATCTGTCGCCGCGGGTTGGAGTTCCTCGGGCTCGATGGTGGTAGGGTTGTCGACACTTTTGCACACTCCGTACGCCTCTTCATTCATACTCGGTTCATCGAACGGGACTGAAAAGTTGGCTGAGGAGGTTGGCATCGGCATCATCATGGACGTGGTCGAAGGAATGTGGATCACACTAGGAGTTTCTGGCTTGATTGGAAATGAGTCGGACGGTCCCAGGTCTGAGGTTTCGACTACCGGAGGGTTTGAGAGAGAGGCTTCAGAAGTAACCTTCAATAACGGCTCAGCCACCGCCTCTGGAATGAGTTCATCCATCGCCAAAGACTCTCCACTGTCCTGGGACTCAACGTCGTCCTCCTCCATCTGCAGGGACTCCAGGTCATGCTTATAATCCTCCAGCATGGTAGTTCCATGTACGCGCACTAGACTGAGCGGACAATAGTATTCATTGCCGTAGTGGGTCAGGAATTCAATGCGCAGATACCGTGCCCAGATGACAGGGTTCTCGACTAGGAAAGCTTGCACATCGCGGGAGTTGCGCGCCTCGAATGTTCCTAACGTTTTCCACTTATCAATTTTGACAGGGTACTTATCGGATACGCTGACCCTGAAGGTTCGAAAGGTTGAGCTGAAGAACTCGAAATTGGCCAGAACAATAGTATCGATAGCGATATCATCGCAAAGTTCCAAAATCAAGAACTTGTTCTGCGCAGAGCATTCGTTGAGCATGTAGGAATCTTTGTTTTTCCCGAGCACGGCTGAAGGGCTTTTTGCTTCAGGATTTGTCTTTAGGACACTGGCCGCGCAGTCGAACGAGGCGTAGTTGAATCTCTCCTTACAAGTGGTCCCAGCATCTTTCTTCCTTACGCCAGCTCTTGGGGCAGAGCCAGGCTTGACATCGGAAGGCGTTTCATCAAGCTTGTGGTTGCTTTGCGATTGCCCTGGGGCGACAGACTCCAGGCTATCAGAGACGAACCCAGAGAAATCAATATCGATCTCGGCGTCGTCTCCAAGAGCATCGAGTGATTCCTGCACGATATTGGGCCGCTTCCTCGTGTCTCGATCAAGGCCGTGGCCTTTGCCTACATGTTCCGACTGTCCAGCCTTTTTCAAATTCTCTCGCTTCCAGTCCTCGAATGACAAGAACTTCCCATCTTCAAGCGGCGACTCATCATCGGTAGAACCCACACTTGCTCCAGCGGACGACATGGTTGATTCAGGCAAGGGGGGACTTGAGACTGATTGTGCCGGCTCTCCGGTAATGGTGGCATCCTCGCTTGAGGTGGAGGTGAACTCCAATGACAGCGAGGTTGTAGAAGTGGTCAGGACCACTTCTGTGGTATTAGCATGTCGGTCTGAGGCATGAGGGATGGAGGCTGATTCTGGGTCAATGTAGCTGGTGGCCTCAGTCACGCTCGATGTTGCATTGGCTTTGCGAGAAGATGGCAGGCATTGCTGAGGAAGGCTGTGAGTGATATAATTAACCGTACGAAAGGGGCATGTAGCCGTTGCTATCGTTGAAGAAGTGGCCGTTGTGAAGACAACGAGGATAGAGGCAATGAAGAAAGCCTGCGCTGCGATCCATATGCCGGGCGCTGGCCTTCCGACCGCCATAATCGAGGCATTGATCGCAAAGGATCATCCGCAACGGGCCATGTGTGGATATGTTTGCGAGCTGCACCCAGTCTCACAGTCTGGCGTGAAGGTCCGCCAGAGGGTCGAGTTGTTGATGCAGTTTGCATTCATCATTCTCCACGGTGGCCCGAATTTCACCCGCATTCAAACAGTCGCCTCGAATCGCTAAGTGGCACACGCCGCTTTTAAGGGCAAACTGCGCCAACCACAAGTGTACAAATAGTAATCGTACATCAGCTACCAGGTAGATAAACCTACAGGTACCTAGGTAGGTACCTCGGTACCTAGGTACCTCGGCTTGCAGTGCCAGTGGTGATATCTAACATTGTACAAATGTAAGCAGAATGACAACCCACCCGTACAACTTGCAGAATCTGTACAGTGCCTACTACAGCATTGTGTTCAATGATACGCTGTCCTGGCGCTGGCAGGCCGGAGGTGTACATTGATAACGGCACAATGAAGATGCCAGATTTCTCAGCCGGCCTCATTTAAGTTGACATTGTTTCTCTAGAGGGCCAGTGTCACAGACCCCTTTGATGTTCTTTCAGCTTAGGATGCCACCAGGCTGCTAGTTCTTTCTGGTCGGGAAGACTCTACGTTGTGGATTAGTTTGCCCTATGAGGCAGCATCTAAACTTGACAATGTTTCAAAGCGATTGTTCGAGCGCAGAAGACCGGCATTGCCATTGGCAATGATGGAAAAAAGCAAGACCAACCGATCGTGTACTTCCTCCGATATGATTTGTTACAGTCGTCCACAGCTGAGCCTGTACACTGGCATTATTGTATGGAGCTGACCCTGGGCACCAGGTGCCTCGAGCTAACCCTGTCTGTCCTCTTTTCTGAGATTGAGATCTAAGGCGACTGCACAGGACAACATCGTACATGTTCGATTTCACAGGCCTGGGTGAGTCGGTGGTACGTAATAAAATGTCCATCATGAGATTCATAACAAAGCTCGACCACAGCACTCAAAGCTTCGAATAACCCACTGCCAAACCCCACAGCTATTATGCTCCGCTTCTATTATTACTGCGCGCAGGTCTCTTCATGATGCGCCTTTTTCCACTTTTCCAGTCGACGGTGACGACGGGGTCTCGGTGGCGGCATCTTTCTCAGATTGAGGATCCTTCCTCACCGTCGGCTAACGTGAATAGGGGAAGGGATTGTTTTTTTGCGTGGATCCAGATTCGCCTGGTCAAGCCACTCTCGCCCGTTGCCCTCTGCTAGTGGCTGAAGCCGGCACGCAGGGGCTGCAAGGTACGGGAAAAAGGGCGGCTGTCTGACCCCATGATCAACACGCGGCCTGCTTGTATTAGGCGGCTTTTGCGCGTGTAGAGATCAGAATATGGCCCGTCAGACTCGGAGCGGAAGTGAAACCTGGTGTGGCCACTGATCCACGTCAGCGAATGCAGGAACCATCATCTGGCGAGGCAGCAGCGAATGACCACGAGAAGCAGGAGCCACTAGGCTGTACCGGCAACTCATTGGCAAGCCGCGGCGGGTGGCGCTTTGCCGGGCTCCTCCACTCTGCAGCCTCCCGCGCAAGGTTCTTCATCCGCCCCGGGCCCCGGTTCACATTCATCAACAGAACCCGCCCTGCCCCGATGGACCTGCAATCTTCTCTTGTTTTCTTGCTCGCCCTCATCATTCTTGTTATTATTTAGGTACAGGTATTCCTGCAACTCTGCACAATTCCATCATCTTCGGTGCATTTTTTCACACGCTCTTTGCAATTCTCTTTTATCTTTTTGTACACCTCCTACATTCACTTGGATATACCAACTTTGTTCGGCCATTCTTCCTCTCGACAGACCTACATTCGCTTGAACACTAGACCATGAAGTCCTCGATCCTCGCCCTTCTTGGTGGCGCGGCCACTGCTCTCGCTGCTGTCCGCGGGTTCAACTATGCTTCCCAGGGCCAAGACTACGATGGCTTCCTCAGCCAGTTTAAGACGGCTGCCAGCCTGGCTGGTGCCGACGACTTCACCAGCGCAAGACTATACACCATGATCCAAGAAGGCACAACCAACACTCCCATCTCTGCCATCAAGGCCGCCATTGACTCCAAGACCACCCTGCTTCTTGGCCTCTGGGCATCTGAGGACGAGGCTACCTTCGAGAACGAAATTACTGCTCTCAAGTCTGCCATCAGCACCTATGGTTCGGACTTCGCCGACCTGGTGGTCGGTATCTCGGTCGGTAGTGAGGATCTCTACCGTATTTCTCCTATCGGCATTGCCGCCGGCAGTGGTGTTGGTCAGACGCCTGATGTCCTGGTCAAATACATTGGCAAGGTTCGCGACGCTATCAAAGGCACGGCTCTGAGCAGCACTCCCGTCGGCCATGTCGACACCTGGAACGTCTATGTCAACGAGACCAATGCTGAGGTCATCTCCAACTGCGACTTCTTGGGCTTGGACGAGTACCCCTACTACCAAACTACCGATGAGAATTCCATCGACAACGCTGGCAACCTGTTCTTCGAAGCATATGACAAGGTGGCTGCTGTTGCTGGAGGCAAGCCCATCTGGGTTACCGAGGCTGGTTGGCCCACCTCTGGTCCCAAGTCCAACCTGGCCGAGGCCAGCGTCGAGAATGCTGAGACCTTCTGGCAGACTGTTGCATGCGAGCTGGAGCACCGCGGAGTTGACTTCTGGTGGTACATTCTTGCTGATGCTGGCGCCTCGCCTTCATTCGGTGTGAGCGAGAACGGCAAGCCTCTTTACAACCTCGCTTGCAATGCCACCTCTGGCTTCAAGAACTCTACCTCCAGCTCCACTACTTCCGCTAGCGGTAACTCTACTGCCACTTCCACTGCCTCTGGCTCGCATACCTCGCACGCCTCTACCAACGGCACCGTGACAACCAAGAGTGGCTCGGGGTCTGCCACCGGCACGGGCTCTGGCAGCACCAGCACCGTCATTGAGACCGCTTCTGCAGGCGGCTCTGGTTCCGGTTCCGGTTCTGGATCTTCCTCTGGCTCCGGCTCCGGCTCAGGCAGCAAGGCATCCGCTGGTACTGGCGCCAGTGCGACTTCTACTGGAGCAACCGCTCCCTACACCGGTGCGGCTTCCAAGCTCGAAGGGTCCATTGCAGGCCTCGCGGTCGTTGCTGGTGTGGCTGCTTTTGCTCTGTAAAGAATTTGAGACACTTAGCTTTGACAGCCTCTTGAATTGAGCATCATGCTAAATATCCGAACCGCCGTTGGGAGGAGTGTTTATGGAACGCACGATGCTTCGATAGCAGTGGTTTCAAAACCCCCGTGTGCAGGATAGACTTGGTTATGATCGGAGTGGGATTTTGTGTATATGGTCTCTCAGAGACGTAAATAAAACAGGCATGCATCTAGGTACTGGCGTTCCGAGATTATAATTACATTCGTGTTAATCTTCAAGCTGTCTTTTGAGTAGATTGGGAAGCAATCTCACCAGTCCAGAGTGTAACATGAGAGGCATGGTACCTAAAAGGTACAACCGCCGGAATACCTTGTTACATGAGCAATAACAGAGAAGTTCGTCTCGGTTAAAGCAGCGCGACATTGTATTTCCATCACCCAACTCGGCCATTCCCAGTGGGCATTTTATTGTATTGTGTACGTCCATAACCTAGATGGCACTCATGATCAGCGGTATGGGGCTGAGAGAGTCGCTTGTTAGGTAGGGCCACTGGGAGCCTGGCGTTGATATGTTTGCCAGGAGTGTGGGATTGCGGGTTCTTCGAAACTGCGCTCGAAGTTCCAGAATTCTGCCTCCGCCAGTGACTCGAACAGCAGCACCCAGACGATTCTCTTCGTCCACAGCCGCCGCTGCCCATAATGGACCGGCTCCTACGGCGCATCCCCTGGCAGGAATCACCTCACAACTCGACCATATCGCGCCCCGGTTCGAGATTGATCCAGACAACATTGAAATCCTTGATTCTCCCACCGCGTTCTACGAGACCTTGAAGGTACCTGAACTCTGATCCATACGGGCCTGTTTGAAAAGGGAGTGACCTGACTAAGGCACTATATAGGCTAAAATTAAGGGAGCGAGGCGAAGGATATACCTTTCGACGCTGTATATCGGGAAGAGCGAACATGAATTTATCGACGCTCTAAGAGAAGCATTAGAGGACAACCCCGACCTCGAGCTTTCCATCTTGACGGACGCCTTGAGAGGCACTCGGGAGGACCCTGAGCCATCATGCGCGACTCTGCTCGCGCCGCTGATCTCGCAATTCGGCGATCGCGTCAGGATTTCCATGTTTCATACACCTAATCTAAACGGATGGAAAAAGAAATATATGCCCAAACGCATCAACGAGGGCTGGGGCTTGCAGCACATGAAGCTATACGGCTTTGATGACGAGATCATGCTGTCTGGGTATGTTGCAGATTCCTTGGGTCGACTCGGTTCGATTGTGCGAGTATCTAACACATATTTAGCGCCAACTTGTCGAACGATTACTTTACCAATCGGCAAGATAGGTACCACATTTTTGCATCCAAAGAACTCACAGACTTCTACGCAGCCGTGCACGAAGCGGTATGCGATCTGTCATATTCTCTTGTCCCGTCCGATCAACGTCCGGGGGCCTTCGAGCTGGTTAGTCCACATGAGCACGGCTTTCCAGATCCACTGTGGCACACAAAGCGGTTCAAAGCGTACGCGAAGGAGACTTTGGAGCCCTTGATTCATAAGAAGGCCCGTCAGAAGATGTTTCCAGTGCCCTTCACGAAGGAGAAGACCTTTGTGTACCCACTGGCTCAGTTTGATATTCTTCTGGGCGAGCCCAGGAACATCGCGTTTTTAGACTACGAGTTCGCCACATACACTTCCACCGAGAAACCTGCCCTCACTCGCCTACTGGCGAATTTAGCCGAGGACCAACGCCTACACCAATCCAACTGGACGTTCACCGCAGGATATTTTAACATCGATCCGGATATCTGTAACCTGTTGATCGCTGCGGCCCCAGACTCGAAGAATCCGGCGATGACGTCGAACTTGACTGGAGGCCCGGGCACAAGCGACTTTGAAAAGGCCTGCACAGTCATCACAGCGTCCCCTTGGGCCAACGGCTTTTATGGCAGCAAAGGCGTCAGTGGAATGTTGCCCGCAGCATACACGCTACTGTCGCGCCGGTTTCTGCGCACTGTCGCCAAAGCGGGCAAAGAAGACGTGATCCAGCTGAAGGAATGGCGTAAAGGGACCGTCGGCGAGCCGGGCGGCATGACGTACCACGCCAAAGGACTTTGGGTAACACTTCCACCACAGCCTCAGCCTGGCCTGGCGAGTGGCGGCAGCGAGCTTACCTCGCTCGTGGATGAACCAGGCCCTAGCATCACTGTCGTGGGCAGCAGCAACTATACTAAGCGGAGTTACAGCCTGGATCTGGAGATCGGGGCTATGATCGTCACCGGTGACGAGGGTCTCAAGGCGCGGCTGAAGAAGGAGACTGACAACCTCCAGGCCAACGCGGCGGTCGTGACTCAGGATGATCTGGCCAGAGTCGAGCGTCGTGTTGGATTGAAGGTCCGTCTGGCGCTGTGGCTTGTTGAGGCTCTTGGTGGTGCTCTTTGATTGTGGTTGCCCACTGCAGAATTGTTGAACAAGCAATTTTTTCCAACCCGTAATAAGAAACGCGGCGAATATACCCAGCGACTGGGCCCCGGCGAGTGTATTGACACGGTATCGGTCCAGGGAACTGGAGCTCGGAAAGCGGGCTATCATGCCACTTGTCTCAGCATGTCATGGTGCGGCGTACCTCCACGCAGTGAACCGAAGACGTGTCGTCCCCCATCTGACGACTTTCGAACTCACTCTCTATCATCATCATGCCCTGCAGTTGAGACTTTGGGGAAAGGTGGTGCCTAGATCATAGCCAGCACCATATCTCGCCGTTCTTTTCCTCTGCCCCCAACTTTCAGGGAAGCTTGCTGGGACATCGTTCAGGTCGTGGTTTCAGAGTTCAGGGCGATATGTGCAGGTCGATCCCTGACGAGTCGACATTCCCGGTCTGGAGTGGGTTTTTTGTAGGGTGGGGATGTCGAGATGCATATTGCCCTTGCTTGACCAGGCAGCCAAGCGCGCTCTTAATTTGAGATCCTTTCCGGAATTGCGTTTCTTGCCTACTCCTGGGAACCTGAAAAGGAAAGAGACTGAAATGTCCAGTGCTGGGTCCCTAAAAGGGAGGAGAAAGGAAAGATATCTGAGACCACAAGAAAAATAAAGCTACAACTAGAACGTTGCATATATTTGTACAAGAGGTCTTAGAGCACGGAGCACTCACGATGCCCGCATCTGATACATTTTCCCAGTACGCTCGAATGGGAACGTACGCCCAAAAGTGCTGGATCTGGTATCGTAGACTGTACTGTACGTGTCACGCCCAAGCGACGGCAGGTAAGAAATAAAGACAGTTGGAAGTGTTAGTAATAGTTTGTTCCGCAGGCAATAATTGCACCAGTCAGTAGTTCAAACCAAGCAGATAGGAATCCGCACAAGATCGAGCCGATCAAAGACAAGAGAGGTTGACACGTTTGACCAGTTGATGGTGCGTCAAGAGCAAAAAGAGGCGGCCATCGCGTGGAAAACGAATGGAATCCGCTGGAGGAGAAAAGGACGCTGGCGACTCGTGATATGGATTAGGAAGGGACAGAGGACGGAGGATTTGGAGGACGGGAAACAAGACTGGAGGGAACCTGAAAGGAGCTGCCTATATATGTATAGAGAGAGAGAAGAAGAAGAAGTAGGTACTCTTCGTCCATGTCAGCGATGGCAATGCATTGAGTGTACTTAGTACTAGTAGAGCAGAAGGACAGAGCAGCATGTATGGTACGCCCTCCTGGTCGTGATTGAATTGTACGAGAAGCAGAGCGACCATCTTACCATATCAGATATAACGCGATGTAAGATCCCACACTGGCTGAAAGGAGGATGGATATAGATAATATCCGGGCTGATGTATGGGCATGTTGGCCAGACAAGCGGCGGAATTGGCATCAGGAGATTCTGAGCACGGCATGGCATGCCCGCCATCGACACCTCCTCGTTGACGCCTCGTGAGAGAGTCGAGGTGAGCGCGCAGCGAGAAAGGAGGACTGGGAACTGAGGGTATCCGACTGTGACGCAGTGATTGGAACAAAACCCCAACGCTGTCGCAGGACTCGTATGAGGCTCGATGCGCAGAAATCGAAAAGTGCAAAGACAGTCTGAAGAGGCAAGATGAACAGCCATTCCAATCAGACTTGGACATTTCCCGCGATGGCTCTGGAACCTAATACCTTTTGGCTGCGTTATAATTGAAAAGATGTTTCTGACCAACTTGACGGTCGAACTATCGCAGTCCAAGAAACGCCGAATCCTTGTACAGCTTCGAATGAGTTGTCGCTTAGAACAAAACGCACCAGGCCATCATGGGCACGTTGGCGACTCCGAGCGAGCGAGGTCGCGAGGCGAAGACAAATACTCCGCAAGCGAAAAAATTGTTGGGGAATAGATTTTTATTTTCTTTCACTCGCCGGCTCGAGTCCCTTCGAGGCCCGACGTGTCCGTCAGAATGAACAAGATTGGAAGGAAATTTCGCCGTTTGAAATGTCGGTATATACACCGCCAATCTGGGGATGGGCAAGGAAAATTTCCTTCGAGATGATGGAGGGTGGGAATGGGCTGTGGATGGTGTCGTTTGAGATCCGGGATCTGTAGGTCAGGTTACTAGTAGCATTTAGGAGTAGTCGGGTGAGCAGCAGCAGCAGCAGCAGTAGTGGTGCTGGCATCGGCCAGGAACTCGATGATGGTGCAACATCGGCAAGACTGTCATCTCGGCGCTGGATCTCTCCAGCATTCAAACAGATCTCGGTGAGAGGAGAAACACGGACAACCAAAAATTCAATCCGCGTATCTAGATGGAGGGCTTCCAATGCGACTCGTAGCCCCGCGGTAGGCGCTGTTGATGGCTCGTTCAGGGTTAAACAAAGGGCAGAACAATGGTCAGGTAGCGCCTGTAGGTAAGGTTCTGCAGGCATGAAGCTGGGGAGTATCCAAAAAGTCCTGAAGTCGACGCAAGACTCGAGTGGATGTTGGTGGGGAGCATACTGGGACCAAGCGATGCAACGGCCCGTTTTGGCGCCCGAACCACCAGTGCTTCAAGCTGGGGCTATAATCTGCACCATTACTACAACTGCAAGTTGTAGTGATAGAGTGGTATCACTTCCAGGCTGGATCCTTACCAGTAAGCCTACCGTCAGGGAAGAGAAGCTGCTTCCCAACGAAAGGGCAGAATCCTGAGCTGTGGCTGGCCCGTATAGTATAAGCGGCGGTCAATGAAGAAATGGCTTGGGGAGTTCCACTCTGGAGTTCATAGTCCATGAGCCTCAGCCGGACCCCCCATTCAGGTGCAGTACAACTATAAGAAACACCGCAGCAGGGACAAGACGATGGCGCTTATGTACAGTTGTAGAGCAAGCGTTTGGGACTAACAAGTCCGTACAATGTATGAACTCAGAGGCTGCATTCGACCGCTTCTTGACCGGATAGATGGCGCCGGTCCCTCAGTAATATGCACACCCGAGATTGGGATTGCAGTGTGTCCATTGTTATTGACCGACACTGGGGTGAAGGGGCCAGGGTCAGTGACCGCCTCGACGTGATAAACATGCCATCTGTAGGAAGCGAATTTTGAATGTTTCGCTCATTTCCGTATGCGGCGAGAGGACCATGCATTTTGTTTGGCTTGGAATGCCTGCTAGAAAGGACGACGGGTCAAGTAATGTACAATGTTACGCTGTATACACCGTAGGTACCTAGGTAAGTACAACCCCGAAGCATGGGGGCCTACAGCTGAAACCACAGCCGCTCATCTCGAATGGCATTCAAAACCGCCAGTGTCTGTGCCTCTGCATCTCGAAATTATCCGAGATGATCTGTTCGACTGTCGACAGACAACTGCCAATCAGTTGGTCCTCTTTCACGTGGCTGTCCCGACAGAGCCCGGCTTATCACGGCGAGCGAACATAAACTGCAGTTGGCGTGCAGTGGTCTCCTAGTCGCCGGCATACAAACAAGGCCGCAATGTGCCCCATCAGCTCCCAGTGTTAATGTCGCTTGGACGATGACTGCTGATCACGACAAACATGTCATGGCTTGATTGACAGGACACCGGCTGCCTCGACTCCTTCAAGTTGAAGACTGCCACGCGTTCTGTTGGTCACCGAGAGTTGTTCTATTGGCAGAGAGGGCAAGCCAAGTACTATTGAAGACTACCTACAGTGTGTGAGAGGGTGTGTAGATGTAGAAACTGATGGAATCTGATAGAAATCAAGACTCCATGGGCTCCAGGATTGAGGGAATCTCCGGAAAATCTGTCCCGTCGTCTCTCACCCTGCATCGAGAGCCCCTGATACGTGAGACAGTGACGGGTCACATGACCAGCACAGACTCTCCCGTTGCTGTTGCTCAGGCTCGAACAGCACGTTTCAGCCTGACAAGATTGTGAGTAAACAGATCTCATATTGTCCAACTACTCGGTTGAGCTCTCGGTCCTGATTATTACCTCGAATCTGCCACAACTGTAGCCATCGAGCTTACGGGAACCTCCGCCGGCACTGTGGTGAATGACTGATTGTAAGCCAAGTTTTGCGGGGTATACCAAACCAACTATCAGGTAGCGCAGTGTCCCAACGACTCAGGAGTAGGGGAGCAATAAGGCCGTCAAACGTCCAATCATACTGGTTCCATCGAACAATGATATTGTTGTACATTGTAGAGTCAGTCCTAGGGAACAAGGAGCTCAGGAGACCTCCTTGAAGCCGAAAGTGCCGTTGCTGACTGTTGGACAACCCCGTCGCAAAGGAATGGACCTACTGGAGGAATGGCATGCCTGATACGGCAGCTTGCCAACGCCTGATGGCCGAAGCATTCCAGTTGCTCTTTGTCCTTACGGAGTGTGAGATTCTCGAGAGTAGCCATCCTGGTAGCCTTCTGGCTGCTGATTGTTCTTTTGTCGGGTGCGTAATAGCGCTCCAGGGGATCACCTCTTTGTGGTTCCTCTATATGACTCCCATCCTTATCTACCGTTCAAAAAGCCCGGGTTTGCGGATCAATCTGATTCGGCGTTACTCAGAGAGCTCGTGATGGTTGTGGCGTGACTATTGGCTCGAGGACACGGAGAGGACAAAGCGCAATGCCCAAAGCGGAAGGATGACTGTGATTATTGAGGTAGACGGGCGACTTCATCTTGGCGGCCATTGTTGTCAACAGCAGTGTATGGATGTCGATAAACCTTGGCTGTTTGATCCGCAACTCATCTGAATCCGGCCTCCTGGGCCTTGGCCTGTCCTCATCCTCATCCTCTGAGGCGTTGTATGATGAAGAAGATGAGGCCCTCGAGGCCGTGTCTGAGCCTTGTTTGTTACACGATAACGCCATCTGGCCAGGGGTTGCGCGGCAGTGAAGTAGCCATGCGTAGAATCCAGCACGCACGATAGCGGGCAACTGGCAGATCTGGTCACGGGGCAAGCTGGAAATTGGGCGAGTGCAGCGGGAGCAGGATGTTCTAGCCCCAGGACGGCATAGAGCAGGCAGAATAATGCCCGACTAGGCTGCATCCTACTTGGTATAGCCGCAGGCACCAGAAACCGTTCTGCCCCGCTGTGTTCCATGCTACTGGCTATGGGGCCTGCCGGCCAACTCGAAAGCCATTAGTCTTCCAACGCTCCTGCGCGATTTATTGGCCGCCAGCTGCTACACCACCTTCTACCGCTTGACGCTCGACGCTCGGTCCTCGGGTTTAGGGCTTTGTTTAGGCACTGCAGCGGAGCAGCAGCCACCGTAGCTGCTGGCGACTACCTTACCTACCCACCGCCCAATGTTCAGCCCTTCGCTTCTCTCGGGTCCAGGTTGTCTCCCAGGCCTAGGCACGTCCCCCAGACTTACTGGCTCAATGACTAGCAGCCCACTTCTGCCAGGGACCTATTGCGCTGCTGGTGCTAAGCTGCTAATGGCACCCACGGGACCCATCGTAGCGACAACCGTCTGAGCCTGAGCTGCAGTGCGTTATTACGGTGGCAGATACCGACACCGCCTCCTCCGCTGCTGGCATCTTCTGTCGACTCACCACACCCGGGCCACCCCATCTCTCTTCCCTTATGTTTACCACTCTCTTCCTCTTGCTACCAGCTGCCCCCCGTTCTCTCACCGACATCCTCGATCTCTCTGCAATGTGATAAAGATAAGGTCTCGACAAGTCTTCACTTCTTCACCATCTCAACCCACACCTGGCCGTGTCTCTCCTTCACACTCTCCGTCTCGACGACCGCTCTTTCCCAGCATTCCTCAGCTGTCACCGGGCGACACCTCAGCTCACCCCGCTGCTCTCTCCCCACCTCTCGAACGCATATACAACCATTCGACGCAGGCAAGAAAGATCACAGTTGTACCTATAATTCTCCTATACCTTTGAGCTGTGTTTGGACTGTCGGTGTTCCAAGACATTTCGGACATCTGGTTTCCCTCTTCGAGTCCCGCTGTTCCTCTGTCGAGTCTTGGCCTGATTACCGAACCTTTGTTGTGGTGGTGTCATTATTGGACCAACCAACACCTTCCAAGCTCCAACTACCATAGTCAACCGACAACAAAGGAGAAGGTCCGCAGTGGTCCATCACAAAGGAGACTGGGCGGTTCTATCATAACAAGTCAACTGATCTGATCCGATCTCTTTCTTGTCGATTTCCGGCGGCAGCCTTGGTGGCAACTCCTGTGGCTGCCTGCTGATAGACAGCTTCGTCCTCTCTGACACACCTACACACTCCTCACATCAGCTCCACCTACTCGACGAGTCTCCTTACTTCAGACAATATCTCTTCAACAACTACTATCCTCAACCCTCTCTTTCTCGCTATCCTATACCCCTGCCAGGAACCAGTCCAGTCCCATTTATGATCATGACACAATAACTCGACGCTCTTTACGCCCCCTATCGCTTGTTCGACTGCACAACGGGCCTTCAGGCTCTGCGTCATCGATCAGCTTTCCTTTGTTTTACGTTTAACGACCTATACCTCTCTATGAACCTCTGGCACCACACGACGACTAGGAGTTTCGCGGTTTTTGTTCCCACTTTGGGTTCTCGCACATGATACGGGTGGTTGAAGATTTGACGTTATACGGTGGATATATGCTTGGTGTCTCGGTTTCTGCTTTCAAAGTTGTCTTCCCGCTCTGAGCACGCCCGCTCACCCACGCTCGACGCTATCCTCTCTCCTGTCTATACGCTTGTACAGAATTCCTCGTCACGACATCTCTCGTCTCTATCGGGGGAAACAGGGGCTTGCCACTGCAACTTGGAGGAGGGACTGTCCACTGCCCTAGACCTTTTGTCTGTTGGGAACCCTCGGAACCGTCAACATGCCGACCGTGGAGTGTATGAAGGATGGTTTCCGCAAGGGCGAGCTACTCGACGGCCGCTTCAAAACAATTGCTCCTCTAAACCATGGCTCGTTTGGAATGGTTTTCTTGGCCGAGGACACTCGAACCGGAGAGGAGGTGGCCATTAAATGCTTGACCAAGCCGTCTGTTGCGGGCAATTCGGCCCATAGCTCCACTGCTGACGAAGGTGGCGAAGAGCTTGCTTGTCACGCCATCCTCAAGCACCATGATCACCTTGTCAATCTCGTCCACCACTTTGAGACAGAGTCTCATACCTATCTGGTCCTTGAATACTGCTCTCAAGGTGATCTCTACGAGGCCATCCGTCTCGGTCGTGGACCCCTCCAGACCGAGCATGTTCGGCGATTCATGTTACAGCTGATTAGCGCCGTCCACCACATGCATTCCAATGGCCTCTTCCACCGTGACATCAAACCAGAGAACATCTTCCTGACCCATGATGGCTCTGTAAAGCTTGGTGATTTCGGATTGGCTACTCGCAGTCTGTGGTCCTATGAGTCTTGCGTCGGGAGTGATCGGTACATGGCCCCAGAACAGTACGACCCTGCTGGCAACGGCTACTCGCCGGCAAAGGCTGACATCTGGTCTATCGGAATTTGCTTGCTCAATGTCTTGTTCGCCAAAAACCCCTTTGTTACCCCCACGGAATCGGACGTCCTCTTCGCGGACTACCGTCGAGACCGTCAGTCCTTGTTCGACATCTTCCCCAACATGTCGCAAGACACGTTCGAGATTTTGTCAATTGCCATGGCCTTGGACCCCGCCAAACGTGACCTGGGGGCGCTGAAGCAAGCTATCCTTCGAGCTGTCTCTTTCACCACAGACGACGAGTCACTAGACGATTTCTGTACTGATGAACGTGACGTGGTGAGGGCCAGCGCCAACCGTGAGCCTCTTCGGACCCCCTCCATCCAAAGTCCTCATATGGATGGCGAGTCGTTCCCCTGGGCTAAGGCTCTGCACTCGAGCCCGCAACGAAAGCAGCAGCAACTGGCGTCGATTCCCGACATGTATGACGAGGATTTGTTTGATTCCGACAAGAGCCTGAAGCTCGGTGAGTCCTGGTACTCTGGCCACTACAACACTCCTTCGCTATCTTCGGTCCTCGACTCGGCATACGGCTCCTATAAGTCCATGGCCATCAAGCGTCCAAGTGTCCGCAACCCACCTCAAGCGGATCCCATGCCGATTCCTCACTCTCTGCCCTCCCGTGCGTCCCGCCCCATTCCAACCATGTCTTCGGTATTTGGCAAGAAGAATGACGTCGTGGCCAAGAGCTGGAGCGACATGTTCGAGGAGGATGAGGAAGAATCGGAGCGTGAGGCAGCTATGGAGCAGCGTCGAAACCGCGATTTCCGCACGTGGAGTCAAGACAGCAGCAAGCCTCTCCCGGTTCCTCCTGGTGTTCTTACCGAGTCCAAGAGTAGATCGTCCAGCAATGCTCGTCGCAGCCGTACACCGAAGCCAGTGGTGTCTGTCAAGCCTGGTCAGTGTTCAAACGAGAACGACCCCTTCGGCTGGCGCGTTCGGACTCCCCGCCAATCATCTTCAAAACACGCGGCAGTAGACAAGTGGGCTGCTCTAGGCAACCGGCGACGCAACCCCCAAACGGAGGTGGAGCACCCACCATTCAGTGCCAAAAAACGTGCCTTCACCACGGGGTCGCGAAAGAGGCCGAACATGAATGGCATGGAACAGCATACGCCTCTACGGCGGGATAGTCGAAACAGAGCTCGTCCTGCGTATCTGAACCAGGATTGGCGTCAAGCCCGGGTGATTGACTCATCGGCCGATGAGGACGATCATGAGTGGGTTGGAGGTTGGCACAACTTCCATTTGTGATTCTTGAGCATTATGTCCTTCCTGTTTGGCTTTTTGGGGCTTCCTTGTGTGAACCGGGCGACTTTGATTGAAAGGAGGATTTATTTAACTGGTCATGCGCACATACTCGAATCACCCTCGCTTTTGTCCTGGAATCAGACCTTGACACTGATGGCTTTTGCGAAACAACATGGGATTGTTTCTTTGACGAGGTGTCATGGAGTGTACCAACAGTCTGGACAGTATCTGGACAATGGCTTTGGGCTTCATGGGGCGTTTGCGGATGCGGTTGATTTCCCCGGTATTACAGCACTTTGCAAACAGCATGATTCGACCCCCCCAAAAAACAGTATTGTTATAAGATTAAGACCGGTTCACCCAAAAGGGGACTTTGGAGAAGCAAAAATGGAATGACAAGTTGGTTTGCTTGAGAATCGCATCAATTCTCCGGCTGGGGCTTTTATATTGTGGCGGGTTGATTGTGGTGGATGCGAAGGAGAAGAGTTGCTTGTCAGCCAAAAGAGTAGCTAGATTGATACTTTCTTTGCCTGCCAGTGCGGCAACTTTCAGAGAACGGAGAATTATAACCCATTCATCAAGACGTTTTGCTCTTCTTCCTGACCCTAGCATAATGTTTTTGACAGCTCCACGCAGTAGACTGTGTTCTTGCATTATCAGTAGGTGACCGATGCCATAGCGTACCATACTAAGTTAATAAATATCCGAATATTCGAGGGCAGTGTTGCGAGGTGCCCCCTTCACGAGCATGCCCGTCTCCACAAAAGCGCCCGGGCAGCTCAATACCTGGACAGGGCTAAGGTATAGTTGGTACTGTATCTACAGGTCTGTATTTAAAGAGGTTGCACCACACAGATGCTGGAGTCAATGTTTTTGATATTGTTTTGGCCGGGAGAGAAGGGAAAAGAGTGGAACGCGTAGGTCGGGGATGAATATTGCTGCAACGCCTAACCCGGGTGCTCAACTCGGAAAGACAAGAACATCTACCTATTTACACACTTAGTTTTGTGGGCAGGCAGGCAGGCAGGCAGGCAGGTGTGGGGCAGAGAGAGAGAGAGAGAGAGAGAGAGAGAGAGAGAGAGCAAGCCTTTTTTCCATTGATTATCCCGAGTTCGAATTGGCCGGGATGGAGGCATTGTAAGTTCCAATCCCAATCCCGCCGTGAGTAAGTACCTAGGCAGTCAGACTAATCGACTAGAGTGGGGAGAAGCTGTACATAAGTAGCCAGTGACCACTATCAACCTAGGTAGGTACCTAGGTAGGTAGGTACCAAGACTAGGTAGGTACCTTGACTACCTCGTGAGACCCGTACACTGCCAGTGCCTAGGTAGTCGAGGTCCAACAAACCATACCATAGATGGACACACACTCCTAGGTATTTGAACCCAGTGGTGGTGGTGTCTCTCCGTGTCTTTGTCTGTTAACAATTCAGTCGGAATCACTCAGGACGACAGCATCGTCCGCACTCCCTCCTGGCCCAGCACTGCTTGTCGTGGCTCGACTGAAGCCCTGCGCGGGATTCGTAAGTGGTGTAGTAGAGTCGGTAGTGCTGCCGGCATCACCATCACCATCTTCGTCTTCTTCATCTTCTTCATCCTCGTACAGTTCGCCGTCTCCCTCTCCGCTGGTACTGGCATTGCTGTAACCCTGATGAGCATAGATGCGTTGATGCTGATGCTGATGTTGAAGATGGTGATGATGACCGCCACCGTTGTCGGTATCCTCGTCCTCCTCTAGCAGCTCGTCGTCCTCGTCATCTTCTTCCTCGACTTCCTGCTCATCGTACTCGTACTCGTACTCCTCTTCATATTCGATTTCCGCTTCTTCGACATCTTCTTCTGCTTCAGATGCTTCTTCTTCGACTTCTTCCCTGGCGGTATGTTTGTCGTTGTTGCGACCGGGGTATGGATAGGACGAAGACTGCAGCGCTTGGTCACGGCCAGGACGGTATTGACCCTGGGTAGAGAGTCCATCTTCGTCTTCCTCTGAGCCCTGGTCTTCGTCTTCGTCTTCATCGTGTCCTTCCTGCAGAAGATCGTAGGGATTCTGCCGGCTTCGATCACTCTGCAGAGTTTCATTGCGTCGTCCATATCCTTGAGACGGATGACCTCCGGCATTGAGCGGCTCAGCACCGTCGTCGGCACCGCGAGGCCGCTTAGCTGCATGGCGCAAGCTCGCTTCGTCGACCTCGCTGGCGACAAACCCACCTCGATGATTTTGTCGTCTTTCCTCAGCCAGGCTGGGATCAATGATCTCGGTGTCGGCATCCACATCATCATGAGAGCGTTTCCTCCCATGTCTGTTTTGGGACATACCAGGAGTAGAAAGATCTCTGTACGATCGGAGAGATGGATCCTGGCCAGCTCTTTCTGCTCCCCTCTTGTACGTCATTGCACTTCTCTTCGACATGGCAACGGGGATGTAGCCCGAACTACTGGTAGTCCGGGGTTTCGGTCCCAAAGCGCTAGTGGCCAGCCCATGGGCTCCGGTCATGCGAATGCGTTGTTCGGTGCGGGACAGACTGACTCCGGGCTTCGTCTCCGAAGGTCGATACTCGTACCCGGTTTGGGCCCTGGAAAGTGCGCCACCCTTACCGACGCTGGTTGTGGCAGGAGGAATACTCAAAACACTGCTTTCAAATGCATGACGGCTGCTGCTATGGCTGCTCTTTCGGAACTCTTGTTCTTCTTGCTCCATTTCCCTTTCTAGCGTGACTGTCTGCTCCTTGAACCATTGAGCCTGTTCGGCCAGTGCCTCTCGAGCTTCACGGATTTGTTTGAGGAAGTCATCTTCGACTACGGGAGAGGGAGTAGCATGATTCACTTGTTGCTGTTGCTGTGCCGTTGGTGCGCGAGTCGGAGCAGCCGGCGATGCCACAGGAGGATTGAACGCAGAGGGAGATGCCGTTCCTGCAGAAGGAGAACCCTGCAATGACGACGATGACAGGCGGGTGGTACGTCTACTTGCCCGAGCAAGCGCGGCCTTTCTTTCTTCTTCTTCACGTCGCTTGCGCAGAGCCAATGTGGCTTCAGTGTCCGGTATGATGGGTGTTTCAGGGTCGATGCCCATAGCCTTGAGTTTGAAGTAGTCGGTGTGAGTAGTATCGACCTTCTGGCCAGACATGGACTCTCGCAAGTTTTGGTCCCCGCTGACTGACCGACCAAATGTCGACCTGGGCGAGAATATCGAAACATGTGGTGGAGGTTTGGACCGGGATGCTCGAAAGCTGACTCCAGGTGGCAGCGTGTGTCTGAGAGTTCTGTTGCTTGGCTCTGAGAAAGTGCCCAAGGTCCTTGATCTCTTGTGGCCCTTGTTAACAGGCGTTCCGCTTGCTGTTCCATTTCTTGGACTTGCCAGATTTGGCTGGGGTTGCTCTTGGCCTGAGAAGCTCTTTCGCTTCTGCCCAGCCACTTTACCGGGATTGTTGTCCGCTCGAACGCTGAATTTAGCCCTTCGCGTCTCGGCGGCTTGTTCCACTTCCTGCTGTAATCTCTTTGTTTCTTGAGTGGCCCGAAGAATTTCCTCCAACTCTTCTTCATTTCTCTTCTTCCTCTCTTCTTCCGCTCTTATTGTCTGCGCAAACAGTTGCCGTCGGTTCTTGGCTTTGCGATTCAAGCTATTCCTCCATGCCCGTGTCCGCCAGATGTAGCCGAATTTTCGGGCGAGAATCCGTGAACGTATCGAAGCTAGAGCGAGTGTTAACCAAAGCATATTCTTTACAAGAGTGATGACCGTAGTACTTACCAACGGCGGTGTCATGGACTTCCAACCGATGCTGATTTAGAGCCGTCCGAAGTAGGTCGGGGAGAGCGTACTCGATGTAGTGCTGCATCATTCCGTTTTTGCGAAGCAGTGCCACCTTGGCAAGGTTGGTTACCAGTTGGTCTCGATCCACCTCGCTGACGCTCGCCTCCGCCGGAAGCGGCGTCGGAGAATGCGGCGGAGTCGTGCTTACTTGAGGTGATGCGGTAGATGACGTTGGCTGAGTGAATGGTTTTGCTGCTGCCTTTGCAGTCTCGGCCGGGATGGTGTCGGGTTGAGCCTGCTCAGGAGCCTTGATCGAGGATGCTTGCACTGATGGGAACTTGAATGCGCCAGAAGAAGGCTTTTGTGCTTCCGACGTCGATGGAGGCTTATTAACGAAGAAAGGAGTAGTTGGAGTGGTGGCTGAAGGTGTTGTCGACTTAAAAGCGCTCGGCGCAGTTGAAGGGAGGACTGATGGTGTCGACTGCGTTGTCGTCGCCATGGCAGGAGGCTTTGAGTTGTCTTGTGAAACTTGAGGCTGGAACGAAAAGATCGGCGCAGGACTGGTACCGATCTTTGGTTGGTTGTCTAAGGTCTGGACTTTGGGCTCACTTATTGAAGGGGTCTGCATTGTCTGCGGTGTTAGATCGGTGAATTTGACCGGTGTTGTTGCTGCAGGGGTTTTTGTTTTGGGCTCTGTTTACAACAACTTTGATTAGCAAGACATCCATTAACCGATCTGAACAATCTAGGTGGTTGTCTTAGACACCGACAATGGTCACTGAGAGAGCCAAAAAATGAAACATTACCTTCAGCAGGCCCCGAAGGCGGAAATGTGGCACGGGGACCAAAGATCGGTGGAATTGCAGAAGACGTAGATGCGACAGCTGATGGGGCTGGTGCAGCAGTGGAAGACGCAGTAGCTGCGTGTCCAAAGTTGAAGCCGGTAAATGTCGGCGTCGTGACAGGATTGGAGCTCAGTGCGGGTGCCTGTGTTTGGGATGTCGATGGTGCAGCGAGATTTGGAGAATTCGAAGCCGGCTCCTTGGGTGTTTGACCAAACCCTCCAAAACTGAAGGACCCGGGCTGCGGTTGGCCAACAGCAGGTTTTCCGAACATTGACGCTGTTGACGCCGAACCAAACCCCGTCGAGAGTCCAGAGGAACCGAAGCCGGATGAACCGAAACTGGTCGGCTGGCCGAAACTCGAAGTCGACTTTTCAGCTGGTCGGCCAAAAACAGAGGAAGACGACCCTTGGCTTTCGCCAAACTTGGGAGTGAAGGTCGAGGCTTCAGGGTTGAGAGCAGGGCCTGAGGGCGATGGCTTCAACGTGGGAGGCGTGGGCTTTGTCTCAGGAACAAACATGCTCTGGTCATCTTCTCCCACGGCTTCGTCCAGTTCTAGTCCTGGGCTTTCTTCATCGTCTGGCTCTACCAAACCTTGGCGTATTGCCTCGGCCACAGGGACGCCGTTGATGACCGCGGTCAATGTCCGGTGATAGCGTTTCTTCTCGACGTAGGTGTGCGAGAAGGACTGCCGGTTCGGTATTGAGGATTCTACGCAGATATCAGAACTGGCTCTTGAACAACGCTGGGGATATGAGAGCACCCACGGTCGAGAGAATGGGCACTGTTGGACGTTACGTCGAGATACTCTTCGCCGTGTTCGTCTGTGCCAAAGTAGATGTCGAAGGCGGCGCAAAAGTCCTTGGTCTCTGCTTCGGTATCAAAACCCAGGAAGTTCGTCACTTCAGCAAGAGTCCAATCCCTCGATCTGGCTTGTTGTGCTGATGGTGCGCTCTTGCACGATCGCCACAAGGCATCCAGGGCCGCGAATCGAATGGGAGCAAAGTAAATTTCGGCAACACACGCCATCATGTACGGGACGGCTCTCGAGGACAAAACCTGCCAAAACGTGCCCACTTTGCTTTGAGCTATTGCGAAGGGCTCCGTGGGCCGCAGGGGTCCTTGGTCGAAGAGGCCGTTACCCGCGGCCATGTACAGCTTGAGGGCTGTCTGTACTCTCTTGTCGGCCAGCAAGGTCTTGGGCCAGGCTTGAATGCGATCCTCGAGATCGGGGTGCTGCGACTGAAGCTCGAAGATGATGCAATAGGCTCTGAATTCACCTTCATTGGGGAGATCAACCCGGTCTCTATTGTCATCATAGTAGTACAGCAGAGAGAGGAGAGTGTTGTTGAGCTGCTCCCGTTCTTGGTGTGCATCAAAATTTTCACCCTCTAGGAGATTGTCGGGGTTGGACAGTTGGTGCAATGAGAGAATGTGGAATCTTGCTATGCGTTCGTAGCAGTCGACGGCAATCTTGACATCCTCAGTATTGGTTACCTGTTGGATGGAAAAGTCGTTTCGGATCCCTCGTGTCCGGTCCCAAACAAACTTGTGAATGGTGGCCAGCCGTTCCTCTCCCCCGATCACCCGGTCAAGTAGATAGTCCAGGGTCTTCTGAAGGGTGGCAGGAGTCCTTATGTCGGAGGGGAGTTGTTCATCGTATCCGGCTGCCGAGCGACGAAATCGTTTGACCATGCGCTCCTCCGAAGGCATGTCTCGGCCGGTGGAATCATCGTGAACCTGCATCACCGTTGTCAGCCGTCGTCCAACCGCCCCATAAGATCAGACCGTCCACCTTTTCTGCCTTGTCCACCATGTTTTGGACGATGCGTTCCACTCTTTCGAACTCGGGACACATTTCAAGGCAGGTCCCCACGGGAGTAATGGCTTTGTCCAGACTCGTCTTTTTATCGGGGTCCGCAAGGAATCCATCGCGAATTGCGTTTGCCCTCTCCTTTTCTCGAAGTTGTTTGAGCTAGACGTGGATTTGTACGTTAGAGACCTGTAACTAATGTCGCGGTCAGCCAGACGTGGATTGATAGAGGACGCACCTCTTGGAACTTAGCGTGGGCGGTATTCATGAAATCGCGGTGATTTGAGGGCGCGGGAGAAGAAGGGCGAGACGATGGTGTCGAGGGCTGTGATTTGGCCGTATTGAACGTTTGCGAAAGGTGGCCACGTCCACGAATGGTGCGTCCTCGCGAGCTAGTACTGGTAGGCACTGTGGCGGCCGCACCGCGTCCTTTTCTCAGTTAGCAAAACTCCAAACGCAGAAGGCCTCGTGTTGCAGCAAGATTCAAAAATCGCCCAGGCCTGACGTGGAAGTAATGTAGAAGCCCACCTCTTCCCGAAGTCGTATTCGAGCCATGTTCGGCACCTCGTTTGATGGTTCCTGTGCGCAGTCGTTGAAGTAGTCCATCACCGCTACCAGTCGATGTCGGGCCGTTGTTCGCGCTGCCTCTTCCTCGTCCGCGACTTGGGGTTGGGGTTCCGCGAGCGGCGTTACCGCGACCACGACCGGTGGATGCTGAGATTGCTCTACCACCCCTCGCGGAGCTGCCACCGCGTTGCCCGCGGCTGGATGGCGCAGACATTTCCACTCGGCTGTTCGATCAACATCGGAAGACTGTCATGGTCTGGACTAGGTAGGAGTAGGTGGGCGGCAGAGGACACGAGATCCCGTGCGCGCTGTACTGTGTCGGATGGGCTTCAGGGAGGGGATGCTGTGAAAATCAACATTAATGGCGAACTGCGCGTCGAGTTCAGGCAGGCCGCAAATATTACCGGGTGGTGAAGATAGGCGACCGGAAGATTTACAATGTACTTTGGAATGCCTTCACTCACGCATCGCTGGACGAGTCTCGGTAACAACTTGAATGTTGAAGGACTAGGTAGTGGTGCTAGTACCACAGTAATTAGTGTGCCTAGCCTAGCGTATAACCTTAAAGCTTTAACTGCCTTAGCGCAGCTTGTGGAATCCGGATCTCAGCCTTACTGACTAATAATAGAAGGCTGCCGCCTAAGACGTTGTTGTATGCTTCGTGTCTTCTGCGACGCGGCTGACAATAATCTATTTTCTTAAGTGACTGAAGGAAACGTCCTCCCAGGCCAACCCAGGCTGGGGCGTCGCCCGATAATGGCGTCAGTATAGTTATTTATCTCTCTTCAAAATGACAACCGGGATGTGCAACAAGTGGTCATCTCCTACCAAAGTGCAACAATCAACTCAAAATGCTTTGACCGAGACAAAACCATCAAATATCCCGAGAAAAGGGTGACGCTTGCACCAACCAGACAGATTCAATCAGAGACAGAGAAAGGCGGAGCTGGTTTGACCAGAAAAGGTCGTCCACACAGCCTGCTGTTCTACCGCCCAACTTTTACCTGGAATTCTCCCTCATCCCCACCGAACCGTTCAACGACAGCGCCATCATTCGAGGGACAGACACCCGAAACGACGAAAACGACACCCAAGCCGAAGCATCGAAAGATTGATGCTCGACGCAAAAGGAGCTCAACAGATGACACAGGCGCTACTTCAACATGAGAAGGCCTGATGTAACTGAGCGACAGCCCAACCCACATCCCCTAAGCCCGGGTAAACTGTAGAGGTGTGGAAGATGACAATCGTTAGCCAAACCGGTTCGGCCTGTTGCTCCGGGGCTCTTTGATTGAGCAAGCCTACGGCCGATAGAAATGACCTGCCAACATGTCCATTCTGTTATCGGAGTGTGTCATCGCGCCTGACTGCTGCGCCTGGATCACTCGAAGAGGGAGAATTCGTTGATGACCGTCGGTGTGATCCCGATACTGCAGCGGGCTCATCAGAGGCTGGCCAGTGTGCATGCCACCACCCATATCGTGCTGAAAGTGACCGAAGAAAGTGTGGCCCATCTCGGGATTGGTGATCATCTGTGGAGTAATGCCAAAAATTTGCTCCAACTCTGATCCCCCATGTGGCACCAATCCCGACCAGGCCTGAGAAACGAAACCCTGTGGTCGATGCCCTTGAGGGGGTAGACAGGTCGTGACGTCTCTTTCGCCAGTATGACGGTCAAGCGCACCCTCAAACATGTTCGGTGAAATCTGCGGGGGTATCCCGACTATCGAGCCATGGCTGCAATGCGGATGTGTGACACCAATGGTCGGTTCCTGAAGCATGAGATCGTTCATTGCACCGACAGATTGGTAATCACCCTTTGAGACGTCCATGGCCATCTGGTTCTGCAGCTCGTGAGGATGCTGTTGCGAAATTGTAGTGGTGACACGGCCCAAATTCGCCATAGCTCGTGGTCTGCGGCCACCAATCCGACGGTTCTTTACACTTTCGCCGACCATCGCAGCTCGAAGCCTGCTGGTCGGCAAGCTGCCGTCAGCATTTAGGTGAGGGGAATTCTGGGCTGATGAGGCTGGTGTGAAGTCTGGTCCAACAGCCGACTCTTCATCGTGGGACCCGTCGCTGGAAGCACCTTGATGAGTAGCTTCGTGCATATGTGCGTCGTCTTCCGAGTCATGAGGCGTAAGCTTCAAGCCATCACTGTAATCATTGAGGAAAACTAGAGCATCACCGTCTAAGGAGCGTCAGTATTGCGTGGCTATAGGCACGCTGATATGGACCTGGTCGCCTCACCTATCTCGCCTGCTTCATACTGCTCCATCATCTGTCTTGCCCTGGTGATTTGCTCAAGAATCTCCCAACGGTCTTCTCTTAACTCATCGCGCTTCACTTCAAGACATTCCAGTAGGTCAGCTGCAGTGACGGTTTGCTGATGCTGGGGGTCCGGCGGATTGGTGATGATTGGTTGCGGGGTGCCTAAAATGAGGTGAACAAGCAGGCTCGTCCTGTCTACAGATCGTGAGGTCAGGTCGTAGTATAAATGATTCGGAATCCTCACCCTCACGACCAATGTGGTCAGGCTCGCGGTGGATGACATCTAAAAGGTTCGGAAGAGTCAGTCAGAGAGAGCAAAAGTAGCTCACCACGGCAAGGGCGGCTTCCGAAATGTATGGATTCTGGACGTACGTCTTGGCCAGTATGGTGGTTTTGTCCGATTGGAGTCTGCTGGTTCGCCACGGGGCATTCCACCGTTGTACGGATGCGTAGATTGCTGCATTCTTTAGTACTCTATCCTCAACGCAGTGAGGGTGAACACACCTTCTTCGGATGAATTTTCTTGATCCAGATCTTGGCTACTAGACGACATGCCACCTGTTGCAAGGTCAAGAATGCCTGCTCGAACCACTGCTCGAGTTTCTCCCGGTCGTCCACCCTGATTTGGGAGGCAGGAGTCTCACAAACCAGTCGAAGGCCGTGGCTGTTCTGCTGAATCTTCGGTCTGACCCAGTTTCGAGGGTTTATAGTCCTCGAACGATGTCGCTTTTGAGGTCTCTGAAAAGTGTACGAGATGGAGCCACTCGGCATATTGCTGCTCTCAGATGCCTGCTTGTGGATCTTCGAGGCTCGTCTGGTAGGCGCCACGGAGTTGCCTATGGCGGGTCAGAAACGATAGGGTGACGTTGGTCAGCACATGCCTGTTATCAATCGTCGATCACTCATATATTGCGCGAAGTTCCCATGAGCATCACCGAGAATTGTGTATTTATGCTGCTCCAAGTTTGGCGACGAGAGAATCTCAGGCTCCCCTTTTTCGCCAGCAACTAACCCGACAAAATCATCACAACCTTCGATCAGCTTTTTGATCTCGTTCTGTAAAAATCAAATTAGTCTGTATGTTGTGGAATGGGGCGCTTTCTGGCTTACAACAACATATCGCTGCTTTGCCTGTTTGGTCTCCTTGGCAGCGACCGGGAACATTGATCCATCTTCAGGTTTGACAGGGTAAGAGTCCAGAAGCACCTGAGGAGAGGGCACTGCCATCAATTCGGCTGTCATCTCCATCGGGACAGAGGGTTCTCACTCCTGGAAACCTGTGGAGTGGCCAATGCCCTGGATTCAAGATCTGACTGCTGATGTATTTTGGAGGATGTTGCCCTCGGTAGTGTACTCGAAGAGTAGTAGAGCTATCTAGACAAACCGTGGTTAGCGAATGGTGAGCTGATGTAGAAGACGTGACTGATTTGTGATTTGCAACAGTAAGACGCCATGCTTTTTGGCTGCTTCGGTAGGCACATTGTAGACGGAAATGGAGTTGGGCTCGAGACAAGTAGTAGCTTCATGAACTCGGCATCATCCTTCAACAAGCAATCTGAAACATTCCACATTTCCAAGTCTGAGGCGCTGAAAGCCAGCACCGTATTTTTTTGCAGTCGCTCCATGGCCCCGCCGAATATGGTGCTCGGCTCTCATACCGCTGAATGAAAGGACAATCCATCTTCGCAATTCCGATGTTTGGAGAGGAAGGCTCGAGCGTGAATGGAAATGGTTACTGACCTCCTTTGCCTGCAAGACTGGGTTCAAGCAAACTCTGAACAGATTGAAGCTGCGTAGACAATTAAACCAACCACGGGGATCAAGAGGTAGGGAACTGGAAGCCTTGTATGATGGACTCCGTTCTGGCACTGCCTGCGTGTTAAAACCCCCAAGACCGATGCACGAAAGACAAAAACAAAGACGAAGCCGACCAGTTGAGCTGACTAGGGTACCCTTCTGGCTAAGCCGCCATGCTGGGGTCGCAATTGTTGCAGACTCTGACTTGGTTCGCAAGAGTTTTGGAAGGATGTCGCGCTAGGATGAAGAGAGTGAGGCAAGCGAGTGGTCTGCCAGCAGAGAGAGGATGATGCTGAAGACAAGAGAATCGAGGAAGGCGAAATCAACACGGACAATCAGAGAGCGAACACTAGCTGGGAATAGATCAAAAGCGCTCTCAAGATGTTTGCTCCGTTCCGATTTCCGCTGAGTCGGTTATCTGAAGGACGGTAAGATCAGGCCTATTGACTAGCTGGGCACGACTGGAGGTCGAGGAGAGTAAGGGCGAGGGCCTGCCGGGCAGTCCTGACGAAGATGTATATGGAATTGCCAATTGGACGAGGGCTGTGTGGAGCAAATCAGTCTCCGAGGCGGTGGCAGCTGGAAGTCGAAGTGAGGATGCAAAGACTAGTCGAACTCCAACACCCTCCTTCAGAGAGCCCGAGTGACATATTAGGGAGGAGGAGAGGCTGTGTCCAGCCGGGCGATGATTAGCTACCTATGGGAGCATCTGCGGTGTCTGGCAAGCCGGAGGCGGCGTCGACTCGTGCTCCGTTGCACCAACTGTGAGCCTGACAGTCAGACTGCCTGCCGTGATGTATAGGTGGTGCTGTAGGTGGTGGTCTTCCTGGCGGCCGAGATCTGTGGTGGAGGCGGCGCCGGGGGAAGAGAACGGTCATGGGCGACATGATGGGATCCCACGAAACAGTGCTCAGGCTCAGGCTCAGGCTCAGGCTCAGGCTCAGGCTTCTCAAGCTCGCCGAAGGAAGAATCTGCAGCTCTTCGCCTGAAGCCCCAGGCTTGTGTTTTTAACGAGTCTGATGACTTCACTGAGCGAAGCCGGGGGGGTTTCGAGGGAAGCTCAGGCAGTTGATCGTGTATGGTCGAGGGAAGATGCAGTCGGTTGCGATGGCTGCGCTGCGTGGGACAAGGGAAGAAGCGAGCAGGAGGCCGACGCAGTAGCCACTAGACCTCTTCGTGACTGGCAGGCTGGAGCTGAGGCTGATCGTGCAATGCCAGTGGCCTGCGATACGGTGGCCGGCCACTCGGCTGCATGGCACGGCACTGGAGGCTGGACATTGGACACTGGGCATTCAAGTTGGACATTGCACTGCGCTGCACTGCTGCACCCACCGGCAGTAGTAGAACACGCAGCAGCAGTACAGTAGCAGCAAGAAGCAACAAACAACAAGCAGGCAACTTGAAGCAAGCAAGCAAGCAACCACTGGCAGTACAACACATCAGTGCAGTAGTAGTAGCGGGCCTTGCACTACAGCCTCAGCTGCACCTCAAGTTCCCTCCATTGCCCCTCCATCTCTCTCAGATCTGAGATCTGAGCCCCTCGGTCCGTTTCGATGGCCAGTACAGTGTATCCCTCTCCTCGAGCCGGAGGCCACAGACCCCCACAACTAAGACTGCTTGCACAGAAAAACAGGCTGTTGTAACCGTAACCGCCATCAGCAGCGACCCTTTTCGATACGACGCAGCCGACATGTCGCCACTCCTCCAATGCTGTCTCCCGCTTGTGGCACCATACACGATCTCGTGAACCTGCTTCGTCCGCGGCCGAGTCCATATGCCATGCCAGTGATGAAACCGCCTCTTGCTCGAAGAAGTGCGTGCAATATCCCATACTATCAGATGCAGCGGAAATTCAGGGGTTGGGCGGGTTCCGACCTCATCCAGTGCTCGCGGGCATCGAACAGCCACATTTTACTCGATTGCATACTTCAATGTTGCGCGCCTCATACAAACCAAACGTCCGTAATCGACTCAACATACACAAAGAGACGCTGTGAAACCAGCCCTCGATCAGTGCGAAGCTTCCTAGTCCTGCCACTGTGCTGTTCCGTCTCGTGATTCGATCAAAGACGCAACATGCACTACCAGAGCTTTCAGGCTCAATTCAGGGAATGAGGGCATTCTCACGGTTATCTTCACGCGCACAGAAGCAAATTTGGGGTGGTCCATAGATGGAAACGATCCGCTGCCAACGCACGCTTTGCGAAGCTCGCTGATGCTTTGCAACACAGCACGAACCAATCACGATGGCCTGCGGGGGGGCTTTTGGGGGAACTTGAAGATGAGGCAAGGTACCCCTGGCGTCCGGGTCGGAACAGCCCTTGAGATCGCGTTGACGCATCCGATTTCGCCCATCGATCGAGTGGTCTCATGCCGGCCCCTCCACAGGAAAGATGGTCAGCCCCATAGGTCATGAGGATGTGCCCTCGACTTCGGCACAGAGAGCAGCGCCAGGATCTTCACAACTGACAATCACACCCAGAATATAATCCAAGTTTGCCAACACAGACCGTAAACCAATCGCAACACCTGGCGCGACATAGTGACGCTTGTCATTCCGAATTTGCAAAACTCCTTTCAAGCCACCGCCCTGCGAGTAGGGCAGGTGTGGGCAAAGGGGAACCCGATTATGAATGGACAAATTTGCCCGGAAAGTGTGGTTGCAGGCTACGACGATGGCCTCCGTTGCCAGCGACTGCGTGACCTGATTCTATCGTCTCGTTGTTCAACCAGCAAGGATTTTTGTACCTGTGCATGCTCAAACATCACTGGCTGGACCATCGACGGATTAGACGATCGCCGGCACTTAAGAGCAAGAGCAACCGAGATCGATACAGCTGAAGAGCCCCCCCTGTCGACCGTGTGTTGCACGAAACAACGCCGCCCATAGTTACGGGCAACTGTAATCTTGCTTGAACAGGACTCGATGCTTCACTTGTCTGTACGACAACAAGAGCGTGTCTGGGTAAATTTCGCGATGATATAGATGGCATAATGGGAAGGTGCCCACCGACTGATTCGATTAGACGAGAAGTTGATGAACTGATGCGGCAACCCTAGAGGCGGTCGGAGCTCATCACCGTACCCGCCACCATGTCCCGTCGGATGCAATGCGAGGCCTTCCGCGGAACCAGGGCGTTCCTTGTCATCACGCCAGGAGTTTTGAACCGTACGATGGTCAGGTGAAGCAGAGTGCTGAAGGTCAATGCCAAAAGCCTCATGCCATCGTGGTTGCCATGTCCTATTTGAGATCCCCACGTATGTCTCACCGTGTAACGTCGATCAGGTAACAGTGCTTACCTGCGAGTAGCGGGTACAACAAACCCCCAGCAGATTCAACATACTCGAAGGTATCTGTACCAGAAGGGCGGTGCCGGTGTACCTGTTACCCTGTCTGTTGAACGGTGCCCAGGAGATTGGCTTCCCACACCCTACAATCTCACTCGGAGTTTTCACGGCGTGCGACAACGGATGCGGATCTGAAGACCTAGAAGACAGGATTCGGGCGGCACAGCGAGAATAAGAAGCCATAGAGAATGAATCAAGGCTGCATCCATGACCACAAGGGGCTGGTCCTTGGTAATGGTGGCGCCGAAAGGACGGCCGGAGACGCAGCCCGCGGACAGCTGTACCTCTCTGACTAACATGGCGCAAGGGGCGAAAATGCCATGCATATGCTGTCTCCTGCTCTCCAGCCCGGTCCTGGAACCAGCAAGCTCACTGCAGTGGTCGCATACTTAGTATCATTTTGCCTGTGGAGACGAGTTTCGTCTTTGTTGGAAGGACGTAGGTAGCGGACACGAAACATAATATCGAATCATGCATGACGCAAATGCTGTGACAACTAAGATCTGGACCTGGACCTGGGATCTGATTGCTATATTTTGGGAGCAGCACACAGTACCGACACAGCGACACCTAGGATATCCCGTTGTCCGGCATGGACGCAAGAGGCTGCGCCTTGATGCCGGCCATTAATTTTGCTTCGTGGCAGTACTGCCATTTCCAAAGCCGTCAAGCAGACCCGCCTCGCGGACAAGTTCGTAGAACAGTCCACGCCTACTAATCAGCTCTTCCGGGGTGTCGAACTCGGCGACTCGTCCTTGCTGCAGCACCACGATCCGATCGGAATCTAGAATGGTATTGATGCGATGTGCAATGGTGATGATGGTTCGGTTCTCGAAAATGTTGCTTCGAAGAGTAGCTTGCAGCAACTTGTCCGTCTCGACGTCGACTGCAGCTGTTGCCTCATCAAGTACCAAAATGTTGCTAGGAGTAAGCAAGGCGCGCGCTAGAGACACAAGCTGTCGTTGTCCTTGACTGAGATTGGAGCCTAGATTCGAAAAGCTGCATCAGCGAAAAGAGTTCTTATAGCCAGAGTGGTTCAAGACAGAACCAAAACCATCACTTACCAGCTTCGTGAATTTCTGCATCCAATTGACCGGGCATGCTCGAGACATACTCCTTCAGGCGAGCATGTTCAAGCACGCTCCAGAGCTCCGTATCATCGTGTACATGGCGAGGATCTAGGTTGTCGCGGATTGTCCCGGTAAAAAGAGCAGCGTCCTGAGGAATGATGGCAAGACGTCTTCGCAAATCTAGCAACCCGATCGTCGATGTGTTCAACCCGTCAATACTATAGTAGTACTGTTAGCCCAGCTGCAGCTTACGATGCCAAACCTGGCTTGCACTGGGGGCGGAATTGAAATTGAGACAAGCACTGACCTGATATGTCCAGTTACTGGTTCGATGATACGGAACAATGCCATGGTCAACGAGCTTTTTCCAGCTCCTGTGCGTCCAACCACTCCGATCTTTTCGCGCGGTTTGATGCTCAGGTTTATGTCCCTCAACACAAGATCCAGGCCTTCGCGGTATCGTGTTGAGTAGTCCTTGAAGGTAATTTGGCCATGCGCAGGCCACCCAATGCTCGGTCGGCTCTTGAAAATAACTTCGGGAGCTTCGCTCGGCAGGTTGGCATATTCGAGCACACGCTCTACGGATACAATGTTGGTCTCGACCTCCACCGTCTGTCGAACAATCCAGTTCAATGACTGTGTAATCTGCAGGGCATATGACATCTAAAAGCCGTTAGTGCTGAGCCGGGAGTCATCCGCGGGGCGCAGGGTCTCTTACCGCAAGGCCCACCATACCGGCCGACAGCCCGCCCCCTGTTGTCACTGTGACAATGGCAAAGATGGCTGCTGCCAGGATGATGACGGATCCAATAAATTCCAAGCGGACCGCCAGCCACCTGTTGGCACTGATTGATGGGAAATAGGCCCGTAAATTGGCATCCATACGCCATTCATTCTCCAACAGGAAGCGTATCTGCTGCCGATATGCCCGGATTGTGGACACCCCTCCAAGAGTTTCCTGAAAATGGGCATAGATCGGACTCCGGCTTACGCTGTCAAGCCGTTTCAACTCGCGCGATGTCCGAAGGTAATACTTCTGGTACACGATGTACACGGCACCCAAGGGAATCACCAGGACAAGAAAGATCGGGGTTCCCGCAGCGATAACGCCGATGGTAAAGAGAGCTCTGGCGGTATTGACGAAGAGCTTTTCCGTCAGTCCATACTACAGCATGAAAATGGCTGGAAAACCTTACCATATTGAAAGTGCGAGCAATCACCTCATCAACTCGGTAGATGTCACTATGCATCAATCAGTGATGCGCAATTAACACGAAACCATGTCACGCACCTTGAGAAGCGGTTGAGGATACGACCGACCGGAGTCGTGTCGAAGAAGCTCATCGGAGACCGGAATATTGCGTATGCCATGCGATCATGTAATTTTCTCGAAGCCTGCAATAATGTGAGCACGCCATCTACTTTCGGACAGCGGGGTTTTCAAACCTCAATCGAGCAGAAGATCCAGAGGAGGAGGGTCTGCCAAGTGTCAGTTTCTATCGCTGTGCCACGGATGGAAAGAATCCACATACCTGGACAACCACAAGAGCGGCGCCTCCGATTCCGAAGGCAAAGTAAATGCCAATGTATTTCCCGACCTCAGGATTGGCACCATACGATTCATTGATTTCAGACCATCGCTTCAGCCAAAAGCTGCCCGCGATCTGAGCCGTTTGTGCCGCCAGGAGCGCAACAAGATAAATGCTAACGGCAACGAGATTGCTCTCTTTCGCGTAGCTCATGTAGACCGACCACTTGACTTTACCTTGCTCAGAAGTTTCTTTGGTCTGCTTACTCTTCAATCCGCCTTCCTCGTCTGTCAAACGACCCATAGGCCCTTTGAAACTTGCGGTCGAAGCACGTCGCAAGGTGTTGAAGCTCGTCGATCTCTTCGTTGATGGCCCAGTCGGACCGGCACGAATTGGTGCAAGGTCACCGACATGTTGACGCGATTCTTCCGCCTCCTCGGCATCGTACTCGTCCTGAACAGCACTCTCGACGGCGGTCGTAGACTCGTCGGAATCGATGCCTTCAATACTAGGACTTCTTTCCCCTTCCGACATCTGTTCCTCCTCCTGAATTGCCGACTTGATCAGGTTCGCTACTTCTCCTCTCATGGCCATGAGCTGCTGGTAGGTTCCCTTCTCGAGCACCGTACCGTCACGGAGCAAGTACATGTAGTCTGCCTCCTTCAAGACGGTGATGGCGTTGGTAGCCAGAATCCTGGCTTTCCCGCTCAACAACCCGCTGGGACCAAGGACATTGTTGATAAGATGGCGCCCAACATGCTGATCCACTGCGGATAGCACATCATCAAGGAGGTACACGTCTGCTCTCGCATAGACTGCCCGCGCCAACGCCAATCGAGCCTTCTGGCCTCCGGAAAGCGAGATGCCGCGCTCGCCCACTTCAGTCTGGTCCCCATCTGGCAATTGCCTAAAATCATCCACAAGGGCACAGGCATTGACCGTCTGGTTGTAGAAGTGAGGATCCCATCGGTGGCCAAATATGATGTTTTCTTTGACACTTGCGTTCATAATCCATGCCGATTGTGCTGCATATGCAATGCGTCCACGCACAATAACCTCGCCTTGGAGTTTTCGGAGGTCGCCCAGAATGGCCTGGAGTAGTGAGGATTTGCCAGCACCGACACGCCCAACAATGCAGGTCAATTCTCCTTTGTTCGCGTTGAAGTTGATTCTCTCCAAGACATTCTTATCTTGGTCCTTATCCCAAGTAAAGGTAGCGTCACGAATCAAAACGCTGCTTTCTCCCGGCTGGCTTGGCGGTTCGTCAATCATCTTGACGGCATCCTCCTGAAGTTCGTCCGCAGTAAAATAGTCAGTAAGCCTGCGAACAGCAACGGATGCCTCGATGAAGCTGGTGATGACCATGGGTAGGACGGTGAGAGGAAAGGTTAGGAGATTGAACAGTGTCAACGCAGGGAACACCAGGTCAGTCGTCAGCGGAGTATCGTTAACCAGCACAAACACGGCGAAGGTTGAGCAGGACACGAAGAACGGCGTGGATGACCAAGTGAAGGTTGCAAAAGATTGAGCTGCCCCAATCTTCCGCAGATTGTTCAGTTCGAGGTCATTCCGCACGTGGCTCAGTTTCTCCATAAAGGCAGAGCCCCATGCGTAGAGTTTGATTGCCTTCATGTTGTTTAGAATTTCCGTCATCAGTCGTGACCGGCGGTCTTTGTACTGCATCTGCGCCAACTGCAGCTTCTTCATGAATCGAGCAATGAAGCCGTTGAGAGGTATCATGATGATCATGGCCGCTACCCCGGCAAAACACGAGACACCCACCAATTGATAGAGGGAAAGCATACAAAGTGTGATTTGAAATGGTGCGGACCACACCTGCTGACCCCATTGAGCCAAATCCGCGAGACGCTGCTGATCCACACTCATGTAGGTAACAATGTCACCAGTGTTCTTCTTCGCCCGTGACTCGTTCGAAAGTCGCAGCGACTTTGCATATATCATGGCCGTAAGGGAAGACTTGATCCGCATGCCTGTCTCGAAAGCACGCTGGAAATATTGATGGAGGGCAGCAGTTTGGCAAACCGAGGTGGCAAACATCGCCAATGCAATGGCGACGCCTCGAATGGCAGGCTGGCGGTCACGACCAGGTCGATATGAATCCACAAAAGTGATCAGCAGCCGCAGGAGCTGCGGCTGAACGAAAGAAAGACAGTCACTGATGACTTTTATGAGGGCGCCTCGCAGATAGGGGCCGCCAAATGCCCTACCCAAAGCAAACCACAAGTTCGGCTTCTTCTTTTCCAGTTCCAACTCCCATGCCTTTTGCAGCTTATCACTGGTGACTTTTGTGGTATCTCGATGTCGTAGATTCCATAGATCGTCCTGAGTGAGATAATGGCTATACCCAAACTTCATCAAGGGAGTCATCCACGCAAAAGTCAGGACAGAGAAGACGTCGGCATATTCGTAGGGACATTCGTCGTCGGCTCCCAGAGCATCGTAGGCGCTCTGTTTCTTGGGGACAAGATATTCCAGAATGAACTCCACGACGGCCAAACCCAAGGTAACATTGAATGTGATGAAATAAGGGAGACGAGTCTTGTATGCTTCTCTTTCCACCAACGAGCGCAGCTTCACAGCATATGCCAAAATGAAGAATACCCAGTAAAACAGTGCAACGCCATTCGGATTCCGCGACCGCCAATGTTCGTGGTATTGTACAGTAAAGATGACGAAGAGTGAGATAATCGTGGCGATCGAAGTATAAAACCTTATATCCTGGTACCATATTCCCGGAAGCCGTTGGATCTGGAAGGCAGCTTGAAGGATAGTCGTGACAATGATCGCAGCAATCACAGACCTGAGGGATGATTAGCCCACAAGAAATGGCAGCAGCTCAGGCGATATGCTCACAGTTTTGCGTAGAAATGCCAGTTTTTAGTGACATCCTGAACCACGCGTTTGGCGAATAGATACCAGATGGCGCCGGCTCCAAACAGGATACCCCAGAGAGAGACGCCCACAATCCATATGTCCAGAAAGCAAGGCGTAAAATCCCATCTTACAGGGTTCACAGGACCCCAGCCTTCTGGATCACCGCACAATGGCTGCCTTGAGGCTAATTCAACGTTTGAAGTGGGATCTTGCTTCGGCAGAAACCCTCCGGTGGCAGTCAAGACGGACTGCAACCCTTCTGAGGCCCTCATCTACGAAGCATGGAAAGGTGAAGGGTCGAGTCGAACAGCAGGCTGGGTGTTTGAAGACTAGCCAACACTGGCAGTACAGGATTGGACCGAGAAACTCTCTCTACACCGAGCGAATGTGTGGTTGTGCGTTAAGCCGCAGATCGAAGCGCAGGCACAGAATGATGAGTTTCTCCAAACCATCGACGCATTACGCAGGTGCCGTCGACAGGTCGACGGGGTTTACGGTATTAACGTACGCACGTGATATAGGCCGCTCAACACTTCAGTACCTACCAGTGGCAGCTGACTAACCATCAACAATTTTGCGTTTATGCGTCGCCGTAGCATAGTAGTATTGCCCAAGAACCGCTTTTCCGCTCGCCGGAGGCGGATAAAGAGATCGGATGTGGCAATGGATCCGAGATCGCACGCACGTGACCTCGGTTAATTGTGGTCACGGGGAAGGCAGCCTCGCTGCAACCACTCATGTTCCTTTTGAAATAGATAAGCGACATTGTCTCCCCAATCCGGCTCTTTATCTAGCATTTCGAAGTTGCACGCACCACGTAAAGCCCAGACCTCCTTGTGCCATACTGCCAGTGCTCCGCCGGGTCCATCGAACTGTCCACGAGTCCAGGCCCGACAATGTTCTTCCGGTATAATGACCATTTATACTGCATTATTGCAATCCACCTCACTCCACCATGGCAATAACGGGTCGGTGTGCTCGGATAAGGGGAGAAATGAGTGTGAGCAGTCAGCGAGGTCGGTTCAGATGCGCACGCGAGGTGCAACCCTGGCTCCCCCGGACCAGGCTCGCATAACATACGCTATGGTCTTGGTCGTCCGGAATAATCCGTTTACTTTTTTCAGGAGTTTAGGCGAGAACACAAAGGCCTGATCGAGGCCCACATTCAGGCGTCGAGAATCTAGCTCATGCATTGTCCTTTTATACCGTCCACAACAGTTCACCCCAGACCGGTGACCAGGACTGCTACTACACTGTAGTACAATGTTGTAGGAACAAGGTTGATGTGTGCCGAGTCAGCGGTGGCCCTCAAGGGTCCAGAGGTACCAGCACATCACAGACCAGACGCCGCCACACTGGATCCAAACAGACTTTCTTGGTCTCAATTGGTCAGTGCGTTCGATGGGCACGCTGGCTAGGTCCACCCATACCCACATTCTGGAGCTAAGCCTGGACCGGTAACAGCAATGCCCTCCCTTACCGCCAGTTTTGTGAAACTCGGTAAAGCCTCACTTTAATAATGGCTTATGGAGTTATCACGGCGGTCAATAATAGGGGGCGACGTATCCCCGGTCTAACACTGTGATAATGTCTCACCACATGCAGACAGACGCTCAACGGCCCGACCGGGCGGGGGCCTCGAATTTCGCTCTCTCGGATCAAGACCATTCTCCGTAATCCTTGTGCAGATGACTCCCCGAGGTGAGTGGATAAGCTGTGAGCCAACGGTTCCATGTGGCATATGTTATATCTGGCAAAGGACCCTGAATACTTTGAAAATGGGATCTACTCCACATTGTTTCTATCCTCAGCCTTGCCGGAAGCATCGCCCGTCGATTCTTTGTTCTCGACGGCCACCTTTTCCGCAAACAGTTCGAGTATGCGGACGACAACCACATCACCTTCATAGTAGAAACAACTCTTTCCAGCTAAGCCTTCTTGACCTGACAAATACCGGAGACATGGCTTTTTGTCAAGAAATTTACCAGAAAAATGCCCCTCGCACAAGGACAGAGGAGGAGTCAAAGCCGGCCTTTCATATCGAAGCAAAGCCGACCGGCAATGAACCAAACCCACCAAACGAGGGGCTCGTCCTTGGGGGAGGACAGACCATCAAACTCATGCTTGTACCCGATAAACAGACAACACCTCCTCCGCCGCCAAAGAAGGAAAAGCCCCATCCTCAGACGAAGATGAAGAAATTTTGGAAGAACTTCGATCCCGAGTACGTCGGCAAAGTGACCAGGGTTCTTCCCGACCGGATAGGTGAGACGGATCTCACCTCTAAACTGCTGGGTGAGACCGCCCACCGTGCCGCTCAGTCATACGAGAATGCCAAAGAAAACTGCATTCGCGATGTGAAGCGAATCATCAAGGAATGTCACGCCGCCAACCAGAAATATACCGACTCACATTGGGATATCGAACGAGATCTCAAAATCACCAGGATCAGGGACTGTTTGGACGGTCTTGTTGTCGACCCGGATGACAAGCAGTATCCAGCCGATGCCAAACGTGTTACCGTAAGTGTAGCTGGCCGGCCAAAATGGGAAATATCACATGCTAATATTGAAGCATAGGACATTTTCGAAGATCCAAAGTTCTACGTTGACGGCGTCTCGTACGATGATATGCTTCAAGGTTCAGCAGGGTAAGGACACGATTTTGTTTCGGCCTCATGATGGCAGACTTGAGCAACCGCTGACCAACTTTGTGCAGTGACTGCTGGTTTTTGGCCGCAATATCCGCACTTGGGTGTAACGCCGAATTCATTGAAAGAGTTTGTGTGATCCAGGACCAAACCGTCGGAGTATACGGTTTCGTATTTCACCGAGGTAGGTCTCCTCCTCCTGGTCGTGCGCAATCTAGCGTACAACCTCTTTGTTCTGAGAGACACTAACAATACCAGACGGTGAATGGCACCAGTGTATCATCGACGATAAGCTGTACCTACGGGCTCCAGCATACGACGAAAGTGGAGACGTCGTCCTAGGCCAGTACGGCGTGCGCCGAGCCAATCAAGAAGACCAGTACCAAGAGCTATTCCAAAGAGGGTCGCAATCGCTGTACTTCGCACAGTGCCGGGACCAGAATGAAACGTGGGTCAGTCTACTGGAGAAAGCGTACGCAAAGGCGCACGGCGACTATGCATCGATCTCTGGCGGACAGACAGGGGAAGCCATCGAAGATCTCACGGGTGGCGTGACGACGGAGATTTATACGACCAACATCCTGGACCCGGAAGCGTTCTGGCGCGACGAACTCAGCCGAATCGGCAAAGACTTTGTGTTTTCCTGTGCCGCGGCACGTTGGCGCGAATGGCGGCCCTATTTGGTGGCCAACGAGAAGATCCGTGAAGAGAGACGGTCTGGTATCGTCAGCCAACATGCGTACGCGGTGCTGGCGACATACGAAGGCCATGGGCAACGGCTGGTCAAGATCCGCAACCCCTGGGGCCGCAAGGAATGGACTGGTGCCTGGAGCGACGGATCGAAAGAATGGACGGCCGAGTGGCTGCAGCGGCTCAACCACCAGTTCGGCGACGACGGGATCTTCTGGATGACCTACAAGGACATGCTGAGCAAGTACAAGTATATCGACCGGACACGCATCTTCGGCCCCGAGTGGCACGTGGCCCAGCAGTTCATGGCCGTGCAGGTGCCCTGGAGCACTTTGGACTACCAGCAGAACTACTTTTCCATTGACGTGCCCGAAGACACGGACGCCGTCATTGTGCTGTCCCAGCTCGACGACCGCTACTTCAAGGGTCTACAGGGCAAGTACAACTTCACGCTGCAGTTCCGCGTCCAGAAAGACTCGCAGGATGAAGAGGAGTACCTGGCGCGCAGCAAGATGAACTACGAGCTCGTCCGTTCGGTCAACGTCGAGGTGCCGCTTACCAGAGGCACCTACACTGTGCTGGTCAAGGTCGAAGCCACCGAGAGCAGGCGGGAGGATGTGGAACAAGTGATCCGCAACAACATCCACCGTCGAGACAAGATCACCCAGATCGGCAAGTTGTATGATCTGGCCCACCAAAAAGGCCAATTGCCCTCGTTATCTTCCTCACTGTGTTCGTCACCGGGCACGTCTGGATCAGGAACCTCCACGCCCACGACGTCCGGTGCCTCGCCTATCCAACATCCTCCCAGCAATTCTGGCTCCTCATCCTCCTCGACCCAGCACAAAGATGACCCCGAGGAGAAAGACCCCAACCGCAACCCCTGGAACGCTAGTTGCGTCGTCGGCCTGCGGGTTTACAGCAAGCAAGCCGACCTTGGACTCAAAGTCGTCGTGCCCTCCAAGGAAGAGATCGACGAGACAAAGCACATGCCTACATTGGACCGGGACGACGTGGCCAAAAGCGCTTTGGACGAGGTCCAAGCCGCAGCTGGCAAAGGCGATGATGATGATGATGATGAGACAGGTGCTGAGGGTGAAGCTGGTTCCGGGGCCGGTGCAGAAGCCGTTACCCAGGACGAAGAAACCACCAAGCAAACCGATTGATCGAGACAACACCTATCGATTCAACAACAGCAGTGAGTCACGGCGTTACTGCTCGCAGACCAGACTTCGTCTTTTGTCCCACTGGAGTCTTGATGAAAGGTACATGCATGCCTCATGGATGAATGACATGATATCACTCTATCACAAGACAGCGTCAAGTCCGATGGTGACGTACAGACAGTACTAACTTAGTAGTACTGGGATGTTTCTTTTCATCCATCTGGAAGGCTTGCTGCAGTACTATTTGCTATTGCCGCTCAAAAGGGCTTGCGTGAGCCGGTTCCCAGCATCATGAGTTTAATGGTCTGACGTCTTGGCACGACTCTGGCGAATACCTGAGTTGAGGAGTTTGTCGACACACCCTGATGTCCAGTCAATAGTTACGGGTCTGTTTTTGTTTACTTTAGTTCCGGTTTGGCGAGTTTCTTGGTACGTTTGGAAGCGAAGGGGTTGGTGGGGCGTTTCAAGGCGTTATCAGCGGTCAGCACATTTTTTCAGTGGTTGATCACTATGTACCTACCGCTGGTGTTATTTAACTTAATATAGATGCTGATAGAGAGATTGGAGAAGGTGAAGTGAAGTAGTATCTTTCCAACCTTGAAGTCTTCATGTTACAGATCCTCATCACAGTTCAAGTTTACCTGGACCTTCAGTACTCAGGTACTTGATCCTACATAAATCCACTCTTATCAAAAATCTCCCTCGAACACAGTACCTACACTATACTAGTTGGACAGGTTGTCGATATCCAGAATAACCAAGGTAACTACCGTACTGTACATGGGACATGGTCCATAGTACTATATAGGTACCTAGGTAGGCACGGACAGGGCTCATGCAAAAGTCTTACGAGTCTGTGGTTCCTGTTGCAGCACTCCTTGTGCCAGTGCCGGTGCCACTGCCACTGCCAGTGGCAGACCCAGCACTTTGATCACCACCAACATCAATAAGGTCCACGTCAACAGCAACCACCGACCCAAGACCAGCACTGGCCGAACTCTCGGCGCGACTACGAGTAGTCCCCTCGGTCCTAATACTAGCGACTTCGGCGCCTTCCAGAAGCTCCTGATCTTTCTTGCCGAGTTCGGTGTCCTTGCCACCATCGGCATCGTCGTCATCGTCATCTTCTTCGTCATCATCCCTGTACGGTCTGTTGGCGGCGTGACCTTGCTCGCGGGCGTTGCGTTCAAACTCTCGCTGGGTCTCTTCCATCCGCTTGCGCATCTCGGCCGCCATGCGCATGCCGTCGTTGACAATATTGTCCAAGACGCCGCGAAGGCCACGTGATCCGGGCTCGACGACCCCGCCGGCGCGGCCGACGTCGATGTCCGTCTTGTTCGAACTGCCGCCGCCGTTAATCAGGTTTTTGACGGGTGTGCCGAGATTGGTGAATGTCGTGAGGTTGCCGGAAAGCGTGCTCGACGGCAACGACACTGTGCTGGCATTTGGCGAGTCGCTCAGATGGAACGATCGAGGGAAAAAGGTTTCGAAAAACTGTTCTAGGAGCTCGTCCGCCAGAATCACCATCCGAAACGTCGGGAGCGTGATGTGCAGCGGCTTGTTGGGATCTAGGGCGAGGTTATGGGAGGCCGCGCGGGAAGAGCTTCTTCGGACGCCTGCACCTCCCTCAGGTAGTAATGGCGACACGCCTCCTCCTGGACTCCTGGGCGGCGTCGCCTCGGACAAAGGATCGTGCTCGGCGGGCTTCGGCAATGGTTTATGTTTGGCGGTGCCTGACTTTGTCTCTGTAAGTTCTAGTAAATCTTCTTCTTGACGCTGCTCTTTTTCCTGTCTATCGGGCTCGGTGATGGATGTTGCCTCGAGCTTTGTGTTGGCTTGATCAACAGCCTCGTCCGGGTCGGCGTATTCAAAACACCTCTTGATGAAAGCGCTCACACTACCCAGAAACCTCTCGTTGGTACTCATTTTGAGACCCTCCTTTGAGTCAGTGGCGGATACTGGAGACGCCAGTCCGTTGCCAAAGTCGGACGGAGTGATTGCGCCATCAAAGCCTCGCCGCGAAAGAAATAACAACGACTCCGACATCCTAAGAATGCCTTCCCGGTCCACTCTGCCGGTGTTGTCATCATCGAAGAGTTCAAAGAACAGACTCATGGAATTCATAATGTCCGTGGTCCCTTTGATCCGGGCCAGGCCCCGAACGAGCTGTTGCAAGGTCATCTCGCCTTGGTGTGATTCATCCCATTTTCCATATAACCGTTGCATGAAATCGTGGTCGGCTGGTTGTGGTCCGGAACCCCATTGTGACACGGTCTGCCCGCGTTTCCTCTGGCTCATGGCAGGATTCGTCATTTCCTGCGACGGCGAGGTGGGAGAATCCGTAATGGCCCATTTGGCCGTGTTAGCCAGGAACTCACGGAATGCATCATAGTCCATGGTCTGTAGAGGTGCTTCATTGCGAGCAGGTTCGTCATGATTGCGATCGGAGTGGTGTGACCACAGCCCTGGGCGCACCTTTTGCTGCTCCTGCCTCCGTCTTTCTTCCTCACGGAGTTTCGCCCGCTTCTGCCGCTCTGACAGGACGCCGAAAAAGCGGTCGTAAATAGCACTAAGGTCTTCGGCACTCAACTTCTTGCTTTCCGGTCCTAAATTTCGAATCGAGGTACGTTTGGCGAAGGTGGCAAGACCATCCTTGACATTATCAATGTGCTTTGCTCTGAGCTCTTCGATACTCGCGTGAGTGATGCCAGCAAATTCTTTGAAAGCCGTTACCATTAGCTCTTGAAACCTGGTAATGGCCCTCAGCTTTTCATTCTCTGAACGCGGATGAGCAGACTCGTCGAGGCGGGAGAAATAGTTCTTGAGAATGGAGATAAACGAGCCGTCGTCATTGACGTCGAGCAGCTCCTCTCCGTTAATACGGAGGATGGCCAAGCCAACCTGAAACAAAACCTTGGGTCCTTCCAGGAAAAAGACGTCCAGGACCCGGAAGGCAAAAACAAGCGGCATGGAGTTTATATACAGTGAAAGAAACCAAGGCAGCGAGACCACTGAGAGGTTGACATCCGACTTGACCAGATGCTCCCAGAGGACGGGCATTGTCCGTTCCACCAGGTTTTCGAAGACGCGTTGGTCGAGAAGCGTACCATACATGTCTTTTGAGTAATAACCTGGAAGCAGACGATCGCATAGGGCGCCCAAGATGAAAAATGCTTGCGCTTCAGACATGTAGATGAGCAACGCGGCGACCACAATATTCATGGCCTGACAATAGCCGACTTCTTCATTGGTCCAGCTGTACGCTGTGAGCACTCGTCGCAATCGACCAATGCCTTCTTCGCTCTGAAACCCGGGGTACTCGGGGAGACTTCGATTCAAGTCCTTCTCGATCTCATCAATAGCCAACGACTCTTGTCCGGTGAACTTGGCCAATGTCTTCTCGTAAAGGTTTGGATTCCTCAGTCGCGTGTAGAATGAGCCCGAACATATCTCCCAGATCTCGCCTCTCAGCCTGTTGGGAAGACCGACACGGATCAACTTGTGGAAGGTGGGTTGTCGGACAATGGTCGCATTCCGGCCATTCTCACGCATGTACTCGCCCCATAGCCTGATTTTGCTCCTATCACGAAGTTTTCGCGCATCCCCCGGATATCTGAAGAGCATACCCAATCCAGTGTCAGGCGGATCCGGGGGCGGGGTGCCCTCTTCCTTGGCCTTCATTCGCACCGGGTCGAGCAGATACTCGGAATAACACTGAGACACCACTGTACGCAGGCTGTCGACTTCTTTCATGCCCTCTCGGAGCCCTTTCTTCAAGCCATCGCAGAACCGCTCACAGGCAGCGCGGCTTCCGTCCAAGGTAAGGATCAGTTTCCGGGCTGGAGGCAGGGATGCCTTGGTTTTCTCCGTCAGCGGCTTGTGCACCGACTCGAAGGTGGTCAGCGCGAGGGAGAAGTTGTCCTGGTGGCTATTTAGTCTTTCGACGCGTCGGATGGCGCACAGCGGCAGGGTAAAGCCATTCCCGCCGGGTCCGGCGCCTTGAGTTGGGCCCGTAAAGGCAGTAGAGGCATTGTGACTGGCGGTCGGTAGGAAACTGGTGCGTAAGGTCGAGAAACACAGAAAGTGTTCACTCAAGTGCAGTTCCCCCAGATACCTGTTGCCATTCTCTCGTGACTTCTCCCCGGACGTGACTGGGCCGCGGGTTGAGGACGGTGGCAGAGGGAGGAAGAGTTCGGCGGTGATCTCGTGCAGGGGATGCTGACCGGCAGGAAGTCTGAACTGATCGCGGAAGAGAGCCGCTTTGGAGGGCCGGTGATCATTGTTAGAGGACAGGGGCGACTGGTCAATCAGCTTCTGAACGAATGAGCTCAACATGGCGCAGGGTAGCGGTGTTGCTTCGGTTCATCAGGATGCGCGTAGTAGTTGTATACTACTCTCGTTCGTGTCTCGCTTCCACGTCGGTGACCGCGCCAGTCACTGCGGGTATGGCATGATGTGGGGCGAGAGAGCTCAGCAAGACTCCCACGACCGTGCTGCGAGGTCAGAAGGATGTTGCACACGTCCTATAAACAGGAGATATCGCAGAAACGCAGCTCACATCTGCCGCAGGGGAAGCGTTGAGGCGGGTGGTCGAACTACTTGAGCCTCGTCACGAAACAGCACGGACATAACTTCAGGTCCACGTCCCTCGCTCCGCCTCTCCTTCAGCCTTGGCGCTTTCACATATTGTACTAGGTGCCCAGGTAGTACCTACACGTAAGAACCGAACGACTTCAAGTTTGCTGACTGCAAGGACTGTCCGTCACCCTGCACCCATCTTCTGGAATGATACGTTGTACTACATTTACATGCTGAGATCCTGAACAACCTTCCAATGGTCAGGTGAAACTTGCAAGTGTTATAACATCTGGTGGTATGTCGGCCCTGCCAACCTTGAATTACGTATAAAAACGAAGGCGTCTCTGTCTGCCTCCATTAAGGGCCATAGTCCAATGTCATTCAATCGTTCGTTAGTCGTCCCCTGCTATCCCCTGGCTGTTTCTGTGTCTCGTAGGCATTCGCCACTGGCAGATCAAGCCATTCTTCCTCCTCGTGAAATGGTTATAAGACGCCGCCTTGCATCACGCCGTCTCCGTTGTCAACAGCAGCTCAACAATGAGATGGCTCTTCTCGTACTCCGGGTGTTGCAGAACAATCTTCGGAGTCCGCGGGGCGTTCATATAATTTTTCATCCCAAGGCCGTTGATGCCCCCTCCGAGAGCGGCCGGCGTCTGCGGCTGGCCGCCTCCAGACCCGCCCCCGCCATCGTCAAGCAGCTTGATGTCTTTTCCGGCAATGACTTGCTTCAGTCTCCCGTTCTGGGCGTCGCGAATCTCGACAAAATCGTCGTCGACCAGAATCAAGTATTGCGCATATAGACAGGCCGATTTTGCGCGACCTACAAACTCCATCACCACCCCCCGTGAGATATCTCCGTGTTTGTTGACATAGACAGCACATTCCTCAAACGTGACGAGGAACTCGGCCTCCCCAAGTCGGAACATGCCCAGCGGCTTGAGGTCTTTGATCCGACTGGCGATTGAGCTAAGATGAGCCTGTGTGTCGGGTTGGTCGCTCCTCAAGTTCGGCACGCTCCACGTTTGCTTTTTCTCCAGGGTCAGCACTTCCACTCCTCTCGCCGTGGATATCGCCAAGCTTGACTGAAACAGGTTTAGGCTGTAGCACTCGGCCGGGATGTAGAACTCGTCGTATTCCCTGAAAAATTCGGTCTGGCCTCGACGAGTTGACGAAGGCAAGAAGCGAGACCGGCTAGTCGTGCTTCTCTGCAGTACTGGTTCGAGTACCTTGAACGTGGACGCGATACCGTCTCGCTTTTTGTAGAAGACGAGCGTGCGCTCCTTCATCTTCCCCGTCACAAAGAAGCCAACGTCCTTAGAGCCCGACAACTTTTGCGGCGCCTTCCGACTCGAACCATCATTTTGCAACACAGGGTTGCCGGTTGGTGGGCAGACAACGTCCAGATGATATGCGATGAGCACCTTGTCAGAAATCAGAAGGAATAGGTTGAACTCCTCTAGGACCGCGATCTGGCTGACCCGTTGCATCGGAATAGCCTGCAGGATGTTAGCAACGATGCATGCTCCAAGCAACGTGATCAACGTACCCGAACCCATCCCCGAGAGTTTTCATATTCGGAAATGTATACACCGTAGTCAGTTCCGACAGCGCACATGAGCCGCCCATATGGTTGATTAAACACTGTTGCGCAATTGACAGGAGCCCGACAAACAGGTGCTGGACGCCCCTGGCCTGCAAATTTCTTTTCAGCCTCCTGGATGGCCCGGTCCAGCGGCGTCCCCTTGATTAAGATACGTCGGTGGGGGTAGGTCAATCCATCGTAGCCGAAAGCAGTATCTGCCAGGACGCGAAGTTTGAACGGCTCAGCATTCTGAGAGAACAATGCTTCTGCGTGTCTTGTTTTGGCTTGGATGATGGCTTCACACCAATCTTGGCGATTTTGCGCGCTCGGAGCGTAAAGCGTGTACGTCTCGGTTTTTCCGAGGTGTTTGACACGAAAGGGGTACATGATCTTCTCCTCTTTCGAACTGCCAGACTCTATCGTCGTGATGGGTACCATCGACTGGCTGGTGTTTCCTGATCCAATTGACAGATTGGTGCTTGTATGTGATAGAGAACCAGGCTGCCCTCCACTTGCGGTGGACTGTGCTCTAGCAAGCCGAGAGTCCGGAACCGGCTGCCCTCGTGGAACCACGGTGGTAGTGACAGCACCGATACCTTTAACTGACGATTTGACTACTGCGGGGTCATTGGAGCTTTCCAAGACCAGGAGGTCCATTGGGATTGGAACTTTTGAGACATCATAATATCCCTCTTTGCGGTCCCGGCTGAGAGGTTTGGCGAGCACCAGGTAATGATCGAAGAGTATTGCGTGCGTATCGACCCACTGGAAGCCCTTCCCGCCAGCACGTTGAAGATCGCCACGGAAGATGATCTCCCTGCCTAGATGATCGAGGTTGAGCTCCACCTCTTTTTCCATGGCTGGTCTGAGTCGCAACTTAGTCTGCATTTCGACCAGCTGCATCTTTTTGGTCATCTCAGCGAACTTGGAGTCGCACTCAAAGGTCGCAGCCCGGATCTCGTCGAGAGCATAGGCTAGGTTGTTCTTTTCTTCTGACTCTTTGAGCATGTTTTTCTGGACAGTTGACAGCAGAAGACTGTAACGCTGTAGTCGAGTGATCGGTGCTTTCAGGTAGTTATCCCAGCCCAAGCGATTCGATCGTTTGTCTTCCCGAGCTTGGTCGAGGAATAGTTTGAAGTGCACATTTCGCTCCGCTTCTCGACGCATGAGGTAGTCTGCACGAGGAAAGTTGGATGCATACTCAACGTAGACCGACCGGGCTTTCCTGATCCATTCACGAAAGATGTCACTGAACCCTGCTATCCAGGGTCCTTGCTCAGACTGGCGATACTTCAACTGTCCAAGGAGATAGTCCTGATTCACCTTTTTCACTTTGTCAACCCCACCAAACACTTCCCTCAGGAAGGTTGGAAGCTTTTTGGGAGGAATGATTGGTGGCTGCGCAGCTGCCAGCCGGTCTCTGTATAGAACCCTCAACACATCCAATTGGCTGATGTAGAGATCCTCGCTGGTGACTATCTCATGTAACACATTCTGCCGTTCGATTTCTTTCTTGTCGTGGCCTGCGATGTCTTCTTTGGTGAGCTTGTAGAATGTGGCCCAGTCCTCCGACTTCTTCTCGACTGGCAAGGAATCAAGGTCGACCTTTTTCAATGTCCGCATGCAATGGTAGGAATAGCATCGCCCTCGGGTATGATACAAATGCAGCTTCGAGGAATAGCAACCACTTCCCGTCAGTTGATATAGTACGCCAGACATTGTTCCATGACCAAACTTGACCCATTCTTCCTCCCTCATTAGGGCGCCAGTTGCCAACATCTCTTTGACCACGCGCTCTCCAAGGGCTTCAGCTTCCGTGATGTACATGGTGGGAACCTTGTTCATGAAGAGGGCGACAATGCCTTCCACGACGCTGTGCTCTTTGAGATCTGCCTCTTCTTCTGCCAGTTCTTTGATCCATCCCAAAATGGAGCTGAGCGCCCAAGGCTCGGAACATTTCTTAAACTGGTCAGCCGATAGCTTGGAAGGATTATAGCGCTTCTTGGGGATCGCCGGAAGATCTAACGAGACGGCGGACTGGGGACTAGCTATGTCGTAGAGATCAGAAACTGGCCGTCCCTGTTGACGCGCCAATTTTTGCCGGTCGGCATCGGTTTTTGAGCGGACTGGGTACTCCACACGTGGAGCACTGCGCGTACTTGATAGCGAGGTCGAGCGAGGGACAGGTGAAGGGCTCAGCAGGGAATTAGTGTAGGCGTCTGGGGCGGGAGGGAACCCCCTTGATGTCTGATCGGTGTATTGTGAGAATCGAGATTGCTGGGTATAGGTACCTGCAGGCATCAAATGCGGCAACCGGGCACCAGGATCCGAGTGAGAAGGTGGAGGTGGGAGCGGTCGCTGTTGGCTCAGGCCAGGATGGAAAAATAGGTCAGGCATGGAATCTCTGGAGGGACTGGTGTCACCAGAAGTGCGAGCAGTTTCGGAATCCATCCACGCCGCCTCATCTCCATCTTCGTAGCTCAAACGTCGTGGATGTGGACTGGGTTCAGTTAGACCCCCGGTTCCCCCAGTGTCAACCCGGGCCACGTTCGGTACGGGGGCATATTGACGCAAACTCTCTGCGGGAGGGATAGAATCGAGTCCGCTAGCCTGTGACTCTCTACCTTCAGATGATACGCGAGAGCTGCGAACAGAGTCCATCCGCGCATTGAGCCGTCCGTACAACTCGCTTTGCGGCATAGCAGTGACAGTAGCGTAGTCTGTCACAGCTGGATCGCCATATGACATGCCAGGCGCGTAACCTCCACCTGCAAGGCTTAGATCGTAGCCGGCATAGTCGCTGTCGCTACTGCGGTCTTGATCTGACAGGCGCAAAGCTGTTTCCCCGGGGCGCGGCTGGCTGGGGAAGAGAGTCGCTGATCCACTACGTCGGCGCGCATCCTCTTGTCTCTCCTGCTCATCCAAGGCTTGTAGCGCAGCGAGACCTGCCGCAGCTTCGGCATCGCTGTCGTCTGAGAATGCTCCGTAGTTTATGTAGGTGTCGCCAGTGGACGCGATGTTTCCATTAAGATGGGTAGGGACCTCGTCTGGTGACACGAGCGGCTGAGCCGCAGTTGGCTGGTAACCATCAGCCGGGGCCTCTTCCCTAGCGTCGCTATACCTGTAGTCACTCGCTGACCTTGAGTGCATGGAACTGTTCCCTATGGCTTGATCCAGATGAAGCATCAAGTCATCATAGCCTGAGTGACGGGTGTCCCTTCCCACTGCGGAGTGCTGCGCCTCGGCATTGATTTGATAGTCATTATCGGACTCTGATTCGGACGGCACGCCCGGAAGAGACCTTCCTTGAGGATGACGATCGAGGGTGTTCGTGCGCTGGGGAGAGCGGTCAGAGGGCTGCCTGCTGGGCGGTGTTGGAAGTGAAGGTTGTGAGGAAGCAGATTGGTTGCTCAGCCGACTCGCAAAAGAAGAATTCCGGTTGATGTCTGGAGACGAGTATGCACTCAGTGTTGAACTCTGGTACTGCGCTGCGGTTCCGGCACTGTGCGAGTACCCTTCACCAGGAATGCTGTTAGCGCCATATGACCGACCTGCCAGTGCTGGATCTGCGTGCGGAGGGGCAGCCGGTGTAGGAGGCGAGTATGATGCATGAGTTTGGCCGGCGGAAGAGGCACTAGGATGGCGGACTGGAAACTGGTGAGTGGCATCATGCTGGTATGCACCGTATGGCTGAGTGTGTGAATAGTGTTGCTGTTCGGTTCGGGGGGGAGGCGGAGGAGGCTGATTAGAGGAGTTTATCTGCGCGTTAACATCGTAGTAGCCGTAACTGTTATACACTGAAGTGTGACGAGTCAAGTTTGGGTCACCATAGGCCGCTGGGATATATGGTTGATAGGCACCGGGAGCCTGGGGAGATTGAGGACTTGCATAGACATGTGGGTTGTAGTTGGGCGGTGGCGGCGGCTGCTGCTGCTGCTGATATTGTGCTGGATTGTATGAAGGGCGAGCAGGTACTGCCGGTTGATGTTGGTGTTGATATCCAGCCAATGCGGCGTACTGAGTATTCGTCCGGAAAGGCATCGTCGTGGACGCCTGTACGCCCATCGAGTGCGCTCTGTTCGCTGATGGGCTTCCTCCTGTTTGCCCATCATAGGCTTGATATGGCTGGCCTGAACCCGTCTGCATCTGCGTCCCATCTCCTTCAAGAAACTGTCCGTCATCCCCAGCATCAAAACTCGGGGCTCGCTCGAGGGGGCGTGACGGATACGTAGACTGCGAGCCATAAGGCACGAAGCCACTGTTCTGACCCGAGGAAGGATGATTGTTGGAGGGATAGTAAGGCCGACCATTCTGGTAGCTGGCCATATTCAGCGCGAGAGCGGCCTGGTGATGCCGCGACCGGAGGGAGGAAAGTCAACGCAGGATCGGCGCAACAGCTCGTTGCGCATGTTTCGTCTATTCGACCCGGAAAACAATCGTGATACAACAGCACCAGTCACTCGGATGGTGTTGAGCAGGCCTGCAAGGGCGCATCTGGCCCAAAGAAAATGCTGATTGCAAGGCAACCGGGGGCCGGACAGCTTTGCGGCCGAGGGTGCAGGAGGATGAATGCGGATTGAGCGTGACAAGTTGGACTCCCTGGGTTCGTGACGGCCGCTGCAGCGCGATGGACGAAATGACCAGCTCAAACCCGCATTGCAGAATTGGCGGAGAGGAATATATTGTCTGTAGTAGCGAGGCAGATCAATGAATTCGGACTTGGTGCCAACGAACAAATGCGGTCGACTTCCACTCACTGACTGGCGCTGGCACTGGTGCTCAGGCTGGCAATGGCACCGACAACTTCAAGGCCGTCAGCAACTCAGCGCGATGTGCTTAAAACGGACGCCAGGATGAGGGTCACTGCGGTGCAGGGTCATTATTATTGCCATGCAGCTTTAAAACTCGCTGTGTTGGACCGTAATACCGCTCCAAATAGCATACGGCGGAGTATTTGGTGATATGTGGATAGTGTTTGTACTGCAGTGTGATAGAAGAATATACAACATTGTATGCTATCAACGGGACTTCAGACTGGCGGCTAATGTTCTGTGTTGAAACCAAGAGTTGCTAATTCTTTCTGTTCATGTAAATCAAGGAAGACTGCAGCGTTATGTTGGAGTCTGGTAGCTGTCCTGCAAGCTGAACAGCGCAGGCTTCTTTGGAAAAGGCCTTGGAGCCGGCGTCCAGTCCTCCATACCCTCTTCTCCCATGCCCGAGATGAACTTGAATGTTTATATCTCAAGCTGCACTATCGTCACCTCGGACGGCCTTGAGCACCCCTTCAGCGACTCGCACCCCCTCCAACCCGGCCGGCAACCCACAATAGCCCGCAACCTGGATCAACGTCTCCCGAATCTCGACCTCGCTCGCACCATTGTTAACTGCCCCTCTCACATGGACTGCAAGCTCAGTCATTCTGTTCAAGGCACAAAGCATAGCAATATTCAGCAGGCTTCGAGTCTTGCGGTCCAGACCAGGGCGCGTCCAGATACAACCCCAACCCACCTCTGTCGCAAGTTCTTGCATAGGTCGGGCAAAATCAGAAGAACCATTCTGCAGCGAACGCTGGACATGCTCGACCCCGGTAACTTCGTTGCGAATCCTAAAGCCTTCGTCATATAAGATCTTATGGGCTTCAGCCACTTTGTCTCCGGGCGGATCCATTCTCTTTGTTGCAGTTGGTTGATCAGATACTATACGTTGATGCAATGCCCAGCGTTCTAGGTCTGGGTTCTGCTCCGGGGTAATTCTGATCGACGCGTGGTTAGAAAACAAAAGGGACACCGTTGCACGTCGGATAAAACATACATAGGTGGCGTGTCGAGGTGAGCTGGGTCACTACTACTATACTAGTACAATCCCGATTCAAAGTAAAGTACAATGTTTTAAGCAACGCTGCCCAGACACGTTCCGGGTTCTGCGCCAGCGGTGGTCATGATGGTGGATGGTCAGGGGAGTTGCCGGTAAAGCCCCACCACCAGTTCGGGCGTCTGTACCCGTCCCCAGAGCCTTACTCGGCACCCGGACCGCCAACTAGTACGGGGAAATCTTCGCGCATTGCCACCTACCTAGGTAGACACCAGGCAGGTAGGTACCTTTTAGTATTGGCATCCTTTACAGCCTTGGGGGAAATAAGCAAGTAGCTGAGAGCTACAGCAAGCGCTGGAGCTGGGTCGCTTTGCATCGTTCGGGAGGGAAAACACCGTCACCCAGGCTGCCGGGCGTCCTTTGAATGGGACGTGGATTCGATGCGACATCGTGACCCTGTTGCTACTGACATCAAACTGTGGCAGGCAGACCACTATCAGCACAGCATTGTAAAATGATGTTGTACATCGAGCAGCCACAGTGTGGTATACCCGGCCCATCCTCTGCTCTCGCCTATAACGCCCCACCCGACTGGTTGTGCTTCTGTTGCCATTTCAAATTCCGAGTTTCTTTTAGTAGTGTCATCAGACCCTCCACATGCCAGAGGATCCCCATAACTTTTGACCACCCACGCTGTCATGGATTGGCGCCGAGGCCAGAACTGTTGCTTTACCACGCTAAAAGCGTCCGATCTGTAGGAATGAGTTGGGTCACCCACCCCCGCGGCAGTTTGTCCCATGGCTAGGAGAGGCAGACGCTCGGCGGGGCTTTGATCTCCTTCTTGTATAAGAAACTATAATACCTGGATACCTTAGCTGGAACCGAATCCACCTTCCATAGTGCAACTTGACTTCAGGGCGTCATCAACTGGTGGCTGGGATCAACATGGCGCAAACCGACAAGCCTTGGACCATTATCGTGGGTGCTGGACCTTCTGGACTGCTTCTTGGGTTGATGCTCGCGAAGAAGGGCGTTCCAGTCCACATTTTGGAAGCGTCCTCGGAGTTGGATGATTCTCCTCGTGCAGCTTACTATGGTCCTCCTGCCGCCTACGAGCTACGAAGGGCAGGAGTCATAGACGACGTTCGAAAGGAAGGATTTGACCCAGTCAAGACTTGTTGGAGGAAGCTCGACGGGACCTACCTTGCCGGATTCGACAACAGTCTTAATTTCGATGACCCGGATCGACTGGCATGCCTCCCACTGGCCAATCTGGACCAGCTTCTCTACAGACATGCCATTGCCCAACCAACGCTCAAGGTAAGTTTCAACCACAAGGTTGTCGACCTGGGCCAGGATACAGACAAAGCTTGGGTGGATGTGGAAACACCCGACGGCAGAAAACGGTTAGAGGCCAGTTATATTGTAGGATGCGACGGGGCTTCGAGCACCGTCCGGAAGCGTTTGTTCGGGGACAAGGACTTTCCGGGATGGACATGGGATAAACAGATCGTGGCTACCAATGTAAGTTGGCGTTGTTTGAAGTGCTACCACTCTTTTTGACCAGCAACCAGGTATCCTATCCCTTCGAAAAGTTTGGCTATGATGATGCCAACTTTTTCATCCATCCGGAGCATTGGCATATGGTCGCTCGCCTCACCAAAAATCCCGATGGCAGCGGATGGTGGCGGGTTAGCTATGGCGAGGTTTCGGGCCTGACTCGGGAACAACTGATCGCTCGACAGCCGATGAAGTATGAGGCGATGCTTCCGGGACACCCTAAGCCGGGGCAATATGACCTTGCAGCCATCAGCCCTTACCGGATACATCAGCGGTTGGCCGAGAGGCTACGAGTTGGCCGGTTCTTGTTGGCAGCGGATGCGGCCCATAGTAAGTATCCTAGCACGTATCCTAGCTCGCACCATGTGCCTGGTATCTCGTTAACATTGATACAGTCTGCAATCCTTTTGGAGGTCTCGGCTTGACTGGGGGTATTGTTGATGTCGGAGGCCTGTACGATTGCTTGATCGGAGTGTATGAGGGTAAAGCGGACGAGAGCATCCTCGACAAGTATTCCGAAATGCGTCGCCAAAGGTTTCAGACCGTCACCGACCCTATCTCGCAGAGCAACATTAGGCGACTATACGACCAGGATCCGGATAAGGCTTTGGAGAACGACGAGTTTCTAAAGATGCTCAAGAGCATTGAGAACGATGTGGAGGCACAACGAGAATTCATGCGGTCTCCGATGGCGCTCCAGTATGACTTTACGCAGCATTATAAGACAGCTACAGGTATGGGAGCAAAGGAAGATGGCCAGGCCGCAAAGAACGGTGTCGTGACGCAGGTGACACAAGTTGCACCGATAGGAGGAGAGTAGCCATTGCCCGGGAGGTGGACTGGGCGCTGCAGTGGTGGATTGATGTCGTTCAGGTTACCAGAGGTCTAGCGATTACCAATGGCCTTTCTATTGAGACTGCAGTTGCAGTTGAGAGCAGCAGGACGTTAGTGTGCAGCACAGGAGCATCCATGTCTATAGGTATACTTGAGATACCTGCAGTGGCTGTCTGTAGTGGTGGACATTGATGTCTACTACCTACTACCTACTACTACTAGTACAACATTGTATCAGTCCCTTGGAGGTACTTTAAGGTGTGTGCGCACGTGCCGATGGAGGCCGCAGAATATACTACCACTGTAGGTATGTAGGTACCTGTAAGCAGCGACGTCATTGGCGCGGACTTGTTGCAGCGCAGCGCAGGCAGGCGACTTCGACTTCGACTTGAACTCCAACTTCAACTTGCTGCACTTCTTGGACGTGGAATAATAGAATATCGAGGCTCAGTATTCGGGCGCTGTTGAGGGTTCTGCGCCCGTATATCCGCGGGAAGTGTACCGTGGCTATTTGTGCGGCTGTCAACGAGACTTTGAAAGCGATATCTCCAGAAATGGCCTAAAATTTACCTATACCGGCAGAAGCGTGCTGTCAGTCGACGGTGGCACAGGATTTGCACAACATCAATATTCCACTGTACCGCAGCCGCTACTACCACGATACGAGGGAGCCCTCCCTCAATCAACGAGCCACAGACTGTGACACGCTCGTCCAAACCACGGCCGGGCCTCTTCGTAATGAAGCCCTCCGATCAGGCGCCATTATTCCGTCGAACATCTTCAACACCTCATTACCAGACCTTTGGCGGCATTACGCCTCCCAAATCTCGAGGGAGGCCACTGTCCGACTCGTCCCACTCGTCCAGCCATGACCTCCGTGCGCCTGAAAGAAACCGACGAAACCAGACTTCACCTTTACCCAAGAAACAAATGGCGATCTTGGCGGTGATAGCTTTGTGCGAACAGACCGCGCTCAATTCGATCAGTCCCTACCTTCCCGAGATGGCGTCGACGTTTCCTGAAGTGAAGCCGGGACAAGTGGGCTTCTATGTTGGAATGATAGCTTCAGCATTCGCGCTGGCACAATTGACCACCAACTTCTTCTGGGGATGGCTGTCAGACCATATTGGGAGAAAGCCAGTGATACTGATGGGCACGCTCTTTACTGCCGGCTGCTTCATTGCCTTTGGATTCGTCAAGACCTTGCCCCAGGCGCTCGTGGTTCAGGCTCTGATGGGATTGTTGAACGGCAACCAGGGTGTTGTGTCAACGTGTCTAGGGGAGATTACAGATCGCAGCAATCAGTCCAAAGCGTTTACTTATTTGCCCGTGATATACGGGCTTGGGGGTATCACAGGGCCCGTCATCGGCGGAGTGCTGGTATATCCGCGAAACCCATTTAACAAGGCGAAACCCAATCCCTATCCTTTCCTTCTGCCCAACCTGCTCTCGGCGGCCATTTTGTGCGTCGATTTCGGGCTTACAGCGTTCTTCCTCGAGGAGAGCTTGGAAGAAGCGCCGTACCTCGGTCCGATCACGCATCGGATCAAGAACCTGTTCGCATGGCTGTGGGAATTCACGTCCTCAAGCAGACCGCATTATCTACGGAGGCGTTCAAGCAAGAAGCCCCATCACCATTCTCACAGCAACGGACTGGTCGAGGTCTCGGATGACGAGGACAATGACGGCTCCGTTGACCACCCCGGGTTATTCCCCGAGACGGAAGAGCTGAAGAGCAGCGATGTGCTCAATCGAGACACCATCCTTCTTCTCCTGACGTACCTCATCTTCCAGCTATCGAATATTTCGTTCAATTCGTTGTATCCCATTTTCGCGCAAGCGCCTCCTCCCACCGGCCGCAGTCTCGACCCAGAAGAGATAGGGCTTTCGCTGGGGTTCGCCGGCGTCGTGACCATCTTGTTCCAGGTAGGCGTGTTCGGCAAGCTCCGGGACAAGATGGGCAATCGGTGGGCGTACCGTGCCGGGCTCGGCGGGTTTGTGATTGCTTATCTGTTGATGCCGTGGGTCGGATACAAGGACAAGGGTGACGGCCAAGGAGCCATCACGTTCGGCGCCGCTTGGTTGTGGATCGAGATTTGCGTCGTGCTTCTTATCAAGACCGTCGCCGCTGTCGGAGGTCTTACGAGTGCTCTGTTACTGGTAAGTCTCCAAACACATCAGGGGCTCAAGCCAGGGTTTATCGATAGTCGATATTTGACGTTCGCGCCTTCGTTATACCGCCCCTTTGTCGGTCGATGACGATTCTTGATTTACTTATTTCATTTAATGCTTGCCTGCATGACTGGCTACATGGATAGTATGCTGACCTCAATGATTGCGGGCCATGCACAGATCACGAACTCTGCTCCCAACCACTCTGTCCTTGGAACCTTGAATGGCCTGGCTCAGACCCTCTCCGCAGCGGGGCGAGCAGTCGGCCCATTCGTGTCGGGCGGCATCTTTTCTCTCGCCACAAAGGTACAGCCCAAGGGCGAGGCTCTGGCGTTCGGCGCCTTTGGCGGCATCGCGTTTATCGGCTTCTTGCTTAGCTTCGGCATCCGGTCGCCCAGTCTCGAGGCCGAGGGTTGGGAATCTTCTTCTGCTGAAGAAGACGAAGAAGATGTTGACGTCGACGACATCGATGATGACTCTGACCACGGATCCCGTAAGTCAGGGGATGAAGAACGGTAGCAGCAAAAAAGAGGAACTCCTGTTGTGAATCAGGATGAACGAAAAGAAACGAAAAGAAGAGAAGAAAAAAGAGTCAAATGCTTTTTGGTTTTGATATTAACGTGATATGTGATATAATGTTGTAACATGTACATTGGCAAGAAATAGATGCGATGAGACACACGCTTCACTAGCGATGGAGTCTAGAGATGGACTTTGGAAAAAAGGGATCGGTCGAGGTCAGGTAAACAAAATCAAAAAAAAATCCAAGACTGGTTCATTGACAGCCCATTTTTGAGGGTCCTGGAACGCAGCGGTCCGTTTCGTCGTCCTCTTTCTGTAGGTAGTGAGTGTAATGATCGAACTCAAGAGGTTCACGAGTACCATAGAAAGTACTGCGGTCATTGCATTTAGCCCTGTATTGGGACACCAGGAACTACCTAGGTACCTTGGGGAGTTTCTTTTTCCTATTTCATATATTTTTTCGACCCTCAGCGTCAAGTACTCTAGTTTCACACCGACTGCCAGAACGCGCTGAAAGGAGAGCTCTTGAAACCCCTCCTGTACACGATCGGCTGTCTCGACTTTGGCTTTTCGGACTCTTGGTCATCATTGGGTCTTGCAGTGGATGGTATAATTGTTTTTTGCTGGCCTCGTTCCGTCTCACTTCATCACACCTCATCCTTGGTAGTTCTCAATACCGTAATGTTCGGCCACACTTTGCTGATACTCTCGCGGTTTCCGCTCTCGATCGCTCCCCAGCTGCAATGCTAGATCACGCTCATGTCTGACCGCCGGTTCCGGACTGAGTAACTCAATTTCTGGCCATCGCTTCTTATGGATTGGACACCAAAGGCAAACACCGCAACCGTAACGGAAGGGCTTGTTTTCGATTTCATTTCTTCATTTTTGCGTCATGTCCATGTGTGGTTCCTCAACCTGGTCGGGAAATATTTCGTTATGGTTCCGTTGCCATCATCTCCTATATCGGTAGATATGTAGAGAGATATAGAGATATATATTGGTAGCATATATCGATGCGATGGAGTCGCCTCGTCCATTTGGTCTGATATCGACAAGGAGGGAGTCGAAGCATGGTGCACCAGAGAGGCCAGAGATGATAAGAAAACAAGTATGACCATGGTCAAAACACGACGCACATCCCGCACGCCAAGGCGCATCTTGCATTCTTGTAATGAAGGGAGGAGAAGAAGAACAAGGCTCGGATTGAAAACTATCGAAATCCCATTTTGTTCAAAAGTCCTCATCGGCGTTGGCGACGGTGACGACGGCTCCGCACAGCGCACCGGGCTGATGCTGCATTCTGTGTGGAAAGAACAGAAAAAGGATTGTGTTGCAGACCGGCCACAGTTCGCTGTACGGAGTGCGGCGTACCTTATCGCTCCGCTTCCGCTTCAATTCGCCTCGGACAGTGCACGGTGTTGGATCGTCATTGCCTGAAGTGATGCAAGTATACGTGTTGGCGTGGGTGTCCGTATGTGCATAAGAAATGGTCAGCCTTGCATCCGTCTCTTCTCGTTCTGAAGCAGCCATCTCCTGGGCACAGGGAGTCAGTCCAATGTTAATTGACTCTTCGCGTTTTCGCTTCTATTTGCGCGGTATCACATACCAAACTCTTGACCACCGCACCGTCACAATATATATGTATATCATCCCAAGGAAATCGGCGAGGACGGTCAAGAGTCAGATTGTCAAGTCCGAGAAGAGGCATCATGAGGCGCGTCAGAGCGGAGGAGGGGAGGAACTTGAGGCGAAGGATTCGGAGCAGGTATCAAGCCATGAGATGAGGTGCTCGGCGATCATGGAGTGTAATCGTTCGCAATCACTACCAGGTGGGTAGGTCTGTCGCAAACCCGCCTCGTGTTTGACGGCGCACAAAGGTCTCGGGAGCCTGCATCTCTTCGATCTCTGTTCTTGTTGTATATGTCACTGGGGACTTATAAGGTTGTTCACAGCCAGCCACGAGCGCGACGGTCAGCGGGTCCTTGCATGCACCGGTTTGGTTCGGTTCACAATAACAGAAACACAATCGCAGAGACCGCAAGAAGACACTCGTTGCCATCGCGCCCATGGTTACTTGTGTCCACCTTGCCCCCTCGACGTATATATTTTGTACTAGTAGTGTGAAGAATGGTGTTTCGGCATCGAGAATTCGGCAATCCCGCTGTGAACTCTACAGACACGAAAAAAGGTCAGCCCCCTGTGCGCGCTCTTTGAACGGAACAGACATGAGCACTGAGAAGATAAACGTGTAGAATTGTATGTCTGGCCACGACATGCTCCGACATGCTACACTGTACTAACCTGTGACCTGCCATGGCGTGAAAGAAGAAAGGAGAGAATCGTTCGAAGAGAGTTGCTGCCATGACTCGGATTTGGCTTGAGGCGCCAGGCTCCGCTTTTCGAGTCCGGACCACGAACCTCAGATGAGCGCGTTCCAGCGTCCAGCGGCCGGCGTTGATCTCGATCCACGGCCTCGTCATGTGATCATGACATGCCGTGCAGTGCTCGTGTGACACTTTCGACCCGATGGCAACGACCGACCTAGGTTGGGCTCCCCAACAGTAGTGGACCAAATGTTGCCTTGAACGCACTGCGTCTGGCAAAAGGTAAACAGCTGGTCCATACTCGAAGAATGGGAAGAGGATATATACGGGGTTCCTTACGTAGAAATAAATATTCTGTGTGGTTAGATGACGGTGTAAGTGAGATCTAGGATGGCAAAATAATTACAGTAGATCTCCCGTCTACTAGTATATTGACCGTAGCCACATTCTTTCATTCATTGCGCTCTGCAAGGTAGTATTTTTTTATCCTGTCACCGTGTTCCTGCATTGGTATAGATAAAGTAGACAAGAATGTTGAGCATGCATTGACATATTCTTTCCTACACACTACTGGCGCAGCTGATCTTACCATACCATGCAGGCAACAGCTACTAGTGATTTCTCATTCAAAACACACAAGACCAGGGGCCCATTCTCTGAAGGAGCACCACAACCCCGAACTATCCCCCTTTGGCTTTCCCGGGCACATAGCCGCATCACGCTGCTAGCAAGGTGAGGGACTCGTCTATGCAATTATGGAGGAAGCAGTCATATATACCTCGGGAGATATCTCAAGGCAACCCGATTTGCGAATCCTCCATTACAATGATGGTGTGTACCACACTTGTCTCGGGCAGGCATACCCCTAAAATTCCGTGATCTCACATGTTCTGTACACAGTCTACCATATTGATGCCTCTTCTGCCGAGCCGGTCGGAGGCTTTGCCCGCTTCCAGACTGTGTGCAACTACTACCGCAACGATGACCGATTTGCTGCCCAACCGAATGTCATCACAATCTTCTCTGGAGATGCCTTCAATCCTAGTCTGGAAAGCAGCGTGACCAAAGGAAGTCACATGGTCCCTGTGCTCAACATGATAGGGACGGACGTCGCTTGTGTGGGAAACCATGATCTCGACTTTGGCGTCAAACAGTTTCGCAGCCTCGCCTCACAGTGCAAATTTCCATGGCTCCTAGCCAATGTGCTTGATCCCGCGCTGGGCGATGACATTCCTCTAGGCAATGCGAAAAAGACGGCGATGCTGACCTCTTCGAATGGAGTCAAGGTCGGCGTCATCGGCCTGGTTGAGCGAGAGTGGCTGGATACCATCAATTCGTTGCCTCCAAATCTGATCTACAAGTCGGTTGTGGAAACCGCAAAGGAGCTCGTGCCAGGTCTGAGAGAGCAAGGTGCAGACATAATTGTTGCCGTGACCCACCAAAGAGAGCCCAACGACAACCAACTGGCCGAGAAGACGCCCGATGGGCTGATCGATTTGATCCTTGGTGGGCATGATCACTTCTACCAACACAATCTCATCAATAGCACACATGTCCTGCGCTCAGGGACCGACTTCAAGCAACTCAGCTACATCGAAGCTCGACGGCGGCAGGGCGACACCAAAAAGTGGGACTTTCAGATTGTCCGGCGAGATATCACGTCCGACGTTCCCCAGGACCCGAAGGCCTGGAGACTTACGGAAGAGCTGACGACTTCCTTGAAGCCGAAGCTGGAAAAGCCTCTGGGTTACACCGCGGCTCCATTGGACGCCAGGTTCACCACTGTCCGACTCAAAGAGTCTAACATTGGAAACTTTGTTTGTGATTTGATGCGCTCATATTATCAAGGCGACTGTTGCATCATAGCTGCCGGTACGATAAGAGGCGACCAGATCTACCCACCGGGAGTGCTCCGCTTGAAGGATATTTTGAATTGGCAAGTTTTCCCCGGGCTTTCGAATGGGGGTTTCCCGCTAATACTGGTCGTTCTAGCTTTCCCTTTGAGGATCCAACCATCGTCATCCGGGTAACCGGTGCTGCACTCCTGGCTGCGCTCGAGAACTCTGTTTCCACTTATCCCGCTCTCGAAGGGCGCTTTCCACAAGTGTCCAATATTGAATTCGAATTCGATCCGTCCTTGCCGCCTCACCATCGAGTCAAGTGGGCAAAGGTGGGTGGTGAGCCGATCGACTTGGGAAGGAAGTACAAGCTGGTGACCCGGGGTTACATGGGACGTGGGAAAGACGGCTTTGACTCATTACTCGTGCGATCAGAAGGGGGCGAGGCTGAAGAGATCGTATCCGAAGAAAATGGAATCTTGATAAGCATGATACTGCGACAGTATTTCATGTCGCTTCAGATCATCGGCAAGTGGAAATACTGGGGGAAAAGCATGGCCCGCCACTGGGAATGCGTTCAAGACGACGTACATTCGACACATCCTGTCGTGGAACCCAGCAGGGAGGCGATTAACGGTCGTAACGGTGGAGAGGGGTTCTCTACACCCATTGATGACTCTGAGAGCGAGAGTCATCGACGCGTTCGGGATCTCCAACGAGACAGGAGCGAGCGAGAATTGCAGATCATTCGAAAAGTCATTCGCAAGTGGTGGCGTCTGGCTGGGCTCAAGGGGCAGCCCAGATGCTGTGACAACATGACCGATGAAGAGTTCCAGGTCGACTGGACCAAGGCAATTGCGCCTCGAATTGAAGGACGGATCAAGATCACCAACAGCGCACAAACTCGGGCAAACAGCCGTGAGCGGACAGCCCAAGGTTAAGGCATGCAGGATCCTTCTTGCTGAGCGGCCAACAGTCGAGAGGGCGCTGAGCTGTAACCCTCGAGTCCCTGGCAGGGTTGGAAATCTTCCTATGCCACCACTATAACATCAAAAGCAACCCACTGCGTCCGCAAGGTATTGGCGCCTGGCTGACATCTCCCTCGCCGGGAGCGAGGTGTATCCCCTTGGGACACCATGCTCATTTCAGTGAGTAGGTGCAGCCAACACAGCACGCATTGGTTCAATCGTCATGCAACATACTGCAGAGGGACAGAATATCAGCTGGCTGGCCTGGAAAAGAAGAAAGGAGCATCTAGATGGCAGCGATAAAGGTGGCATAAAGCGGCGGCGTATGGTGTCCCTCCAATAAATGAACTCCGAGTTACGAGATGGAGAGAAATCGTGTCACAAATCATGTGACCGACCAGGTCCACCTTAAAATGTGAAATTGTCGAGTCTTCCAGAAGCCATAATAATATATAAAGCAACTTGAACGGCACAGATGTCAACGGTCATGCCCACAGCGAGGCGAGCGGCAGGTATGGGTCTGTCATTATTTGCTCCGGCAGAACCGATTACCCGTACTCCTAGACCCAGCTGGAGGATTTTCGGGATTTCAGCTGGCTCAGCTAGTTGTACATGCACTGCACGTTGTAAGCAAGAGGATACTACAATTATATACGAGGACAGAGGTGACAGTGCCATACGATCGTGCCAAAATCGGGCTCCGTTCTTCGGACTCCTACTAGCATGGCTGCCAGTGCAGTACCGGGTGGTGCGCCTTTGGATGTTGCCGGAACATGCACCCTCAGAAAGATCCAATCGTAGGGACGGAATTTCCAACCTCGGGCAGGTCACTTTCCGCCTTCAATAGTACTAGTGCCTAGGTAGTAATCATGCCATGTAGGTAATGTTTAAAAAGGGCTTGAAGTACTAGTAGCCGAGCAGACCGCTCCCGTCGGGCAGTAAATGATAACCTGCCGCACATGTTGTGATTTCACAAAGAAAGCAGCGAGCGGTTACCATGCAGAAAGTAGAAATAAATCGCGAGGTCCCGTTCGTTGTTGTGGTATGTTCATTATTAGAGGCGGAGACCGAATTGGAGGAGAAGAGATTGGTCGGTCGAGAACACCCACTTTTGACCTTGAAGAGAGAACCCGGCGAGAGCGAGCGAGATGCGAGATGCCGCAGCCTGCCAGAGAGTGCGGGACTCGGACTCAAGATGGGGCTGAAAGCACGCACCAACCAGGTACCTGTTTGGTAAGTGAGGTACCCGGCCTGGGAGTGGTGCCAGGTGGTAGCTAGGGCTCCTTAGGCCTGGCGAGTAAGGTCGGTTCGGTAGGGTCTGCGGCTGACCCCATACCATGACTATAATTCTTCTCGCACCCTCACCTGGGCTGGCATCACTTACTGCGCTCATTATTCACGTTTCATCCCTTCCTTGTCCTCAACATCCCTCCGTCACACTTAACAGCTTGCATTGCCGTATCTTCACGCCTGTCTTGTCCGGAGCAATTGGTCTGTAGTCCGTCGAAACCATGGAGGCTCTTCTCCACCACTCCAAGGGCGTCTGTCCCTTCTTGAAGAAAACCTCGCCAGCGACTCTGCGTTCGCTTTCCACCTCCACCCACCAGTCTCCCGGTGGCGGTACCATCACCAACCTGCAGTTCATTGCGCGACGATGCCCGGTCATGAACAAGGCTCTGGCCGTCCAGAGCGCCCGCTTGACCTCTCGCCGAAGCTATGGCAAGGCTGCGGCTGGCACTGGCGTTGTCAAGTCCTTGCTCGAGAAGAAGTTGCACACTTCCGCCGAGAAGAAAGCCAATGTCGCTTCCAATGTGGTCCGGCCTGCTCAGCAAGGTATGTCGACTAAATCTGTATCTTCGTCCTTCTCCTGCTAACATTGTCCAAGCTCCTCTTCCTCAAAAGGTGCAGCCTGCAGTCAAGAAACCCGACACCTACGCTGGTCCAAAGCCAGCAGCGCCACCAACTTCTCGCTTCGACTACGAAGGTTTCTACAACCACGAGCTCGAGAAGAAGCACAAGGACAAATCGTACCGCTACTTTAACAACATCAACCGACTTGCCAAGGAATTTCCTCGCGCTCATATGTCGACAATGGAAGAGAAAGTCACCGTCTGGTGTTCCAACGATTACCTTGGCATGGGCCGCAACAAACATGTCCTGAACACCATGCATGAAACGCTCGACATGTATGGAGCTGGTGCCGGTGGTACCAGGAATATCTCTGGCCATAACAAGCATGCTGTCGCCCTCGAGCAGACCCTGGCCGACTTGCATGGCAAGGAGGGGGCACTTGTTTTTTCTTCCTGCTACGTAGCCAACGATGCGACGCTGGCAACCTTGGGCAGCAAGTTGCCAGACTGCGTGATCTTGAGTGACAGCATGAACCACGCTTCCATGATTCAGGGCATTCGTCACTCGGGTGCCAAGAAGATGGTCTTCAAGCACAACGACCTTGCTGATCTGGAGGCCAAGCTCGCCAGTCTGGCACCTGAGCAACCAAAGATCATTGCCTTTGAGTCTGTCTACAGCATGTGTGGCTCCGTTGCGCCCATCGAAGCCATCTGTGACCTTGCCGACAAATACGGCGCCATCACTTTCCTCGATGAAGTGCACGCTGTGGGCATGTACGGCCCAAGGGGAGCCGGTGTGGCAGAGCATCTGGATTATGATGTCTATGCCAACCCAAACAGAACCAAAGAAATGCAGAAGGGCACCGTGATGGACAGGATCGACATCATTACCGGTACCCTAGGCAAGGCCTATGGCTGCGTGGGCGGTTATATTGCCGGTTCAGCTGCTCTTGTCGATGCCATACGGTCTTTGGCACCGGGATTCATCTTCACTACCAGTCTGCCGCCTGCGACCATGGCTGGTGCCCGTGCCGCCATCGAATACCAGGCTCGCTACCAAGGTGATCGACGACTCCAACAGCTGCACACGCGTGAGTTGAAAGACGATCTCACTCAGCGTGGCATTCCTGTCATCCCAAATCCGTCGCACATTGTCCCTGTCCTGGTTGGAGACGCCGAAACTGCCAAGAAAGCCTCGGATATGCTGCTGAGCGATTACGACATTTATGTGCAATCAATCAATTACCCGACCGTCCCTCGTGGTGAGGAACGACTCCGCATCACGCCCACTCCTGGACATACGGCCGAGCTGAGGGCTCAGCTTGTGGATGCTCTGGAGAATGTTTGGCAGCGCCTGAACATCAAGCGAGTGGCTGATTGGGAGGCTCAGGGAGGTTTCGTTGGGGTTGGTGTCAAGGACGCCAAACCCGTCGAACCTCTTTGGACCGACGCGCAGCTGGTAGATGCTCAGGCTGTTTCTGAGCCCGCAGTTGACGAAGCTCAGGCAGAGCGCGTTATGCCTATTGCAGCTGCCGCGGCTTGAGCTTTCCTCGATTTGGAGTTCTTTACTGAAGTCGATCTGAAGAAGTGCTCGCCGTAAGCGGTTGGGTCAGAAGAGGTGGTAGACATGATTGTCTACGAACCAGAAAACGTGATCTAAAAACCAACATCCTTTGTCATCTATTGGCAAATGTCCGGCTCTTCAGCCATGATATAAGCATATAGTTCCGGCCAGGAGCCTGGCCGATGAGAATCTGAAGTGGGCATTATATAAATGGCCATTTACACTTCCAACCTTTCTTGACTGCCATCGCTTTTCCTCGTTTTCTTAAACGGAAATCATGCATCATAGACTCTAGGGGCCCAGATACCAGATTGCGCCGTACAACATGGTTTGATTAGCTACCTATGCCGTCCCCTGCGAGTATCCTTGGTGCTGTCGCAGCGTCCCCTATCTTCTACCCGGTCTACCAGCACTAATCTTGGGAAACTCGACCGGAAACCTGAGCTTGGCGAACTTTGGTTTGGGCAAGGTGGTTTCTTTGCCGTCTTCGTCCACAATCTTCCTGGCCTTGCCGGTCTTCTCCCAACCCCAGCGGGCCAACTCGGCATCGCTCAAGCTCTCGATCTTACAGCCCACTTCGCGGTACAGCTTGGTGACCTCAGCGGGCTGCAAGGCTAAGTCGAGCGAGATATCCGAGGGCTCCGTGATCAGCGCGGGCATGCTTGTTCCTGGCTGCCATTTCGGCGGCGGGATGTGCAGGGTCAAGGCGAGGATGGTGGTCGTTAGCAAGGTTTTGGCATGCTGCGTCGGAATGGCCGTAGGGAAGAAGTGGGCGACCAGCTTGGACAGGAAGGCGCTGGACAGACTGCCCGTGGTGTCCGAGGTGGTGCGTTCGGGCCACTTCTCGGGCTGCGGAATGGGTCTGCGCCCGGGCAAGCGGGTGACATACGTGTATATCTCCAACAAAAGCTGGATATAGCGCAGCAGCTGGACTTTGAGCAGCGCGGTGGGGTCGTCCGGGTTCTCGAGGTGCAGTCTCGTCAGGCGCTCGACGCGGTGTGCCACAAACCGGTACCGCGACACAACGTCCTTCTTGGCCTCGATCCGCGACCGCCAGTAGCCCAGAGGCATTTGGGAAAGTGTCGTGCGTGCCGGCCCCGGGAATACTAGCACTGACAAGTCGTAGACTTTTTCGATATCCGTGGTGTCCAGGTTGGCCGGGGGTAGCGGCTTGTTGACTCTTGATGAGGATGCGGCCGCAGCAGAGTCGAGGTGCTCGTCGTCTTCGTCCTTGATCGTCGACAAAATCGCGTTTGAGACTGGGTTGTCCCCTGCGTTCTCCCCCCCGCGAGCGAGCAGCCGGTTCTCGGCCACCGAGGCCACTGCCTTCTTGGACTTCTTGGTCCCAAACGCTTCGGTCAGCGCGGCACGAGATGATGGCGCTGCCGCGGGAGTGGGCTTTGATTCTTCTTCGTTTTCCGTCGATGATGCTTGCTCCTCAATTTGTCGCACGCTGCTCCGTACCGTCATCTTCTTGGCTTCCATCACCTTGAGCTCCTGTGTGGCCGGGTCAAACACCGCAATGTAGTGCCTCATGTGTTTCTCCCGCGCCTCTGTAGATCTGCTCTCCGTCGCCACATAGTCGATCGTCGGGTGCTCCGAGGACTGTAGAAGGAGAAGAGGCGAGTTGTCATGTTTGCCTTTCCCATTGCCTGCTGCTGGTTGCGTGGATTTCTTGCTGAAGGCATTGAATTGGATTTCCGGAGGAAGCCTCACTCCAGGCGAGAATGCTGTATATTACCAATGGTCAGTCCACATCGACGGACGCCTGCATATATGTATGGAGAACAATAAAGGGAAGAAAGAGTGTATGGAAAACCGCAGTAGGCTTACCAACAACAGGTTTTGCGATGTCAGGACTTGTGAGATGAGTGACCTTGACTTTGCCGGTCTGGGGCTTTTTCGCTGGTCGTTCGGCGCCCTGACCGTCTGCTTTTCTCTTCTTTTCGCCCATTGTGCCTGAAGTGTCTCTGTTATGTTCGCAGAGGAAACCAGAGGCTTTTGTTACACTGTCTGTCTGCGGAGGACGAGTGCGACACAGTAGTGGAAATCTCCCGCCGGAAAAATAATTTTTGGTCGGCTTAATTGGCTCCGTTATGCCGGGCGCGGCAACCACACCAAAAGAACGTCACGCGCCGCACTGACTACCTGGTACGCTGGACATCGACCACTCGAGTTCATGCTAATGTGAATACTCGGACTACTGTTTAAGATGAGCGACCGTGTCTCCACGACCGAAACTCGCAGACTACATTCGCTGGCATACAAAAGCTCCAACCAGTCACTTAGCGAAAGCAGATACAAAACACTGGGATAGACAGAAGTAGACAGAGCTCATTGATCGATTGACTTCTGCTCCGGATGAAGAACGGAACACGATATTAATCCGTGACCAGATCCAGAGTAGCTGCAATAGCTCTGTGTTTTCCTTGGTTTGAGACGATCTAGAGTCTCAGACATAGATACAGTTGTCCGGATAGATCCTGCGCACCAGATCCTCCTTTGTATGTCCGAGACATCATAAGCAATCCGTCAGAAAGCTCCATGAAGAGTTGACTATCCTCCGCTCCTCTTACTCGATGATCCGCCGCACTGACGGAAAACAATCGATTATTGTAAGGCCGATACTTCGTTTGACCACAATTCCCTCCATGGCGAGTGGTGGCTCGCCTCCGAAATAGGCTGTGGTCGAATGATTGTGGTGGTTTGGTCGCAACTCGATGAACGAATGACCCCGAGGACTTAAACCTCACGCTGACGTATCATTGACATTGGTCGAGAGGGAAGACATGATGGAGCAGTTGACGCGATTACTTGCTGTGGCAGAAGTTAGCTCCGTCGTCTCGGATGGTTTGCAGCCATAGACTACACTGCAGCCAACACATACCTGCGGGCTCTCGTCTTTCTTCTCTTACGCTTGAGGCGACGAACTCTCTTCTTTCTCCACTTGGCTCTCATCTTGAATCAATTCCGACTGTGTCTGAAGTCAGCAAGTTGTCATAACAGAGTGCAGAGTCTCCTGAGCACGGTTGGGGGCCAACATACAGAGCTGTTTCGAGGATGAGTTTGCGGTGATGAGACAGAAGCGCGAGGAACGGAAAGCTGCTGCGGGGATTTTGAAGAGGGAATCCAATGCCAAGACTGCCGCTGCGTGTGTGATGTCTGGCTTGGCATGTATGTTCGGATGACGTTGAAGTTCAATTTCAAGGCATGGGTCACGTGGGAATGGCAGCTCGAGACGTCCCGTCATTCACATACAGTCGATGGCAGCTTTCACCAGCTTTGTTCGCATCTGCCACATTAACGAGTGTTCATCAAGGTGAGGTTCGACCGAGTCGTCTCCAGAGGAGTAGTGTTGATGCGCCATTGTTTGTCTGTCAGCTAACTAGTTATTTTCGTCTACTCTTGTCTTCCATGCATGCGTGGTGCACTTTTCCTTCTTCCTTTGTACTTTGATGGTATTATCTGAAGTGTCAATTGACCATGACGAACTTGCCCTGCTCCGGGGTTCGGCGGCTAAACAGCACCTCAACAGCGTCTCCTAAGCCGCCCCTCGCCGGGACTTTAGTCCTTAAGAATCGCAGTGGAGAAGTCCTTGGTCGTGGGTTATAGTCCGATCGAGCTACCGTGGTTTATTTCGAGTGTACTAGCATGTGTAGGGAAGAGTGTCTTTGCCAACCAAGAAATTATGATCGGCCGTGACAAGAGCAGATGGTGAGGAGGCAAGCCACGTGGAGGCCGTTGCTGATCAAACAGTCAATATGTCCTGAATGACCCCTACATCTCAAAGAGACACGTGAGGATCTACACCGTCGTGTATGAGAATGACGAGCCCAACGAGGTCGAAAATCTTGTATACGCGGAAGACCTCTCACAAAATGGTGCTTTCTTAAATGGAGACCTCATCGGGAAAGGCAACGGGGGGTATCTACTCAGCGATGGGGACGTCCTTCGATTGAGTCGCCAGGTCAACTTCACATTCAATGTCGCTAACAAGAAAGAGTCGAGGGTGACATTTGACCTGACCCAGGAGACAGAGATGGCCGTACGACGCTCCTTGCCTTCTAATGCTATCAACTGACAGCTATAGTCTTTTCGTCAGGAATATGTTGTTACGGACAGATTACTTGGCGCCGGAGCCTTTGGAAGAGTGTTTATGGCCATCGAACAAGCCTCCCGAGCACAAGTTGCGTGCAAACTGGTCGATCTCCGAAAGCTCAGACCAAAACCACGGAATGTTTTTGGTCGTCTCGAACACCCTGCTCCTGCAGAAGATGTCGACAGCATGGCTCAGCTCCGCAAAATCAAAACGTGGGGCAATCAGAAGAAGAGGGATCAAGGAGTCTTTACCAAGCTGAAAATGTATTTTCGTGAGATCAATATCCTTGCATCCCTTCGCCATGTGAGTCCTACCAAACCAAAACTGGTGCTAGCTGACAGCCTCGATTAGCCCAACATAATTCGACTTGAGAAGGTGTATATCACCTACGATACCATGTGAGCAGACATGCTCCTTCCGATGCCCTATCACTGATAAGCGCAGCTACATGATGCAAGATATTGTTACCGCCGGTGATCTCTTCTCCTACATAGAGTCTAAGAATGGGAAGCTCCTCGAGGCTGAGGCGGCCGTGATACTACGACAAATCCTGGTCGCTGTGCGGTTTCTGCATCACCACAACATCGTCCATCGGGATATCAAGCCTGACAATATCCTCATGACCAGTCTAGCCGCTGGATGCCGAGTGGTATTGACCGATTTCGGCGCAGCTCGAAGAGTCCCAGCCCAGCGACATCGTATGTCGACAGTGATTGGCACACGCGAATATGCCGCACCGTAGGTTGCTTTTGTTTCCAGACTATGAAAAAATTAGCTTAACAACATTATAGGGAAATGCTGCAGGTACGTCGTGAGCAGAAACAGTCTTCGAGTAGGCAAGGCTACACTCGCGCCGTGGATATGTGGGCAGTGGGCTGCGTTGCAGTAATTCTCCTTACCGGTGGAATGGCATTCACCGATCCTATCACATGCAACTTCTCAGAGGCGTTGGCTCGAAATTGCAATCTCGACTTCCTGCACAAGTCAAAGGATTGGCAAGCTATCAGACAACGGCCAAAAGATTTCGTCGAGCAGTTGCTGGTAGTTGACGAAGAGTCAAGACTGACAGCTGTTGATGCTCTGCAACATCCCTGGTTCAGCAATGAAGCTCACAAGAACGATTTCGAGGACCTGTATCAGCGAGCAATCAAGCATTGGCGCCCGAGGCCACCAAAAAGCCCGGTGATCGACTATCAAAACGGATATATCAGATGTCTGGCAGAGTCATGGGGATTTGAGGTTAGCAAGTTTCGCGGAGGAGAGCAGAAGCCGGTCGAGCCGCATTATATGCCCTATCCCACAAACGTCCATCAAGCGCTTTCGCCCATGGAGAGCCCGGAGAACAGGCTGTCGTTAGAAGTACTGCTGGCCGTGAAGAAGTGGTCCCCAGAATCCGCCTGCAAACTATCGTCCTCGTCGAATCTAACAAAGGAGCAACGCCAATTTTTCGTCGCAGAGGACGAAGATGAGGCTGAAGGAACCAGGGACTCCAGATCTCAAAGGCTTCCACAAAAGGATACACCTCCGTCTGTGGTCGTGCTGACCGAGAAAAATGCTTCGCTTAGTTCGGGCCGTAAGACGCAGGTTGGCCCTGAAGAGGAAAGCGAGGAAGCCACGATTGCGGGAAATATCGCAATGCACGAGTCCTCAAACGAAGGGCTCGCAACAATTGCTGCCGAGAGGTCTCGACCGTCAGTCACTCCTGAAATGGTCCAGACTTCGACGAGTATGACCAAGCCTCCTCCGTCCGGACAGGAACGTGTACTTTCAGGCACCGGGCCCTCAAGCAGTACACCGGGACTCAAGAGAAGAATATCGACGAAATCGATCAATCAGCGACCAAGAAAACACCGAGGCTCGATTTTCGATCTTAAAGAGGATGGTGATAGCGACAGCGGCAACGGAAAGTCAGCTAAACACACAGGACCAAAGTACTTGGAGCTCCTAGGCAAGCCCCAGGGGACAGCCAAGGGCCCCATCACAGTACTTCGACAGCCTCAATTGTATCTTCCCAGGTGAACATGCTTCGGTCTGATCAACTTTTAAGAGTTGAACGAAAAAAAAGAAACCGAGGCTGGAAGAGGGGATCCCAACAACTTCGTTGTCTGAGGCTGAAAACGGGACGGTAACTGAACATGGGGCCTTTGTGGATGGGATCCATCATTAACGTCGTGGATCTTGCAGCCGCTGAAGGCTGACTTCGTGCTGGCTTGACTTCTAAACTGGCTAGATAGGAGGTGGTGGCTACGACGATTGAGCTGGTTCCTCAGACGGATAACACCCAGGAGGCATACGTGATACGCTCTACTTTGCTATACAATCATCAAGACACTAGAAGGCACAATCAGACAGGTAAAAATAATACACCTGTAAATGATGTTCAACCCATCTAAGAGACGTCTTGGACTACTCCTCGGGTTCAGTCGGCTAAATCGATCTGACCCGTCCCAACTCCTCGTCGTTTTTCTTGATGAATGGGCAAACAATATCCTGACCTGATCACAATCCAGAGCAGTACCAGGACTTTGAACGAGCTAAATAGATAAACATATAGTATACATGTATAGCGACCACGAAATTCCTGTCACTGTCAGTTTTACCTTGAATCTTCTAACCGAAGAAAATATGCTGTAGAACGAGGTGAGCAAATTTTTCGATCGTCTTTTTGTTCGAGCCTCCTTTACGCCCTTGGACTTTCCGTTCATGCCATTTTACGAGCATCATCTGCAGCAGCAGCTCGCTTCTCCTCGTCGTAATCGCCATGCTGACTTCCATCCAAACTTGTACCTCGGCCTTCGAAGACACCCACATCATCACTACTCCCCATTATTGAGCCATCCTTATGCTCGCCAACAGGACCACCAGCAGCAGTAGCAGCACCGGCCTTAGCCGTCATCTTCATAGAAGAGTCAGCAGCAGCAGCAGCAGCAGCGGCAGGCACACCCTCTAATCTTTCCGTCTTGGGCCCCGTGAAATTCTTCCTCCCGTCCAACACCCAGGTCGCCAGACTGATTGCACCGATGACGCCAAAGGCAGCACTACAATAATTCATATTATCCGGCGACACGGGCCCTTCCTGGGGAAAATTAAAGTCGACGCCGGCAAACAACAGAAACACCAAGCCCACAGCATTGGCGATCGGACTCAGCGTACGGCCCAGGGTATACCTGCCCGGAATGACTTTTGCATGCTCGTAGCCTGCGACCAGACTCCACAACCTGACCAACAGCGGCATGGCGTACGAGACATAGAATCCAAATGTGGCGATGGAAATGACGGTGGAGAACCCTTCGTAGCTGGCAAAATAGATGCTGTTCAAGCCCATCTGGATCACCAAACACAGCAGGATCGCGTACACGGGCACCTGAGACCGTTTGTTGACCTTGGCGAACGTCCGTGAGAAGGGTAGGCCGTGGTCCCGTGCAAATGCCCATAGTGCTCGACTGCCCTCGGCGATCAGGCTGTTGGAGCAGATGAGTACAATGATGGTAATCATGCATGACAGTGTCGTGGCCCCGCGAACGCTGCCCGTGCTGTCGTAAAAGATTTGAATCAATGGAACTCCTGTGGCTGTGGACGCTGTCGCTTCCAGATCGCCGATGCAGAAGAATGCTGAGATTAGGAATATGAACCCGGTCACGGCTCCGAGGTAGACGGACGCAATGATCGCTCGCGGCGCGTCTCGCGTTGGGAGGACCATCTCTTCTATCAAATGACTCGGCGCATCATAACAACACATGCCTGAGGGTTTGTAGACTGTTAGATAGGAATCTGGAAGGTCGAAAGAGATGGTGGGATGGAAGATGTGGTAGAGGACGAGGAAAGGGGGTTTGATTGAGGCGGGTGGAAGTGGAGAAAAGAACTGTGAAGACCGTGCGGAGATAGGGAGAGCAGTGAAGTGGTGCAGGGCAGGCAAATGAGTGAATATAGATGAGGCTGCTCTAACATGATCGTGACAACCACGCAGCCCACGGTGCTGTTGTTGGTGGCCTCGGTGTGTGGTGGTAGATGTGAAGCGAGTGAACCTACCAAATAACGTCTGCAACAACCCAATCATGACGCCCATCCCGGCAGACTCAAACCCAGTATTGTTCTGAAAGTCTGAGAAGACAAAGCTGGCAGGTTGCTTGTGGTCATTGGCGGCGAGGATAGTAATGATGACGACGAAAAAGCTCAAGATGTTCCAACACACGGCGAACGTGGAGATCTGGTTGAGGTAGCGAGAAAACAAAATGTTGACCAATGCGGCGCATATGGCAACCAAGTAGGTGACCAACACACAGTGCCAGCGCTCGATGGTGTAGTTTGGGTTATTGAGGTTGGCCATGCCGAGGATGAAGTTGGAGCAAATCTGGGCGGAGTGAATCAGCTTGTGATAACCAGTTCGAGTGTGCTATGGCTTGTGAAGATGAACAGGATGTCCACATGGTCGTGGTAAATGGGGAACAGGAGGTGGCTTACAAAGTTATTGACTGCCCCCATGGCCACAATGCCCGTACACATGAACCAGCCAGTAACCCAAGCCGCGCCACGAGCATATTTCGGCGGCGCGAGGATGGCTACCCAAGAGTATTGCCCTCCCGCGGTCGGATAGGCCGAACACATTTCAGCGAACGAGTAGGCCACGCAAAGCGACAGAAGACAGATGCCGACCCAGGACCACACCATGACGGGAGGTCCGCCGGCGTCAATGCCTACGATCAACGTGCCGCCCAGGGCGGTCCAGCACGTCACGATGGAGAAGCTGAAGCCAATCATGCCCAGCAGCCCGAAAGAGCGCTTGAGTTCTGTGTAGAAAAAAGGAATATGAATTAGCTCGGAAGAGGCAGAGGGGACCATTCCAGAGACATGACTCCTGTAGCGTAGACTGCGACAGTCTGCGACAGTCTGCCCTCAAAGTGATGCGTGATGGTGGCACGGAACTTGAACATACCCTGCTCATAGCCCATTTTGGCCAATTGCGCCTCGTTCGCCGAAGACGAGTCATTGAAGTCTTGATTACCGCCCCCACCGCCAGAGACGAGCGAGGAGAGTCGGCGAGTAGCCATATCTGCGAACCGGTTGCAGATGATGCAACTTGGACGATTGGGAATAAACCAAGAACAAACACCGACGAGAACGGGAGAGAAAGAGGGAAGGGAGACAAGGAGATCAAAGGAAACTAGTAGACGCAAAGACGGAGAAAGTTCACGGCCATTTCCAGCAGATAAAAAGAACGCAACCAAGGCAGGGGCCAGGACTTAAAGATATGTAAATTCAACAGATAGACAGTCATCATCACCAGCATCACCGCCGACCCCTACCTTCTGGGCCCGGGGATATGGGACGGTGGCGTAACGAACATGACGAATACTTGCTGATGCTTTGGCCTGCACACTGCCCACCTAAAACCGGTACCTGGTTTTTAGCTGTACATGTACTGTATGGGCCAACACATCGGTACATTGGTGCTATCTGAGCAAAGGCGGCTGGCTGGCTGACTTCAGCTGGAGAAGCCCGCTGCTATCGAATCGACTCCTTATCAGTTCCAGTACTCTGGTCGATCGGTAAATGGCTCAACTGAAGGTGTTGTCCGTCAATCAGGACGCTGGAGGTGCTACTTATAATAATAGTAGTCAAATTGATCATGCCGTGGAGATAAGCACTGCGGCAGACTTGACAATAATAATGCTGTGATAAGGGGCCAACTGTTGGGTCGGCCTGACCAATCCCCGCGTCGGATTTGGTGGCCATAGTAAGGAGACTGCTTACTAAAAGTTCTGTCTCTGCCCTTCGCCAATAGGTTTGGAGTACCAACATGCAGAGAAACACTCCCAACTGTGGTACCACAATCCTGTCGGGTTCTCTCGGCCTATAATTAGTTACAGCGTACGACTTCTGTTTCCTTCGTCTGGCGACACTCAGCTGGTGACGCTCTCGAAAATCTGTTGACCCAGGGGCTTCGGTACGTGTCTGTCGAGGTGTAAATTAATTGTAAGTTTCTGGGTACGTACTGTGTACACCTGACTGGCATCAATATATATTTGTGTTTATTCCCCCTTCATAGCCTGTTCGAGAAGCATGCCGGCCCCGGCTCTGGACAGGATGACGACTGCAGTGTCCTGTCCTTAGCCGTCTACTTATAGACCATGGATGCAATCCTGCAACTAATAACTTGGATCTCATCGCCACTGCGACAATCGCCACTCTTCCGCACGGACGGTATCACTGACAGACGAAGGAGCTCGAGATTGGAGAGGCTGCCAGTCGAAGTACTGCTGCACATCATCTTCTTCTTACCGGCGAGTTCAATCGCTTGTCTGAGCTTGACTTCGAGATGGCACCATGAAGCTCTCAAGAACCGGGCTGATCCCAAGATGCGACACGATCATTTAGAAAAAGCACGCTTTATTCGACTGATAGAGGACGACTTGCCGGACATGATGGCATGCTGTATCTGCAATATTCTGTACCATTGGCAGAAATGGCGGCGATACATGTGTCCCAACTGGACCAAACACGCACCATTGCGCCGTGGCGCTCTGTGGTGCTTCCCACATGGACCTTGCCTCATCTATCGAAATATGGTGGAAGTCTTCCTCTGAGGATTTGCGAAAGGTCCTCAACACAGCCCCAGCTACAGTTACTAATCACCGAACCAAGTCCGCGGATGATTATGCGGGCCTATCCTTTAGTTATGTTGTTGACAAAATCCTTGAAGCTCGCGTGGTCGAGAAGAGACTTATGCCTCACGGCGTCTACAATATGGCAGAAACCTGCTCGCTGGCTCAACAACCTGGTGGTACGCCGGCTCAAGAAGTCGATCAGAGCACTCACCGCCCCGGTCATATTGCCGTCCCGAAGAGACTTCTGCTTGCGATTCATCGCTTCAGGACCATTGGCTGTGCACATACTCGGGATACGCTCCCTGCGACTATTTTGGACGCGGTTCAGCTTCAGCTGGGCTGCTGCTCCGGCCATCATCCCACAAAAAGTCGGGATCTGTTGAACTGCGGCCACTGTGCCACTGACCTACGTGTCCGGGTGGGACTAGATGGCAACAGTACGTGTGTACAAATCGAAGTCGAGCTGTGGCAGTCTTTCGGAGGTCGAGACTCTGGCGATAGAGACGAGACTGAAGTACCAACATTTCAGCTACCAAAGCACGGGGGCTGAGCCCTTCGATATCAAGCGCCCTCCTGGACGCGACCTGGAAGAAACGTTCACACGAGGACTTGAAGGTAACACCGACTTCTTTCCGTCTCCAGACCAGCACCCCAGGCGTCAAACTTGGATTCAGTGGTGGAGATGGCACTATGACACGAGACCAGGTGAATTGAGGATGTACTGTATTCCAGGTCATGGTGCAGTATGACGAGCCGAACTCGAGAGCAGATACAGTATTCATACTGTGCGTCGCAGTGAAGAGGGCCAACGAGCAGAGCATTCGATTGGAGCCTTGGTAAATTGCAGTGTCGCAGTATCTAAGATCTCATGGCAAGGGCGGGCCAGCATAAGTACCTGGACTAACCACAGCGCCTTCAACACCACTTCCGACCCCTGAAACGCTGTCTTTCTGTCTCTGACATTTCCTTTGTGAGTCCGGCTGCTGCCAAAGCTTACTCGTAGTGATATGAGGCCGCGTAGGAAAGGGCGAATTCGTGAAGGCCAACCTTTGGCTTGTACCACGGGCGACGGCGTGATAATACTACAGTAAATCAGATAGCTCGATGCTCAAGCAATGAGGCATGGCAGTCACCGGGATTGAGTTCGTCTTGGTTTCACTCGAAGAGCTACTCGTCACCAACACTGCGTAGAAGTGCGAACTCTGCGCTGGTGTCCCACCCACCCGTCCTTGCCCTGTAAGCTAGTCAGTCAACGGTCTAAACGTGCCGTGCAAAGTGACGGCAAGCGACTGCTCTGTGCTCAAGCGGAGCCCAACCTGCGGGATAGTAGTTTGCGAGTGCATGGCTAGGCGGTGGACCCAGCCAGGCAAGAACCCTGACTGGGTCCTTGACCGCCACAGATACTCTGTCCATGGGAAAAGGAAATCAAACGAGGTGCCAAAGTGTGAATCAAGTAGGACTTGGGCAGAGAGGGTTTGGAGCGCAGGCGGCCGGCGGATTTGACGAGATTCAAAATCCAAGTTAAACGGGAGGATCCTGCAGCTTCTCTAAGGTAGCGACAATGGGTACTAGCCCACTCTTTCCACGTCAGTCTTGGGGAAGGAACACTGGCATGGCTCAGGCTGCCAGTGATGTGCATTCGAAAGAGAAAAAATGATACAGGTGCGCCTTGGTCGTTTCTCGCTCAACCCTTCCAGTTCCTGTTCATACATCAACAACATAAAACTCCCGTGCTCGTCCACGGCACTTTGCAATCTCTGGTTCCCCTTCCTCAATGTCTTGTCTAAAGCACACCATGATTCTTCCTGACCGGTACTAGTCCGGAATCGAATGCATCCATTAGAAATCATTATGGCTCCTTTTTTCTCTTCACATTCCACCCATACCCAAATCGCCCTCGGCGTCAACAATTGCCAGTCGCTGTTTGGCCGTTTTAGCCTTCTTGCTAATGCCTTTGCCTCCGCGAGGCCCTCGTTTTGGCCCCGGGGTCTCGACAGTGCTGACGGGTGTGGCGGCCCCGGATGGTTTGGCAGAAGCGTCTTCAAAATGTCCCTCGCCTATGAAAAGAAACATGTCAGTGACCCATATGCAGGAAATGAGGACAGTTAGTTAGTGCTTACCTTCGTGGTACATGTCGTCCAAGCTCATCTCTCCCTTCTTCTTTCGTGCGGCGGCGGCGAGAGCTTTCTTGCTCTTCTTCTTCGTCTCCTCTTCAGGCTTATCCGCAATCTCCTTTTCCTTTTGTTCGATGAGAGCCGCTTGGTCATCGTCAGCGAGCCACATGGCGATATCTTTGGTTCTGTTCTCCCGCCGGTCGCGAGTGTTGAAGTCAACCCCGGCACCGTCTCCGCCAGTGATGACAACCCGCTGTACCTCTTCTTTCTGCATCGCCCGCTTGCGGATCCGCTCTTCAATAGTACCCCGCGTAATGAGACGGTAGACCGTGACTTGCTTGGTCTGGCCCAGTCTGTGTGCTCGATCCATGGCTTGCGAGTCGATAGTAGGATTCCAGTCGGAATCGTAGAAGATAACCGTATCCGCCGAAGTCAGGTTGATACCCAAACCACCTGCACGGGTGGAGAGCAAAAAGATGAAGATTTCGGGCCGAGTCTGGAAGTCGTGGACAGTGTCTCGACGATCTTCCAACTTCGTGCTTCCATCCAACCGACAGTATTTGTAGTTTCGGTACGTGAGGTACTCCTCCATCAAGTCGATCATTCGGGTCATTTGGAAGTACAACAACACACGATGACCTCCATTCTTCAGTTCCCGAAGAAGTTGATCCAACTTGGCCAGCTTGCCCGAGTCGGTCACGAATCGCCGCATCGATGGGATCGAAATATGCGTATACCGTGCCTTCTGGTTTTCTGGTTTGGGCAACATGTCGGATAGTGGGAAATTCTCGGGGTCCACATCTTGTTGCAAAAGTTTGACTTCCATGGACTCTTCGAGCGGGAACAAGCAAGATCGGACATCCATGTTAAACATGGTCAACTGCCGTTCGGTCAGAGAGGACTGGTCGAAGCAGCTGACTTCGATCGGCGGTGCAGATGCCTTGGGTCTAGCAGCTGGCTCCAGAATGGAGTAGCCTTGGGATGACAGGCCCTCCTTGGAAATGTTACACAACTTAGCCAGGTTGGAGTTCGGGTCCAGTTCGGCCAACGCCTTCCGAGGACTATTATCGACGATGTTGAACATGGCATGCGCAGGGGCTTCTGGCTCTGAATCATCCTCAATGGGTAAAATGCGTCGATGCTGCTTTCTCAGCTTAATAGCACGTTCGAACAACCCGGAACTCCCAATGGAAGATGCTTCTTGGACCGAAGTGTCGACGAAGCGCAAGAATGAGAAGGCGCCATGATTTTCCGCTGATGATTTGATGTGTTCTTGAGTCCAGATCCTCATCAGGCCACTTAGCTTGTCCTTCTTGAACCCGGCCCGCCGAAAGCCAGCTTTGGGGTTGTTTGGGCCCGCAATGTCGAGCCTGCCAACATCGTTGCACAGCACACGAGGCAAATCATATTGTATAGGGTTTCGCACCGAATACCCAACTTGGACAAAATACCCTTCTCGGAGGAAAGAAGCTGTCTCGGCAAAGGTGGACATGGAAAAGGGCGAGGTCGTGTCTGCTCTCTCGAAGAGATCGGGATGGTTGCACACTTTGCGGAACTGCATCACCAAGTTCATCAAAGTCGCAGTATCCTGGTCATCGCCCAGGGTGGCCTTCTCAATGAGGTCCATGATGCTAATCTTGCTTCGGAGATTGGCATAGTAAGCTCGCTGTCGATAGGTGAGGTCGCAGAAGACGTCTTTCTCGACTTTATCACCCAGTTCTTTTTGCACATGGGCCTTGACACGTCGCAACATGAATGGTTTCAAAATCATGTGCAGCCGCTTCAGCTGATCCTGGTTGAGCTTGGTATTGCTCTGTGCGTGACTTTCAATGTCCTTGGAAAACCAGTCGCTGAACTCATCATGCGAGTCGAAAAGTGTCGGCATGATGAAGTGCAGCAACGCCCACAACTCTTGCATGTTGTTTTGAATGGGAGTACCAGTCAGCAAGAGACGATTTCGGCACTGGAAAGCAAGCAAGGTCTTCCAACGTGAACTGCTCGACGACTTGATAGCCTGAGCCTCGTCAAGGATCATGTACTGCCATCTAATTTTCTGGAAGTATTGCGCGTCCTGCACGACAAGTTGATATGACGTGACAAGTACATGGAACTCCGAATCCTTGTTGTAGGTGATATGTTTGCGATCCCAAAACTTGCGCAATATCTTCCGATCTTTGGCATTTCCCCAGTATGGCAGAACCTTGATTGCAGGCACGAATTTCGTGATTTCTTGTTGCCAGTTGTGCAGTGTTGACGCAGGGGCAATGACCAGGAACGGTCCCCAGATGTTATGCTGTTCGGCCAGATAACCCATGACCGAGATGGATTGCACCGTCTTGCCGAGACCCATCTCATCTGCCAGGATACCGTTGATACCTTGTTCGTAAAGGTTAACGAGCCAGTTCAGACCTTTGAGCTGGTATTCCTTGAGCTGGGCCTGCAGCATTCTGGGTTGAGACACTTGAACGTCGCCAGCCATGGTGGGATTCTGGAAATTCATCTCGCTGGAATCAAACGCTGACATAGGGTCATCACCATTGAAGTTTCGGGCTTTGTCTTGGGCATCTTGCAAAGCGCTCGCAGCGTTGGCCATGGCGGCTTTCCGTAATTCCGACTCGTCTTCAGCATCAAAGTCAAGATCTTCAAAGTTTGTCACTTTGTGATTTCCGTGCTCATCGGACAGAGACATGTCGTCCATGCCCTTCGCTTGAGCAGAATCACCGGCAGGCCGTTCTTTTTCCGCCGCGGCTGCCACTTCGGGATCGTTTGTGGCGCGCTCGATTTCGTCAGTCTTGATCTTGCGCCCAATGAAGTGGGAGTAGATCTCTGTTTGCGAGATGAGGAAGTTGAGTTTCCGCTTCTGCCGGTTGGCCTCTCGGTCCGCCTCGGCCTTCTTCGCATCTTCAATTTCCTTTCTTTCGGCCATACGGCGCAGATCACGCTCCTCTCGCTCATTCCGTTTCCAGAAAGACATCATTTCGCGCATGACTCGCTTCGCCCTCGCTTGGGTGTCTTTCATGCTCTTATTGGTGCGTTCTTGCCACTTCCGCGCCTGCTTGCTCGCGAGGATGGCTGTCTTTCGCAGGTTCTCCTGTCTCGTGTTCAGCGACACCTGTTTGATCCGATAAACCTTGGCTATGTCCTTCCGGGCCATATCTCTCCAAATCTGTTCATAGATTTGATTGTAGCCTTTAGACTCGTAGTTAATCGTATGTCCTGCCGTAGTCGGCGCAGCGGCATCTGGAGTTTCACCTGCATCAGCCCCAGCAGCAGCGGCAGCAGAAGCAGCAGCCGCGGCCGCTGCAGCCGCCTCTGCTTTTGCCTGTGCTTTCTTGCCCTTAGCAGTCGTCTCCTTCTTTGTTTCTTCCTTGGGAGCAATTTGCACCAGAGCATCTCTCTCCATGGCGGCGTACGCAGCCTCTGCAGCATCTTTCTCGGCTTGTTTCTTCTCCTTGGATTTCTTGGGGCGAGTAGAAGCGGCGCCCTCTCTCTTGGTGCGCTTCTTCGGCGGCTCTGGAGGCTCAGGAGATCCAATCTGGAAGGACGAGGTAACACCTCCTTCGTAGTTGGGAGCGGGTGCCGCAACCTCCATGTCTTCTTGCGCAGAACCGCCCTCGAGGAGTTCCGCGGTTTGTCTGATGCGTGCTTGTGACTTTTCTGCCTGTTTGAGGTATTTCTGTGCCTCTTCTTGGTCTTCCGCGGCCCTGGCAAGCTGCTCAAATTCTTCCATCTTCTGGGTTTCAGTGCGTAGTAGTTGCTCACGCCTACGCTTTCTCTGCATGTCCTTTTTGCGCTCTTTCTCGGTTCGGATGTCTTTATCTGCGATCTCCTTTGCAGCAATGGGCTCATACCGCTCTCGGAAGCGCTCAGCAGCGCTCTGGGCCTGCGATTCGAAGGGCGCGATGAGAGAATCAATTATGAACTGTCTCCGGCGCTGCACATTTTGTTAGCGGGCATAATATGGCAGTGTAAAGGGCGGCGCCTTCAAAGAGCTTTCACTCACCTTACGCTTGTGTAGTTCACTTTCAGCGACATCTGCGGCTCTCTTCCTACTTCTCTGCTTGTAGCGCCCCTTTTGTTCGAGCAATCCACCGTCTTCCACGTCACTAAGGGGGCCTTCTTCGATGCTGCTAAGAGCTTTCAAAATCTTCTCTGCCTCTCTTTCGGTGAGGATCGTACGCGGCTTCGAAGGAGCGACAATCTTGCGCTGGAAGTGTAAGGAATCGGCTCTGGACTGCAGCTTCGCCTCTCCATTTAGGACATGTCGAGGCTGACCTAGGTCTGGCAATTTTGCTACCAGCGGCTCCTCGGGTACTGGTTTGCTCTCTAGCACAGATTTCGCCGGCGGCGGCGTTGCTGGCCGCGATGGTTTACCGTCAGCTACCTTGCTGGTAGGTTCATGGTGTGATGGGCCGAGAATGCTCGCGAAGGACATGGGATTGCTTGCTCTATCCGGCTTCTGTGGCATCAAATCAGCAAACCCTTGAGCCAGGCGATTTTGATCGCTTACGTCTTTTGAGTGAGGACGTGACTCCTGGAAAGCACCTTCAGTAGACCTCCCGTTTGGTAGAATGTGCTGATCCCGCATTGGTGAAGGCAGGCTGGAGGGGGAGGGGCCCGATGGGTGAGCATGTGTTGGTGTGCCATCATATTGTGCCGGCATGTTCGGTGAAGGGTTTGAAGCGGAAGCAAGATGCCGTGAATAGGTTCCCTGCAGAGGGAATGATGGACTTGATGCCAAGGGCGGGTACTGCGGTCCTGTTCCTACAGAGGGAGGAGGCAAGGTATTCGGCGCAGGCAACGGTGATGCCAAAGTTGGTGGTCGATGATGGTGTGGACTTTGGACCAAAGACGCCGGTGGGAACGGAGGCGGGGTTTGGATTAGGTGTTGAGGAGGTATTTGAAAAGGTTCATGACCGTAGTAAGGGCGATTAGGGTGTGTAGGTGAGTAGGGTGGATATTGTTTCGACTGGGTGGGCGAACGAGTCGCGAAGGGTGTAGAACCAGACATTGCTGGCACTGTCGCGACGCGGACTCTTCTTGATTGTTTGCCTTGACTTTTATTTGATACTTAGGATCTTTGAGATTCAGCCCTGGTGTCAGATTTTTATGCTAGCCCTTTGTCTGCAGTCTCCATAGCCTTGATTGTGGTGTTGCCTCAAATCGGGCGCGATAACTTTTTGACGACAATGAGATGATCGCGCAGGAGATCGGTTATCGTCTCGAATCAGGCCTCGTGATTCGCACTTTGGGGTTTTGGATAGATCATCGGGTACGGCTGAGTCGTGTCACCGTAGCTAGTCCATTCAGGGGGCTTGCGGCATTACCCTGCTGAGGTGGTGCCTACAGGGTCTCGCGAAGGAGTTAAAGGACTGTTACTATGGTGGTGATAAGATGAAGGGATGGGTGGAGGAGTGATGAAGAGGAAGATAGGTGGCGTTGACGATGAAGGTCGGAGCATGATCAGTCACAGTTGGTGCATCGCAGCCCAAGCTCGTCTGCCGGATGTCTGGATCATCTCAAAACGCGACGACTCGGCGTTAAGTCCACAGAACATTGAAGTGAACGCAGGTCACGTGTTGGTTTCTATATACCACGATTTTCTACTCGAAGTGTTTATCTGGGTGGTGAGAATCGCCAGTACAGACTTCTGTTGGCTGTATCTTTTCCACCCTCTGCTCAAGTCTCCTTTGTGTTGAGCCCGCTAAGTGTGGTGCGAAAGAGCTGCTGGGAACGTGAGCGATGACGGGCAAGTCTGTTGGCTGATCCACACGGGATTCTGACTTGTTCCTTCGCCCAAAGTTTTGGTCGCCCCCAAAAAAGGCTGCGCTGCCCGCAATGGTCCTTCACGTTCGACTTCCGCAACCATTCCCCGCCAAGACAATACAGGGGCCACTAGATGGATAAAGCTGATACGCTAGTTCTAATGGGGTATCATAATCGGTCGGAACCTCGTTTCAGTATCTACCCTATTGCTGCCAGGTGTTACTTTTCGTCACTCTCCCTATGTACTCTACTGTGCTTGTGCTTCTAGCTTGGATCGTACGTCTGCACCATTGCAAATCCTCACACCAGGATTCACAGTCCAGGAATAGCCAGATTCATGGCTCCAAAGAACAAAGATTCGGGGAAAGCTGACAAGTCCAAAGCCGCCTCGGGAGGGGCCAAAGGTAAAGGCAAGGGCAAAGAAGAAGACGGCTCGGCTGGAGGTGGTAAGCTGAAGGCCGCTCAATCAGTCAATGTTCGACATATCCTGGTATGTCGCTTTCTATCGGGTAGATGCTTTCCCACTCCGGGTTCTCGTCACCTAACATATTGGCTCTACCTAGTGCGAGAAACACTCAAAGAAGGAAGAGGCGCTGGCCAAATTGCGCGCTGGTGCGAAGTTCGATGACGTGGCCAGGGAGTTTTCAGAAGATAAGGCTAGACAAGGTACCGTGCAATCAAAATCAAAGCTGTTTTATTCAAACGTCTGACCGAGGCCTCTTTGTTACCCAGGCGGATCGTTAGGCTGGAAGGTCCGGGGCAGTTTGCATGGAGACTTTGAAAAAGTGGCCTACGACTTAGAAACGAGCACGACAGCCAATCCAAAATGTGAGTTTGTTTATTTCTTCGTACAAAGACTGTGGTGGCATCTACCTGAAAAAAAGAACCCGGCCTCAAAATGAGCGATCCAACACTCTTGAACGGCCTAACTTGGGTATATTGCCTGACTCTGCGACGAAAGAGACCGTGACCAAACCACTTGCTAACCAACGGTAGACGCGGAAGTGAAGACCAGCCATGGCTACCACATCATCATGGTCGAAGGAAGGAAATAAGTTTCACAATATACTAGGAGACCTTAGTGAATGAGTGGACTCGCCACAGTGACATCGGCAAGCACATCTAGGGCGACATGATCAAGGCAGTGCTTCCTTTTGCGAGGAGAACCGTTGACCGGGAGCGCCATGACGCTGATGGTAGAGTCTTTGGTGGATTCAACCTTTGGAGGAGTCCAACTGGCTTTGGGGACATCAGGGTTGGAATTTGCATAGCCAGGTGGACTTGCTCCATCTTGAGAAGAGGCGGTTCTAGCAGTGTGCTGGGGGATAACCTGTGCCTGATCCGAGCTCGTTTTCCGACCAAGTCGTTCTGCAAGCTCCAAATTGAGGAATCCACTCGATCGTGGTTCTTCTTGGTTTGCCGACAGGTGCTGAGATGCATGGAGCGATGCTGGCCGCGGCAACTCGACCATATTGAGAATGCCACTGGAGCGAGGTTCTTCAAGCTCTGGAAGAGATGGAACGAGTGCGTTAGGTGACAGGGCCCTCGAGGATGGGGTATGGATGGATCTTTCGTCGATACTGGAAGAGACCCTCCTCATGGTGTCCGGCGAAGCATGGCCATTTATTGTTGCTTCTTCATGTTGAACTTGGCCACTGCGGCCCAACCGTCTTCTCTTGGCACGCACGCCCTCCAGTTCTTCCAATCTCTTCTCCATTGAAATGGTCGTGTCATCCAGGACGACAACACGGTCCCTTAGGCGAACCTGTTCATCACCATTGCATAGAATCTTGTCCTCCGTTTCATGGAGCTTTCTTAGCACCTCCTTCTCGCTCTGATAGAAGGCCGCTAGGGCTTCACGCAAGATCCGCACTTCCCTTTCCCACAACTGACGTTCTCTCTGGAGTGCCGTCTCACGATTCCCCCGTTCATTCTGGATGGTCTCCTCCAAGCGTTTGACCTTGTCAGCTAGTTTTTCGAGTATGACATTGAAGACCTCGGTCGACTGTTTTTTGTCACCAACAATGTCATGGACATGATAACACGCCTGGTGGCCGCAGTCACAGATGTTGCCCGGGGCGCTTCGATTGTGATGAAAGAATTGACAAGAGCATTGCTGACTGTGCGCCGAGGCGTGTACGAGGGGATGCCGACACTCTCCGATCGGCTGAGGGCGCGCACTTTCAGATGTCAGGCGGAGTGGGCGATGTTCGTGAGCAAAAGTGGCGGGAAGCGACAATGAATTTGACCCAAACATCGAGGCCGCGGTGGGGGTACTTGAACCCGAACTGATGGCTTCCAGATAGGTAACGTGAGAGAGTGCCGGCAACGCATGAAAGGTGCCCTCGAGTCGAGCTTTAGAGACTAAGTCTCTTCCCACTGATGGAAGGGGCGGTGTCGGCCACCTGTGTTATATTTTCTTTGTTTACAGATATTCAGGAAATATTGTTTGACTGCGAGGTGTCAGAAAGCCCCCGGTACCGCTTGATATCTGTCTGTGACAGGTCAAGTTACGGTGAGTGACGTGCACATACGCAGCCCTTTCAACACGGACCGCTACCACGGCGCAAAGCTCTTTCTCAGAGAACTCCAGCTGAACGTGTACCACAAGTATATGCTCATTGTAGCTGTACCCAGGTGAAGAAACCAGAAAGAAAAAGGCTCGTGCTCGAGAAATCGAGCACAATGTTGTTGGATGCTTCTCTCGGAGCAAGTATCGGTGGTCAGAAGTAGTTTATCAGGATGAAGGACGTGTCTGATGGAAAGCGAAGAAGTTTCGTTATCTGCGCCGGGGGTTGGGTCCAACGAGGCCTATGGACTATGCCGGCAGAGCGGTGTCAGAGGAACATGTGCCGGCGACCTCAACGGCAAATGGAGCTCTCTAGGACTGGTCAGCTCGAATCAAAACGAGCAAGACAATCGGGATAGGAGGATGTGCATGAAGAGCGACATGGATCGGGAGAAGATTAGGCTGTGCTAGAGAGCTAGCTTCCAAAGCTGCCCGACACGGCGGACCGCTGGGTAATTGAGGTTTGATAAGGCTAATGAGGCTGTGGGCCGGAACAACGTGGGATTCCGCCGACCAGGTCGCCCAAAGCTGAGGGAACATGAAAGTTGGACTCACTCCTGCAGTTGGGCCAGCAGTTGAATCTAGAGGGCCGAGCAGCTGATGCGGGCGTTTTGTTGGTGTACAAAGCCCGGGCACGGCAATTCCAGTGACAACAAGCAGAGACGTGGGGTCAAGGGAAGACTTGTACGGTGTACGTTGGATACTGGCAGAGGAAGGGAGACGAATGAAATAGAATGGTAAGGTAAGGGCGTCAAGAATGGGATGAGTTGGGATGAGTTTAGATGGTGTCACACTGCACGAGACAGTCGGTGACACACCACACGGGTTGCTGCTACAACCACCCCCAGGCACTGACGGGTACTAGGTACAGTAGATACCTACCTTACTACTACCACTGCTGGCACACTGACAGTACAGTACCATGTTGGGTGGGGTTCTGTCCCTGAAGCCCACAGCAAGCAATGCAGGGCCAAAGACAAGGAAATCCCCGTGAGTAGGGGTATCTAGTGGAGTCAGAAATCAGTCCCTCCGCGGGCAATGTGTACCCAGTAAGTTCTACTATGCAGCACGCTGTACTAGTAGCAGGGCTGTAGGTAGTCAGCTTGAGGACCTCCAGCGTGCAGCGACTTGGACCTGTTCAAATTGCACATGATGGGATGTCTGTAGAGCAGTGGAAGTGGAAGTGCTAGAGGAGGAGGAGCACGCACCTCAGGCTGGGGTCGCCGTAGTGCCTGTGGGCCTTTGAGCCAGCAGATCGTGGGCATCTGGCATCCACTCGACAGTCCATCTTTGAACTTAATTCCCTCATCCAACATGGGGGCCCGGGGGGATGCCGTAGTGTAACCGGGTGGAACTTTGGGGGGCCATCAATTATACTACTATGTAGTATGCCGGTGCTGGACGCAACCTGAACATCACCCAGGCTCCTGGATAAGGGTGCCATTAATAATTGGTTGCTGCTGGAGTAGTTCGATATTTTTGAGGTAGAGGAGCGCGGGAGCTTGTGTTGTTAGTTAGTACCTTAGGTATACTTGAAAGCCAGGTGCTCTGGCAGCCTGCAGAAAGGAATACTAGCAATTGAGCTGCCCTGCAAATAGTAGTACTATTAGTATAGCAAGCTCTGTACCCTTTCAAGTCGTTGTGAGCAGATATCAACAGGGAAACTAGCTGATATGCGTTGTAGGAGCGAGTGTTGGGCCTGCACCTCGCGTCTCGATAAAAAACTGAGGCTCAAGGAAATCCCTCGGAAGATGCCACCATAGCCACCAAAATGACCTCAACATTTTCCGACGGCCCTGTTTGCTGGCTGTTGGCGTTTGTCTGCAGTTGGTTTCAAGGGTGCGTAGGGGTATGAGACGCTGCGCTACAGTACACCGTCTGCAGCTCGCCAAAACTCACCGACAAACAGGACACGCTACAAGCGCTCGATTTTCACCTCTTGATGCCTCTCGCTGCGCATATCATCGCATCCTGCTCTCAAGCCCAGCAGCAAAGCAAACAACGCAGTGCAGCGCAGTGGGAAAGACTCCTCGATGGACCAGGTGCCACACTACTACCCTACTCTCTACTACTTAGTAGCAGCTGAGGTACATTATTCTACCACTGTAGGAGTCTACTAGTAGAGTCCTGGATACGTTGGAGTATTTTGTAGGTACCTTAGTCATGCTCTCCACCACACACTGGCAGCCATCTTCCCGCTCACGTGTTGCGTTGCAACTTGAAGTCTGCTGCCTGCCAGTGCAGTGCCGCTACTAGTAGTAGCCTAATTGAGTGCCCTCAGCCTCCTATTGGCCGTAGCAGTGGCACTGGCGCGGGAGGTCGGATGCGCCAAAATCAACGCCCACTCATGAACTGCACCGCAGGCTCGTCACTGCCGCTGCTTGCGTGGCTGAGCAGACTTGTAGAGAGCTTTCAGGAAGCATCCCACTGGCACTGCACTGGCATGGTTTCATGGACGAAACGAGCACGGTCTTCGGAGGCGAACATTGATATTTCTAACTTCATCCACTCCCAATAATAACGAGGAGTAATCAGACATTGTATTCCTCAATCCAGCCACTAGCTGCAACAGCCGAACACATCTGAAACTTGAACTGGGACAGGAAATCCAGCCTTGTCATCCAACCCCCGCACCTCTGCACCAGAGCCCACAGGTCACCGACGTCCGCTCTCACTCCGACGCGACCGCCGACCGCAGCGAAACTACCGCAGCCACTATCGCTACCACTACCACGACCACCAACTGCAACTGCAATTGCAATCGCATCACATAAACAGATACGATCCAACCGCTTCCTCCATTTTGGCCCGGATCCATCATGGCCGACGACCAAAACAAATATCAGCCTCCGCCGGGTCCGCCCCCGACGTACCCTGCCCAAGCGCACCACGATGCCGGCCCTTACTATCCGCCCAACGGTGACGAGACGCGTGGTTATCCTGCAGACAATAACGGCTATTATCAACAGCAACAGCAACCGCCGCCGCAGGGCTGGTATCAGCAAGGTCCGGGTGGCCCGTGGCCTCCACAGGGACAACAGCCCTACGGGTACTATGGCCCGCCTCAGCAGCCAATGTATTACCCGCAAGGGCCGCCGCCGGTAGGGTACTACGACGACCGACGAAGTGGTGGTGCTGCTGAAGGATGCTGTGCGGCACTGTTGGCTTCATTGGCATGTTGTTGTTGTCTTGATTTCTTGTTCTGAAAGAGCCTCTTCGCGCTCAATACGTCAAACCGAATGGAATGCGCAGGCGGCCGAGCAAACCTTCGGTTGGCGTTATTACGGTTATTTGTCGAAAGGGATCGTTTTTTGTGATACATATTGGCGGAGTCTGGACCATCGCTACGGCTCCTGCAGTGCAGAGAGGCCGTTCCGTCGGGCGCTGACTCTCGAGAACCTCTGATACTCAACCGGCCTTACTCCATGTTCCTCTTCTTCTCTGTCGGAGCTGGTCTTCGAGAAGCCCAACGGTCAGCTATTACTACTGCTGTTTACTTCCATCAGCATAATCAGCATAATACTATATTGAAAAGTCTCATGGATAAGGTCTTCCACGGCTGTTTCTTGTTTTCCCTCACAGTCGACCACGACTCGGACGGGCAGACTCGGCCTTGGTCTCTGTCGGTATCTCTTCGGAGCCATCATGCGTCAGTCCTCCGTATTGTGAATCTTGTTGCCTAGCATCTGGTTTGTCCCTGTCACCACTCCCGAACTAGTACTTCGCTGCGTCGTTCGTCACCACTGCTGTTAAGTTCTTCAGCATCATGGGCCCCCCCGGTCATGTCTCTCCTGTGACAGGCGCACCCGTTTGATGCATTTGTACTATTCCTTGAGAATAAGATATGGAATGAGTCTTTTTTGCACAGGTGACTGAGCAGGCCATTAATCGGAAAAAGTGAAATGAAGAGCAGATACCCGCCCGGTTCCATGAGTCAAGGCATGTTGACTACTGTGCCCATGACGAGGTTGATATCGACTTATCTGTTTGCTGGTTTTGACCTTTTCCCGATTGGATGTACAGTATATACGTCTTCCGTCTAGGCACAAACGTCCTCCCTCCTTTTCTCCCGGTCATGACAACGGGGAGTTTGCTTGACTTTCGCTGGCTTCCAACTTTCAGCCTCCTGCTTTTACTCCCTGCCGCGCCCACCGGCAGTACGCCCATTTCGCCAGGGTGCTTGTCCTTCTGACCTGTCGATCTATCGTTAGGTTTCAAGGTTCTGCTTCTACTTAGGTATAGGAATATAACACGGATGAGACCGGGACCACGAAGGAGAACACCAGTCCAAATGAGCCGTCCAGGCACATTCACCTCCATCTCCAGCATCGTCATCACCATCATGTTCTCCTTTTTCATCATCATCGCCTCTTGCACCCCCCTCGTCCATTCTCTTCCGATCATCACAACCACAACTAGCAACAGCATCTCCGACACCAATTTCAAGTCACCATCTGCACAACCGGGTCCGGGTCCTGGTCTGCGCCGCCACGAACTTGAACAACACGGCATCGTCGTCGTCGCTCGGGACTCAATCACATCAAGCTCGTCATTATCATCATCGTCGTTCTGCTCATTCAAAACATGGGACAATAGTCCCGAATTCCGCTTATTTACAACCAGTCTGGTCCTACTGGTCGTCGGCGTCCATTTCGGTCTCTGTGCCGGACGGGTGTGTATTAAGAAGAGACGTCGTGCGCGACAGGCCAATTTCAAGTGTTCTGAATGCCAGCGTCGTCCCAGATGAGGGTGTAACAAAAAACCCCCTTTACAACTTGAACCCCCCAGGAGTTCCTCACCCTACCGATCTACCTACCTACTTGTTTCTGTGCTGTTGGCAGGCTCTCAGAAACGACACATCAACACTGTTGCAAACGCTAATGTCAACATTAACGTTGACGTTAACATCAATATGATTGTTGTCTTTCGCGGCGCCGGCGGTATCTTGGAAGAGTGTCCAAATATTCCCCCGCTTGAAAAAGGGGAATTACGGCAATCATCACAACGACATTGATAGGCGGGCGAGTGAGAGGGGGGGAACGAGGAAGAGAGACATCCCAATAGGGAATGTATCACATCCTCGGAACATGGATGCACTGCTCCCCTCCGTCCAAGAGTGTCCAAACCCTGCCCCTACAGCAGTGCCAGAACTGTGGCCTGAAGCAGGGCATGAGTGATAATGTCAATCCCTAGAGGTCTTGGCAGAATAACACGGTGCGGGACGCAAGGGAAGAAGAACCTCGGGCATGTCAGATTAACTGATACTCCAGCTCTACTTAGCTGTCTCTGAAAGCACCCATCTCCAGTGCTTGATTTGCTTCCAGAATACCTTAGTAATACAAACAATCATTCCCACCAATGATGCCATTTCTGACCTTCCAAAGACTTTTCATCCTGGATTCAAAACCTCACAGCCTCGGAGGGCAGTATGCCTTCACTTCTTCGCCATGAGAACTGCGTCTGGGTACACTTGGCGGACATTGGCCGTCATGTTGGGCACAGGCTCCGCATGTCTCTTAGCAAACGAGGCAATGGCCAAAGCCAGCGCAGAGCGGGATTCTCGTTCAATCGGAGTCCAGTGACCACTTCGCGGTAGAATTGTCACCTCACTGTCTTTGCCAAGGTAGTCCCCCAGCCCATCCAAGCAGATTGGCCTCGAACACGCCGTGTCGTTTTCTCCCCAAAGTACGTAGGTTGGAGCCTTCAAACTCCCCTTGACCGGTTCCGCAAACAGCGAGTTTGAAACAGATGATCGACGGCTGACAGAACTGGACCGTGATGCCATTTCTTCCAGTGCGTATAGATCAGCAATGGTCTCTAGAGACTTTACCCAGGGTCGCGTAGCGGCTCCATCGCGGTAGTAGCCCGTCATGTTCCAGAATGCCTCTGCAGGAGACTTCGCTCGCTCAAGGACAGTAGGACCGTAGGTCTCACCGGCTTCGGCATTGGAGCTAGGGACGGTCGATGTCTTGCACTCTTGTGGACTGGGGCCAAATGTTGCCGCCATGGCTTCTTGGACTGGATATTCCTTCGCTCCTCTGCCGTAAGCGAATCGATGACATCCTCTAATAAAGGAATAATTTCCGCCCACTCCCAAGGACTTGACAAAGATTGGCGGCAGGTTGAAAACGAAGATGTAGCCCATCACGAAGGTCTGCCATAGTAACGGCTTCAGAGTCTTGAACGATTTCGAGAGGCAGCCGAAGTTCTGTCGCGGGGAGCGCATGAACTGCTTGAAGATCTTGGAAGCGGAGTTCAGAACACGGTCTTTGTTGGCAAAAGCATGTTCCGGCTGTGGATATAGAAGTCAGCAAACCCACGGTGGACAGAGACACCGCAACTTACATATGGAGCGTTGGTCAGGATGAATCGATCTGCGAGCCACGGAGCCTCGGCAGCAAGGCGAAACCCGAGCACGCATCCCCAATCATGTCCGACAATGTAAGTGCTGGGCGATCCTGAATCCTCAGAAGAAATGTACTTGTCGCGCATGGCAATGACAAACTCGGTGAGAGCCTCCAAAACCTCGGTGTCGTAGGCCTTGAGACTATCGCTACCCCCAAATCCCGGCAAATCGACACAGACTATGGTGGCTTCTGAGGCTGGCATTGCTGGCTCCCGCAGCAAATATCTCCAAAGCATTGAACTGTCGGGAAAGCCATGCAGCAAGACAATCAGGTTATCAGACGATGGGCCATCTCGGTTGCTGATATAGTGCAGCTTGACATCGTTGCGCAGGGTGTAGAAAAAGTGGGTGAAGCCTGGGAAGGGCGCTTGAGACAGATTCCAGAACTGATCTCGAGCTACAATATCTGGGTGTCAGCAATTGTCAATATCCCATGCCTGGAAAACAAACCAATGGCATATTGAAGTTTGTCTTGCTCCGAGTCTCTTCTGAAAAAGGCGCCACTCTGCACAGAGAAACCCAGGTATAAGAACCAATTGAACACGCCAAATGCGTAGAACGACGCGCTCTTGACGACTTGAGTCAGGACATTCGCGGCCATGGTGGCTGCGAGCAGTGGTTAGATAGGTGAACGAAGGATGAGGACAGTCCGCTTAGGTCATTTGCAGTCAGGAGGAGTAGCCTGCCTGGGCGTAGGTGAGGTCAACTTCGGGTTTGCGAGGTGATGTTGCTGGCAGTGGAGGGGTAGAGACAAATGTCTCGGGCTCGCTGCAAGTCAACTGGCGGTATCAGACGGTAGGCGGCATGAGAAGAAGCTTGCAGTGCTCGCTCACAAAGAGAGTGAAGACAGCAGTGCTGAGCTTCACTGAGCAACTCGTCGCGCAGGAACGAGGCACTCAGGCATGAAGGATACGAACGGTGTTGCTGGTCAAGCTGCGCAGAGACAACTCATTACAGACTGAGTGCGATCTTGCCCTGATAAGGATCTGCACATGATCAACGGTCAAGTTCGATGAAGGGGTCGACGCTGCTTGCGCAACTTGGAACCCAGCAATGGCACGGGATTGACGCTCATCATGTACACCGCAGACGTCGCGTGCCGTGTAACGCAGAAGGCGACAGCGGGATCAGATTGCTGGAAGCCTGCTGAGTTCGTTTGGGAGGGTTCCTAAGGTGCAGTCCAGGCGCCAGGAATGCGCCGTGCCACTCTACACCCTGCGCTCCGAGCCTACAGTGGGCTAGTATTTTACTCCTGTGATTGCAAGCTACGATCCTACAACATTGTACTACTACTCTCCTAGCAGCACCGCGTCCGATGCGGTCAACAGCCCCTCAGCTTGCAACGGCGGCGGAAAGTGGATTCAATGGCTTTTGCTCGGTCAATTAATGAACTCACTCATCCCTGTCATTCTTGCTTTTCAGGGTCTTTTGTTCAAGTCACATTGGCATACCGCCGGAGACCTGCTGAAATCAAATTGCAGCAAATTGAGCCTGTTCTTTACAGCAGATCCACATTGCCAGTCCGTCCGTCCGTCCATTGCGAACTGCAATGCAGGCCATGGCCCCTAACCAAATTCCTCGTCCTCTGTCGCGTTTCGTCGCTGCGAATGGGTTCCTTGACGAGATCTCCAAGCAAGGATGGCTGTACCCCCCCAATCGTCGAAGATCCCGTAGGGAGATACCTGAAAGTGATGGCTCAAAGAAGGCATGAATGCTTCCATCTCAATGTCTTGACGACCTGATGTTCGGTCGGAGACAGCAGTCCGTCATGGAGGCCATATATGGAAGAATAAAAAACGTTCATGGTGCTATATGACCCTCGGTGACCGCCTTCGTTGACTTGATCCTCGCCCGGACTTTCTTTCGGGCACAGAGAACCAATGCCATCAAGACCAGTCCCCAGAGGAGCACACAGGCCGCAGTGAGAACCCAGGGAATGCAACTGGGTGGAATTGCACTTCGTCTGCCCTTCACTCGTTCGGAACCGTTGCCAATATGCTCGGCCATATATGCCCAGCTCCGATCGTACACCGCCCCGGGATGTGCCATTGCGTGCATTAACCCCTCGAAGCCGTGAGCGCCAACTCGCCCCATCCAGGTCTCAAACAAAGAGTTTATGGAAGATGTTCAATACCCGGTTCTCGCTGCCTGGCCTAACGTTTTCTTAAGGCAGAGCGGACAAGAAGGTTTGCTGCTGACAATGTCAGTGATATCCATAGACGCCTGGCGCGGTCGAGCTTGGCTGTTGTTGCAACTGATGCGCATTGTACCTTGGAATCCCTCACGATGGTGAGATCGCCGCTTGTGTCCGTGCGGAATGTTATCTTGTATTACCAATTGTCATCTCTTCTGGTTCATGTTCAAGGGAGAAGGCGCATATTCTTCGATCCTGCTATCAGACAGCGCGCATTATGTGAGGTTTCTAAAAAGAGGTCAGGAGTTGGAAGGTCACAGAGCCTGGGTCAACCGACGTATTGCGCCGTTAGGGCTAAGAGTCTTTCTTCCCATGCTTTACTTCAGACACCCCGAAGTGACTGTACCTCCAGCAGCACTCAAATGCTGTTCAGACTCATTGGGTCCCTTTCAGGAAGCAGATAATGCAGAGTTGACACTTGGTCGTGTTCAAGATGTGGGGGATGACGCTCAAAAGGTATCTGGGTTTGAAGGCCATGACTGCTAGCTGGTTCCAATGGGGGAATCCTGTCCGAACGCCAGGCGACGATTCTTCCAGACACCTCATTCAACGCCGGCTGCTTGGTGAAATAACCTTGCTGACGTTGACCCATGAAGTGTCGTCCTGACTGGCCAAAAGAGCAAGCTACAAGTAACGTAACAGGTGAGATAAAGTTACAGGGGGTAATACTAGTAGGTATGTCACTGCAGCCTCACAGCCTCGCCAAGCCTTGCGGTTGACGGGTGGTGAATGAAAAAACAATAGTTAACATATTACAGTGCCGGAATTCCTCCCAACACTGACCAGCCTTGGCCGCTAGACCATCTCCCAGACACGACAAACCACCACCGGGTGGGGGAGTGGTATAAGCCTGGCTCAACTGGTGTCCATGCCTCAGCAGAGAGCGGTTGGACTCGAAAACGGGTGTTCGGAAGAATCTTGCCATTGAGGATTGCAGAGTAACGTCTGCATAGATGGTGGTTTCACTCCCTCGAACCTCAGTAGCCTCATCAACTACTGGGCTTCGAGGAAAAGTTTTTGCTTTTTTGGTCGAAGAGGTTTTTGGTTTTTGTTTCACAGGCCGAGGAGTTTGTGTGTGTGCGCGGTGTGTGGGAAAGATGAGGCTGGCGTCCTCCCGGTATTCAACTGCAGTACGTTTCGGAACAAACCTTGAGGGTGTCACATGGCTACTTCAGACAGACAAGGTATCCAGCAAGTACAGGACTCCGCTACACCTGGTACAGGTTGATTGACATGAGTTGCTTAATCCTGCAGGCATCCGAAATCCAGAGCAATCGTCTACAACAAGAAAGGGGAGCGAGGTAAATCTTCAACCCTGTGCACGTTATATGGCACGCAAGACGGTGGAAGAGCAAATGTAGACAGTTTCGATGGATTTATTTCTTGGAATCTGCCTAAATTGTCCGGGCCAAACAACCATGGTTGAGAACCATGGCCGTTCTGTTCATTATTGGTGTCGCTGAACGTTCGCTGCTGTCTGCATTCCGAGCCCCAAGCCTGTCTTCGATTTGTGGTTACCCACGCTCACGACGGCTCTAGGCGATATAAACGCATATGCTAACAATCTCACCCCTACACGTGCCGGGGGCCAGAAGCTCGCTTGGACTCCGAGTCTCTCATTGCTAAAGACACAAATGCTCAGCAAGTGCATGACTGGCTTCTCATCACTACATCAACAATGGCATCTGGACCGCTCATTCACTTCCATTTGCCGGAGCCAGTCTTGTTCCTACGTACCGTGGTGCTTTTCATTTTGCAGGAACCGGCTCAGCCCATCAAGAGCTTGCGCATTTGCCCAGCAGTCAACTGGGAAGCAACTCCCCTGGCGGTAACGGATAGTCTGGCTTCTCCACGCTTGACTTTGTCACCGCCTCTTGGCTTTAGAGCTTCGAGGGGGATATCGCCAAATCCGACTTTCTTCGACTTGTTATCTTCAAGCTCTCTGCGAGGAGGCGGTGGTGATCTTCTCCGGGGCGGTGGGGATCTTCTCCTGGGCGGTGATAATCTTCCCCTGGCACTTGGTGGACTCCTGGCTCGCATGGCTGCCCTGCGACCGATGCTGCCTGCCGGCGAGATCGGGCGCCGGCCACCAAAAATTGGTGAGCTCGCTCGGCCCATAGCCCTTCTGGCAGTGGCATCAATCTTCATCGCCCCATCTCTGTCCCACCCGTACCGGACATAAAGGTTCCACATAACGGCTGTGAGGAAAAAGCCCAATGATCCGAGAAAGAAGAAGACGGTGTTGTCTGTGACGGGGATGTGTGAAGCCCGAACTTCTTTCGGAACATCTGCGCGTGCCAGAATATGGGAGTTGGTGGCTGGGGCCATCATAGCCTCGACCGGTGGTTGCTTGTTTTCAATCATGCTGGTCCAAATGTCATCGAGCTCCTTGGCACTGCGTTCATTCAGTCCACTGGCGATTGAGACAAAATTCGGAAATTCTTGTGCCGAAGTCGTGCCTGCGAGCATGCATGAGACGAGAACCAAAAAGGACATCCAGGGAATGGCGTTCAAGGACGGCTTGACTCGAAAATCCTCCGAACTGGGCTTGGGGTCTGGTCTGGGTTTGGGTTTGGGTTCACCACTTGGACCGCCACCGTTGTGGCCCCCACCTGGCCGTGGATGCATTATATGCCCGTTGTTGTTGTTTTCGGTATCATTGCTTGTCAGTGCGTCGTCCTGCTTGCTGGAAGAACTGGGTTTGGGATCTGGTTTCGGCTTTGGCTTTGGTTCACCACTTGGACCGCCTCCATTGTGTCCACCACCTCCACCTGGCCGTGGAAGCATTATATACCAGTCGCTCTTCTTTTTAGCATCGTTGGCTGTCAGTAAGTCGTCCTGCTTGCTGGAAGAACTGGGTTTGGGATCTGGTTTCGGCTTTGGCTTTGGTTCACCACTTGGCCCACCGCCATTGTGGCCGCCGCCTCCGCCTGGCCGTGGATGCTGCATATGCCCGTTACCGTTGGTTGGTGTTGGCAGGGTGATACCGTCCTGTTTGCTGGAGCTAAAACTGGGCTTGGGGTCTGGTCTGGGTTTGGGTTTGGGTTCACCACTTGGCCCGCCGCCATTATGACCCCCACCTCCACCTGGCCGCGGATGCTGTATATACGGGCTGCCCTCCATCTTGGTGTCGGCAATTGGAAATGCGATGTCATCATCGTGCGCGTTGATATCGAGCCTTGGTCCTGGTCTCGGACCCGGTCTCGGGTTTCTTGGTCCGGTGGGTGCATTGGGCGGAGGATCTGGTTCACTTGCACTTCCGCTGACCTGGAGGAATTCTGCCGATAGGTTTGTGACAGTGGTGGGACAAGACGCCATGGCGACTGTGGTCGACATGGTCAGAGATTGGAATTGTCCCTATTGTGGGGAAGATCAAAGTCGATGTTTGAGTGTGTTGCTTTCTGTGGATGATGTCTTGTCTGTCGATATAAGTAAGATACGAGATGGTTATGTCTGGGTATTGGCCGGTGTGGAAGGAGTCTGATATGATAGTATCGTGGTAGCTGGTTGTTTTCACGGGGATATCGAGGGAAGATATAGTCCCTTGAACGACTGAAATTGCAATATTTATAAGTATGTTCCCAGTCGGTCGTTTGCTCGTCACTACGTCCTACAGCTTGAGAGTGTGCAGTTTACAGTCGGTATGCGTTCTACTCTGCTCTGTCATGCCGGTCAGTCCGTTCGCAATTCACTTCGTTCGTTTGCTTGGCAGATGACAACGGCGATGGCAACGGCAACGGCAGCGGCGGACATGTATCTCAGTCCTGTGTGTCACGGTGTCACTGACCGGGTCTTGCTATGACACCGTCACATGGACGTTGTTGACTCAGTCACCTGTAGTGAGGCCGCAGAGTCTAAAGCAATTTAAATGGGGTTCAAGCGACTTGTAGTACTGGTAGCGATTACAAGGCTAGGACGTCATACGATTTGCCGTTGTAAGCATGTAGGAAATAGTGAACGATGATTATAACTACTTCTCGTACCGTTTTACTGTTCTGTGGGACTGTATGATTGCCACCCACTCTATATATATA